AATAATTAAGCTTAAGCACAAAGTAGAGATATTCACTTTAGTTATAAAGAAATAGGGATACCGACAATCTTCTGATTGCTTGAAAATTAATTAGATAAAAGCAGAAAAAGTATTTGCAAATTTCTGGAGGCATTATTTTTTGCCACTATTCGATAACAGTAATGTCAATCATATACCAAAAGACAAAATTTATTGTCCCAACAATGGATCACATTGTTGGTCACACTAAAAAAAATTGAAGAAGTGAATAATAAAAGAAAAGTAATATCCGTCGGGAGCTTGTTTCACCCACCGCTAAGGTTTCTTCCATTCCTTAAAGGTCCTGCACTTCCTTCTTGTAATTCATGACGTAAACTGTATCTTATAAGTTAATAATTGACCACAAATTTTCATTGTAGCAGTTGCCAAACCGTAAGAAAACTTAAAAACCGTTGAGAATAGCGCATTGCTATTTTTTGAATGGCAGGAAAAAGAATTTGGGCCTCAAAGTGTTCTTGGCTCAGTTGATAGTTGTATCGAGTAGAGGATTTCTGGAACAGCTCATTCCATGATGTTAATGCTTAAAACTAGATCTGTTTGTCTTTCCATTGCTGTTCTTGAAGTTTCAATCTCTTCGAGAGATCTCGGGAATTGACTTCTATAATCAGCACACAGTATTTTGCTTAGATATTTATATTATTCGAGACCTTACTTACTAAAAGAATAGTTTTGATTAATCCAGTCTGCTTTCAGCCCATTTGGCAAACTGATCTTGTGAATCAATTATCAGCATCCTACGAAAAGCAAATTTTGACCCGAAGATACTCTGATTTATCTGAACCAAAATATCTTGGTGGATATCTGCTAGAAGAATTTGTGACACTTAATCAGTCTGTTGTTTTTAACAACTGTCTAATAAAGTTTCATTGATCCGTAACTGGAGCACTTTCCTGAATTTGCAGCTATAAATATCTAGTGGTGTAAAAATGAGGAATATTCATTTCGTTAATTATTATTTACCTAAGATTTCGACAACTACAAATTGCCCATAATCGATACTTAATAGTTTATCAAAAAAAATAAAGCTAATAATTCTCTTTTAGTATCATAAACTTATTTTCCCCAATCGATTACTTATTTCATCCTTCCTACAAAATGATTCCAATCCGGCAGAACTTGCTTTCATTAACAGGAACTACTTGATACAATAATTAATTACATTTTCTCATATAATGTGCAGTATATCTCATATAATGTGCTTCATTCTCATATTCACTTTCTTTTGCATTCACCATGAATTTTTTTAATCATCGGAACGTTCTTCAGCTATACATGGAAATTTAGCTTGAACCGCATTATTTCTTACGTATTATGAACAATGACTACAATTAAAGCTTGCCTTCTATTAAAGTTCAACAATATCCATTCAAATATCTTATACAATTAAAATTGCTGTCATCGATAATATTAATCCGGCGGAACTATGCTGCACTTAATCCTTCGACGGAAGAAACCTCTGGTAAATTTTTTGTCCATGATCAACTTTTGAAGATAGAACCACTGTGGTTCTTAATACAGTATACATAACTATGTCAGCCATGCTTCCAAGAACATTTGGGCCCTGTTTACATAGGCCAAAATCTCCCTCTCTCACTCAGTTGTCATGATTTTTGCATTATAGTTTTTCTTTGTTATTCCAGCCTTAAAATTTTTTTGCGCGCAGTCAGTAAATAAATGATCGATTGCATAACATCTATAACATGCTTTCTCCGCTCCTAGCGATGTTCTACACTTGGCTGCTGTGTGATTCTCGTAGTGACCACATTTAAAACATCTTACAGCATGTGATTTATTCTTTCCAAGAGAACTAATAGAACTTCGTTTAGTTTTCCAGTAGATTCTGCTCTTATAACAGCCGTTACTTCGCTATCATCCGGCCGTTTTCGAATTACAAAAGGAACATGTTCACCGGCATCCAGATTTCGAAAATCAACCATATTTAATTTAAACTGATGGACAAATACATCAACACTACCTTTATCAATCAAACCATTTATACATTTCAACTTGTGCCGCTTCTCTTCCTTCACCCGTTGATGGTAAATACTTGGGCAATTATATTTCCTCACTTCATCATAAATATTTTTATATTATTCTCGACAGCGAACTAAGGGTGAACTAAGCATTGTTGCTATATTTCTGTAAATCGAAAATTTTTTTAATGACTTTACGAAAACTAATGAAGATTTCAATTTCGCTATCAATATTAGAATTTTCACATGCTTGTCGCCATTTTCGTTAATTATCAGAAGCGGTTCACTATCTTTATGATCGTGACTTCGTGCATTATAACATTAAAGCTATATACAAAATGCATTTCTGGGTTCAAATGGTGATTTAAAATTTGCTGACTTCGGCTTTGCTCGTCGAAATCTTTCTGTGGCACCAAACTTTATTCTGCACCAGAAATTGTTCAGTTAATTCGAAATAAAAGTTATTCAAATACACAAAAGTTATACTGTCACACTTTCATCCAGCAAGTTATCCTGCAGAGTTGTGCCTATGTAAAAGAAAAATACTGTTCAAAATTATTCAATCAATTGATGACAGCAAGCACGAATTAATTGATAGTTCGAAACCAATTTTTTTCAAATTAACATTCCAGTTAATGTTCAGCTTAATAAACTTGTAGTTATTGTAAAACATGCTTGTTACCTGTTAGTAGTGAATATTAAGATTCGACCTGAACTCTAGTTTTCACTGAAATAAGTATAAGAATTTGAATTCAGACATCAACCATATGATGCATATGCTAGTGATTATCACACGATTGGTGTATTAACAAAATCCTTATCAAGATACATGAAAGAACAGCTTCTTGTTTGAGCATGCAATTGTGCAATTGTTCGTCACTTGGCATTCACGTTTCATAATAACGTTAATGAATTTCTGTGTTTGCAAATGAAAAAAGCGCCAAAAGTTAAAAGAAAAAAATAAGCTGTTTGCAGGATCCACATGAGAGAATTAAAAAGATGTTAAACTGCATGATCTCAAGAGACATACTCTCGCGTGCTGCATGAGACATACTGTGCCTAACGAATGAAGATTATCAATTCCACCATGGAATTAGCCTGCATATTATTACGGCATACTTCACTAACTGACCAATATAGGAGCTTTAAAATGATACAAATGCACGCCCCTCAACAAATGGTCAAAAGTTTCCACAACACATAAATACTGGTAGCACCACTAGAAGTCAGTGTCACCTGTCATTACATTCCGAGAATTTAGCAAATCTGATCTGAGCCTTCGGTTTGAGAAATGTTTGCTAAATTTTGCATAATAGCGCTAGATTATAACGTTTCATTATGTGCAAGAGACTTTGCACAGTATGGATATGGTTCATCCAGCACTTTGGTCTTGTGGTATTATTTTACTCAAGTATTTCCTCACTAATGTGTGCATACTGTAAATTACATTTTGAGCCCTGTCAGAATATTTTAAAATGCAGAATTACAAGCTTTCAGATTAGTCAACTTAACCTGTGGAATTCAACAAAAAAAAACTAATTGTTATCCACCAACCTGATTCCATAAAGACTTCGCAATGAACTTTGAATTGAAGTTTTCAAATTGGATTCAGAACATATCCATCACAATATTCCTACTTCACTCTGTTTCAAAGTGTCGTTAAGCCAAATTCATTCTTCAACCAATGATTATTACTTTATTAGTATTTTTGAATATCCATAGGATGAAAGCTTTGGGCAGTGGCGTTGAGACAGTAGATTATGGTAAGAGTATTTATGTAAATTTTTAATTGTGTAGACAAAGTCAGGTTAGGTGTCCAGGAATACCCATGACAGAAATTCAGAATTTAGAAAGAATCAGATATCATATTTTGTTTTTTAAACAATAGTTCTTTCAAAAGGCTGACCGTTGCGATCAGTTTAGCTTAAGCTTCTGTTGAATTTGTCATTTTAGCACATTAAAAGCATTTAAGAGTTCTTTTAACCAAACTGTCAAACTAAGTACGAACCTGTCAAGTTTGTCAAGTTGAAAATTTGTAACTTATGTTGGAGAAAGATATAACGGTATGTTTTTGTTGTTGTCGTAACTCCACAACATCGATAATAGCTTTATTGGCTTTGTACGATATGATACAATATCGTACTTATATAATAAAAGGATGAACATACAGTAAAAAGAATGAATATACAGGTACACTATTGGGTTTGTTAACATTTCAATATACTCATTCCTCTGTGGGACTGTTGCTGTTAATGAAGGAATAAATTGCGCTCAAATTGCTGAACTGTTAAATCGAGTCTATCAAAACTCTATTGTTGTTCACTCTTTTTAATTTCTTCGAAAATTCCTCCCTTCTAGCGGTGAACATCTCCAGGTCACTTCTTGTGACCCATGTTTGATTGGACATGTTGCTTTAGCTACTATACTGCTTCAGCTCCAGCGTGTGGTTTCATAATTTGTTCACGCATGGATTGAGGCCTAACTGCTGCATACATTTATTCTTCAGCTTGTTGATATCTTCAAAAACTGTTTACTGCTATTTAGCCTTGTTAACATACTTGTATATGTTGCAAATTCAATATCGCGATACTTCAGTAATAATATAAATCTATTAGTCATATGCCAAAAATTTGTTATCAAATGTTAACAATTTGTTCTCACATTCACAACTAATCATCTCACTTTATCTTGCTTCTATCTCCTATCATGTATGCAAATGAACATTCCATGTAATATCCATGGTAATTCATTGTAATTCTATTGTAAACCACTCTCAACTCTTAACATATATAAACCTAAGACTAAATAACATGAAGCCTTTAAGTCGTAATCAAGGAGGAGTCACTATCGTCCACAAACGTCGTATTTTTCTTCTCAAGTATGAAGTATTCCCGCTTTGTATATTCGACTAACCCATAAAACCAATCGATCTTCACGACAGTATACAATAGCTAATTACATTTTTCGGCTTCGCTGATATATTAATCGTCACAACAGCTCAAAATTATTAAACTTCTTCGTTTCTTTATGATACTTACCCAACGCACCTGTTGCCACACTTATGGCATTACAAAAAAGTACCGTCAAATCAAAGGATCGACCCACATAATTCTCACATTCCTGACATGATATTCTATTATAATGTTATTCTTCAAGTCGATTCATCACAAATGATCAATAAGGAAGGAGATCGATGGAGTAATTCACTAACGAGCATCGTTATCAACATGCTCGTGTTTGATGTTACGCATGCAGATCTCACTGATGTCAACTTTGCTTTCATCAAAACGAATTAGGTATGTTGTTTCAGTCAGCAAAGCATCCTTTTACTAATTATTCATGGATATCAATTTATGACAACTCTGACTGATCTAAATGATTACATTAATCTTAACAGTAATCATGAGGAAAATGAATAATGGTTAACTAAATAACAATTACTTGGAAGAAAGCCTTTGCATTCCGTAACCTCAGGACTTTTTGGCAGACTCTCTTAGGATTTTCAGAGTGCTACATTCTACTCACTGTTCTTTTTCAATAAGTATTTTTGTTTAGTTACATATGGACTGTTTAGATCCATGATATGAATCTTATTCTCATTAATCAGATATTTTTCATTCACAATTATCACGTTAGCTTTTGGTGGAGGTGATACCACAAAATTTTCAGGCTTATTAACCTTAACAATTTTTGTAAAAATCACGTAATCACAATCCTCGAATATTTGTATTAAGTAGCCGTCGTCATAACCATTCAAAATACGAAAAGTCCATTCCGAAAGATCATAATAAGAAACAGGACGGTAGATACCATACGCTACCAGTGGTACCAGCTAAAGCAGATTTTTTAGGTCCAGTAATCATATTTTAAAGTAATGAATTTTACCTTCTTTTTGTGGGTGGATAACAGTAATTTGTTGACATTATTTGAATTATTCACAGCAATATCATCATTAATGTGTGCTAATGTTGACGTAGCTTTTGTTCCATTATGTATATTTTTGACATTTTTCATAAATCGATGCTACAAAAATCTTAAGATGTTGGATGTAGAGTAAAAACGAGAATTACAGATACCATACGCTACTAATGCTACCAATTAAACAAATTTTCTAATCAAATATTAATAAATAAATAAATGAATCGTACTTGTTTTGTGGAAATAGATGGTTGTGATTTAATGAAATCATTTGAATACGTTGACTTTGATATAGCTTTTTTTCCATTACTATTGATATTTTTTATAAACCAACGCTACAAAAATCCAAAGATATACTATTAACTGAAGCAGATTCTTTAGATGAAATATTAATAAAGTAATGGATTTTACTTGGTTGGTGGAAAAGGATGGCAGTGACTTAATGAAGTTATTTGAATATGTTGACGTTGGTGTAGCTTTTGTTCCATTACGGTTGATATTTTTCGTAAGTCGGTCCTGCAAAAATCCGAAGATGTTAGATATATAGTGAAAACGAGAGGACGAATGCCATACACTCCAATCCTATTAACTTCTTTAATACCATACGCTACTAATGCTACATTCCTTATTCTTTAATCAAATTCTTTATTCAGATATTAATAAAGTAATGAATTCTACCCGGTTTGTGGAAATGGATGGTTGTGGCTTAATGATATACGTTGAAATTGATATGGCTTTTGTCCCATTACGATGACTGACATTTTTCATAAACTGATATTCCAAAAACTGGTGTAATAATAATAATAATAATAATAATAATAATAATAATAATAATAATAATAATAATAATAATAATAATAATAATAGTAATAATAATAACAATAATAATAATAATAACAATAACGATAACAATAATAATAATAATAATAATAATAATAATAATAATAATAAATGAACCTATTCATTTTAAAATATTGCAAAAACAAAAGATTTTCATTACACAAAAATCGATGGATACATTTTAGATGTTGCAAAATCAGTGGATAAACTTTTGATATTAAAAATCTCTGAATGATTCTCCCATGAAGTATTTAAATGTTTGAACACTGTTTAAGGAAAATGTTAATGAAGAACAAGGCCAAATTAAAATTGGCTGAATTAGAGAATAAGTTAAATAAACAAACGTTTACAATGTTGTACATGTCAGTAGAGGTTAAGCGCGTTTCAGTGATAACGAAGCTGAATAAGGTGAAATATATCGTAATCATTTTAACCTAAATTCCTTTTTTCAGCAAATTATAGGTGCACTTTGGACTTTAATTGACTATATGAATTTTAATGACCTCATAGCTTAACAAACATTGGTGTTTGCTAGCTCATAGTAAAAACATAAACAAAAAATAAAAAAAAATTGATAACACATGGTTAAACTACAGAAATTTTTTTTATCATTCTTATCCTCATTTTTAGAGTTTTTATTTGATACTGTACTTTATTTCACTTGTATCTATCTAAATAAAGCTCCATTACACTAGAATATAGTGATTGTACTATCAAAGATATTACCAGTAATTCTACTTACAACAAACATCAACTTTGCTTTATACCATCCAACACAGAAACTAACGACTAAAGTTCAAATTTCAATAAAAATCTGCTCACGCTAATATAAAACTATTGATGCCAACACTTTCTTGCGAGATTTTATAAAATGTTAACGCCCTTCCTAAACTAATCAATGAGCAAACGTGAAATACATCCAGAAACTTCTCATTCCTATATTTAGATACATTTTGTATAGTATCCATTTGTCATTGATATTTACATTTTACGTATTCAGATTACAGTGTAACGAACTTCAATTTGTTGACAATGATGTTTCATCAACGGAAATCTTCGCCTTGTTGCACAAAAGATTTTTTACATATTTATTAAAACTTCTTAAATTAAAGTTTTACGTTTAATTTTTTCGAGAAATAATTTGCAGAAATCAAGGAACAGTTTTTTAGATTATATCGAAAAGTCTGATGTAGTGCCGCCATCAATATCAAAATGATAAATGACAAAGAGTGAAAATTCTTTGCATTTCTATTTAAAAAAGACATGAATTGATGAAGTGAAGAATCTGTTTTTGATTAATTTGCAAAAAAAAGCTAGTCATTGAGGTTAGAAGCATGGATAAACATCTCACTAAGCAGTCCTATTTATTCCATAATCTGCATGAGAAATGTCTCCATTAATTATTTCTTCAGCATTGCGCCCTCATTTTGACTACAGGATGAATCCATCACAATGAAGATTGATACTGTCTGTACAGTATTCATGCTCCTGCTCATTTGCCCAAAACATTTCACTACTTGCATTTATTGGAGATATTGTCTTAATTTTTAAATTTGTCCTTGTTATTTAAACTAAAAAAAAATGACATTTATAAAAACTAGGAAAAAGTGACATTCAACTATTACACTGTTCAGTTATCCGATACAGTAGAAAAGCGCTTCCATATTTTGTATAGTTATAACGATGTGCCGAAAAATTATAGGTCCTTGTTAGGAAGTCTTTTTCAGTTGTAGTTTGGAGCTGCTCTGTGTTGTGAAGGAGTATACTGCAAAGAATTTTAATTGCTAACAACCAAGAAACACAAGTTTTAATCTATACCAACATTATATTAAAATTTTCTAGAGTTCATTCATGAAAGTGAGATGAAGATGAAAAAATAAATTGATGGAAAAATTAAGTAAAGGATTTAAATGGATCGAATTGAATAAGTGAAAGATAGTGGCCGAATTGTAGCTTGCTGATATTAAAAACCTGACCTAAACAATAGCAGGTATTGGCTTACAATAAGCGTTCTGATTACAGTAAGTAAAAATTACAAGAGCTATCTATTAGATCATCTTTACTCTTTATATAGTAAGCGTTTGTTTTAATATTGTTGGTTGCTTATAAGAAAGACTATTAGATTAAAAACCTTTACAATACAAACAGACTTGTTTTAGAACAAAGCAGCAATTTTCAACATGTTAAACACGCACATATGCTTTGTTTACAGTTGTAAAATTCAGCTACAACTGAAAAATCAGTGCTGGATGAATGATTGCTTACATAATATGCAATTTTGAAACAACTTTATATTTGTCTAAAGAATATTCAATTATGACAATCTTTAGTCCTTTACATTTAATAAGGTTAATTATAATTCGGCTTTTCCAGCAGATGACTACATAATACAAATATTCGATCAAATTGAATAAGTGCAAGGCATGACCTCCACCAAAAGCTAACTATTCGAGGATTGTGATTACGTGATTTTTACAAAAATTGTTAAGGTTAATAAGCCTGAAAATTTTGTGGTATCACCTCCACCAAAAGCTAACGTGATAATTGTGAATGAAAAATATCTGATTAATGAGAATAAGATTCATATCATGGATCTAAACAGTCCATATGTAACTAAACAAAAATACTTATTGAAAAAGAACAGTGAGTAGAATGTAGCACTCTGAAAATCCTAAGAGAGTCTGCCAAAAAGTCCTGAGGTTACGGAATGCAAAGGCTTTCTTCCAAGTAATTGTTATTTAGTTAACCATTATTCATTTTCCTCATGATTACTGTTAAGATTAATGTAATCATTTAGATCAGTCAGAGTTGTCATAAATTGATATCCATGAATAATTAGTAAAAGGATGCTTTGCTGACTGAAACAACATACCTAATTCGTTTTGATGAAAGCAAAGTTGACATCAGTGAGATCTGCATGCGTAACATCAAACACGAGCATGTTGATAACGATGCTCGTTAGTGAATTACTCCATCGATCTCCTTCCTTATTGATCATTTGTGATGAATCGACTTGAAGAATAACATTATAATAGAATATCATGTCAGGAATGTGAGAATTATGTGGGTCGATCCTTTGATTTGACGGTACTTTTTGTAATGCCATAAGTGTGGCAACAGGTGCGTTGGGTAAGTATCATAAAGAAACGAAGAAGTTTAATAATTTTGAGCTGTTGTGACGATTAATATATCAGCGAAGCCGAAAAATGTAATTAGCTATTGTATACTGTCGTGAAGATCGATTGGTTTTATGGGTTAGTCGAATATACAAAGCGGGAATACTTCATACTTGAGAAGAAAAATACGACGTTTGTGGACGATAGTGACTCCTCCTTGATTACGACTTAAAGGCTTCATGTTATTTAGTCTTAGGTTTATATATGTTAAGAGTTGAGAGTGGTTTACAATAGAATTACAATGAATTACCATGGATATTACATGGAATGTTCATTTGCATACATGATAGGAGATAGAAGCAAGATAAAGTGAGATGATTAGTTGTGAATGTGAGAACAAATTGTTAACATTTGATAACAAATTTTTGGCATATGACTAATAGATTTATATTATTACTGAAGTATCGCGATATTGAATTTGCAACATATACAAGTATGTTAACAAGGCTAAATAGCAGTAAACAGTTTTTGAAGATATCAACAAGCTGAAGAATAAATGTATGCAGCAGTTAGGCCTCAATCCATGCGTGAACAAATTATGAAACCACACGCTGGAGCTGAAGCAGTATAGTAGCTAAAGCAACATGTCCAATCAAACATGGGTCACAAGAAGTGACCTGGAGATGTTCACCGCTAGAAGGGGAGGAATTTTCGAAGAAATTAAAAAGAGTGAACAACAATAGAGTTTTGATAGACTCGATTTAACAGTTCAGCAATTTGAGCGCAATTTATTCCTTCATTAACAGCAACAGTCCCACAGAGGAATGAGTATATTGAAATGTTAACAAACCCAATAGTGTACAACTTAGTGAACGTTCAGCTAAATATTGGTATAATTTAATATCTACTGTATATTCATTCTTTTTACTGTATGTTCATCCTTTTATTATATAAGTACGATATTGTATCATATCGTACAAAGCCAATAAAGCTATTATCGATGTTGTGGAGTTACGACAACAACAAAAACATACCGTTATATCTTTCTCCAACATAAGTTACAAATTTTCAACTTGACAAACTTGACAGGTTCGTACTTAGTTTGACAGTTTGGTTAAAAGAACTCTTAAATGCTTTTAATGTGCTAAAATGACAAATTCAACAGAAGCTTAAGCTAAACTGATCGCAACGGTCAGCCTTTTGAAAGAACTATTGTTTAAAAAAACAAAATATGATATCTGATTCTTTCTAAATTCTGAATTTCTGTCATGGGTATTCCTGGACACCTAACCTGACTTTGTCTACACAATTAAAAATTTACATAAATACTCTTACCATAATCTACTGTCTCAACGCCACTGCCCAAAGCTTTCATCCTATGGATATTCAAAAATACTAATAAAGTAATAATCATTGGTTGAAGAATGAATTTGGCTTAACGACACTTTGAAACAGAGTGAAGTAGGAATATTGTGATGGATATGTTCTGAATCCAATTTGAAAACTTCAATTCAAAGTTCATTGCGAAGTCTTTATGGAATCAGGTTGGTGGATAACAATTAGTTTTTTTTTGTTGAATTCCACAGGTTAAGTTGACTAATCTGAAAGCTTGTAATTCTGCATTTTAAAATATTCTGACAAGGCTCAAAATGTAATTTACAGTATGCACACATTAGTGAGGAAATACTTGAGTAAAATAATACCACAAGACCAAAGTGCTGGATGAACCATATCCATACTGTGCAAAGTCTCTTGCACATAATGAAACGTTATAATCTAGCGCTATTATGCAAAATTTAGCAAACATTTCTCAAACCGAAGGCTCAGATCAGATTTGCTAAATTCTCGGAATGTAATGACAGGTGACACTGACTTCTAGTGGTGCTACCAGTATTTATGTGTTGTGGAAACTTTTGACCATTTGTTGAGGGGCGTGCATTTGTATCATTTTAAAGCTCCTATATTGGTCAGTTAGTGAAGTATGCCGTAATAATATGCAGGCTAATTCCATGGTTTTAAAATCCGTTGGTGCGATGGTCTAATCTCCAGAATAAGTATCAGTTTTGAGAATACGGCGTTGATTGTGCGTTTAGTGAACATTTTGGAATGTGGGAAATCACTTTCAAAATTTAAAGATATGTATTGGTGTATTGGAAATATACTTCATGTCTTACTTTGTTAATAAGAAATTGCAGATTTTTCTTCTGCAAAATTGCAAGAAGTACAATATTCCATTGCTGCTCAAATGCATGAGAGATAAGCAATCAGTTGGATTTCATTGAAGAAAAATCATTGTTTTGTTTTTCTTTTATTTATATTCATATCTTCTTTTTTTGCCAGCACTTTTGGATGTAATACTTTAATGTTGTGTAGAGCCACCTTCCTAAATTTGAATTAGATTACTTTTTGTCAAGGCGGAAATTTCTTCCGTGTTTCAAGTAGTCACAGTGATGATACACTAGTTTGTGAAGGAAGGCATGAAGGAAGTTACGTTGGCTCTTCAAAGTAGGCAATATGCTGCTTCATTAGTCCATGCAAGCTGATTCTTATTTAATTGAAACCAAAAGCAGCTCACTATAGAATAAGCAAATTTTATATTTGCTGGCTAAATTGTTCAGGTGAAATACTATCTATAGCTGTAGAACTTTTAGCGATTAATTTAAAATTGCAAATTATTGAATAATCTTAAGAAGGCCTTTATTTTGTATTCGCTGATAACTTTATTATAGTCATTCGCAAAGTCGAATAACAGATCATAGAAAAAGTTGAACAGATCGTCGAATGAGGGGCGACTTTTTGGTGCCATCCAACAACATTTTATTAACGTCTAGAAAATTTGTAACGTTCTCAGAGTATGTTTTTCCTTGTAAAGTAATGGTGATAAATATTAAAAAAGAATAAAAAGTGCTATCATCTATTGATATTGCGAAGGAGAAAGCAAAATTATGAGGAATTGTTCATTTTCCATATATAATGGAAACGAGAAGTCCAAAAAATTTTACCGAAATAAAATTCGGTATTCTTTGCTGGGCACTTTTTTGTATCGTCATTCGTTTACCATATCCCAAAAATTTTATTAACCTTAAAATTATAGTAAAAATGTAGGTGGTGATTTCTAGTTTAACTATTCCAAATTCGCAATAGATCACTAACAGGAAGAGAACAAAATCTTGAACATTTGGAAAATTATTTATTTCTTTCATAAGTTAGAAAAGCCATCAATCTAGGAGTAGGAACCAGCCAAGATAGAAAATAGAACTATAGAAAAGACTACAAACTGGAGGAACATTGGTTTTTACAAACGCAATGTGATATTCATCAAAAAGTAAATAAAGTCAGCCTGAGAAGTACCCTTGCGGATTTTCGATTGGAATTTTTTCTAGTGAATATGGCAATTTTCCGGGATTTAAAATTTCAAATATTACACAGCCGAATGACCAAATATCAGTCTTGATACCAAATTGACGATATTCAAGAGCTTCATAATCCATCCATCTCCAGTGCAAAGAGCTAAGGTCTGAATTTTCTGGCTGAAATTGGCAACTCGTATCAAACTGGCATATCTAAGTTGGTTTTTGTTTGCTGTATCTGTTCGATAGTGAGTCAATACAGTGGGGTTTCCAGAATAGAGTGGTGTTCTATGGCAAAGATCTGCATCTCAATTTTTTTACTTATCTTATTCGGGATATTTATGTCTTTTATCAAGCTTTGTACCAGTTGAAAAAGGTACCAGTTTACTTAAAATGGAGAGGGTTAGCATGTAATCGGTAATTTTGATAGCCATTGAATACTGATGCTGTACATAAACGAGAATGTTCGCTGCTCGAAGATCTCGATGACATAAGCCGTTATTTTCAAGATATCGCATTCCAGCCGCTATCTGTAAAGTCATTTTGAACTGTACATAAATCTGAAGGAGTGACGGAAAGTTGCTGCGTCATGCCCTAATTTAAGAATTCTGGTTTTTTTTTTTTTCTATTTTTTTTCATTTTTTTTTTATTAAGAATTCTGGTCTAATCTTGTTGGATGAAACAGTATTTCTCAAATGAGGCATGGATAGTGGAAGATCAGTATACATAAAAATAAAATCCGAGAATCATGTTTGTTGTAGCAAATGTATTGTTATAGCAAATATTTTCAAAATTTTTTGGCAAATTGGACCGATGCTCGACCGATACACTACATTATTTTGCAGAAAGGAGTTGATACTTTAGATGTGATTATCTTGGTAAGCTTATAAGAACGATACTTGGTACATGATTTCAAAGTTAGCACGATTTGTCAGTGGTGGTAATCCGTCTTTTTTACGCATCACAAGTGCTACATCTAGCGAATTCCCGCTCACAAATTCATATGCCACCCATGGACCATACATCTGAGATTATAACAGACAGTATGACTTCTACAATAGACAATACATACCTCAAATATGTAGCCTTCAACGTAGCAAATAACCCTACGTATCAATGTTTAATTCATTTCAAGTCACCTTATCATTAGTGCTGAAACCGGCAATTTTGCAGATATAATCTTCACCTTGAATACGGTATGGAATATTTCTGCAAACAGTGATAAGGGTTCAATAACAGCTCTTTTACTTTTAGCGAAATTGGAAGAAAAGTCAAATGACGGTTACCATTTAATAGATGAATTTTAAGTTGTGCGGTCTTTTAAGTGCATGTTAAAAACTACATGTAACTTCAATAGACTGGGATCGTTTTGTACATTGGCGGCATTGTCAGAGACAATAAGTCAGAAACAACAGTTAATTACTTTGCAGCACTCGAAAATTCAGTAGCATATTGTCGATGTCCTACATGCAGTAAATCAAGACATTTTTCAAAAAGTTCTTCTTGATAGTAAGACTTCTTGAGTCGTTTGAATGCAACTTCGTTGTAACGACCTTCTGATGATAGTATAGCTAAAACAATAACTATTGGTCTATATGAAGATATAAATTATTTGAAGCTAATTATAGTTTATGCTGGTATATCCAGATCCAAAAATTGAAAGCAAGTTAAATTGGAGTTAAATTTTGAACTTAAATTAACCGCGATAAGTCTTTCCAGCAAATGTCTTGCGTTTTGTTGCAATTTCAGATATTATATTGATTTTGTAATGTATCACCTGAAGAATTATTTAAACTTCGAAGTATAAATGTGTTTAATTCAGCAGGTCATTTTTTTTTTTGGTTTTATTTGGATCACGCAAAAAAAAAGTAGACAGATGATATATCAGGATCAAGAATAATTTGATATTTCATGTGACCCCATTCATTAGAATATTTGAAAGTTAAGTTCTTATTTTCTTTTTTCATTGCTTCTTCACTGTCATTATTCACTAGAAAAAATTTTTGCTATTTTGCATACCGCCATCAACTACTGCACTGATTCAATTATTTGTTCAATGATAATGCACCTTCTTGTCTGATACCATAATTAGACCATTTGTGTGTTTGGATTCTTGGCAAAACGTTGGTGATACTGGTATTTCCATCGGTTCTGGTCCAAGGATTGGATTGGCATGGTATTCTGCTGGATATCCTAGTGCTAATGATGCATTCATATTTCTCATTGATTTTTGTTCAGCAATATTTCGCTTTGATTTTCTGCTTCCACCAGTTTGAAATGAAGTTTCAACAGAATTATCTTGTAATATCACGAAATATACTGAATCTCTATTAGAAAAGAAAATGAAAAGCTTAACTGGAAAAATACAAAAAATAAAAATTTCTGAATATAATGACAACCTTTATAGTAATTGAGAAGTTGATAAATCGTATGAAACGATTCCTTATTGGAATCAAACAGATAGAAATAACCTGTCCTATAAAAGCATTGTAGATGAGCTAATACTTCAAACTCCGAAGCTTTAAGTCTTACTCAAGACAGTTTTTGATAATTCAATCAGTAATTTATGGATAGGCATTGTGTACTTTGTAATATAAGCTGTGAAATTACGATATTTTGAAATTACGATATTTGATATTTTGTGTTGATTTTAGCGACACAGTACATCAAACGCAAGTGTGAAGAATGAAGAAAGCTTACGTTGTTCTTTTGATTCGAATATAAGCAATAGATGTGAGTGGTTGACTGGTGTGAGAAATAGTATCGGTTCTGATAGCTTGCACTGGATAGACCGGTGAAAATGTACGGCTAACGTTATGCTCTTGATTTTCTTCCCATTCATGGCAAAGTTCTCCCATTTCTTAAAATACCACTGAGAATTCAAGACCAAATTTCGTTTACTTTAATATTGATCTTTATATCTTTATTCTCCAGTTTATTAACAACTTGACAAGGTTTTTTAAATACTTTCAAATTTCAATATCTATTTACTCAACTTAACTCGATTATGTTAAAAAAGAACTATTTTCACAGTCAGTTCATTTCATAAATTTTTTACTTCGTTATTTACATGCTTACCGGTAAGACATTTTACAACTAATACATAATTAGGCCATCCTGCAACATGGGATATGATTTCCGATGGTTGACATACCAAATAACTACCAAATGATGATTGAAGATCATTTCGAAGCCAAATCCCTATCTCCACTGGATTAATACATCCAACAAACCACCTGGCAATTTCAAAAATTGTGAGTCACTTCGTACCTGATCTATTCTTTGAATTCACCGAGAAACACGAGCAGCAGATTAAATAAATCTACCTGCATTCCAGAATTTCTCGTGGAATATCGTAAGTAGACAAAATTGCTCGACCCACTGTTGTTTTCGGCAGTCCGGTAGAACTGTTTTAAAAAATGAACAAAAATAACAAACACACTAAGTTTTTTGGATGTTAATGCTATCATCTGTGAAAACTTATCCCTAAACTTTTAAATATTGGATAATTTCAGATGGGATTCACCTTAAAAATTGTAAATAGTCAATGGAAATGAATCCCTTGTTTTTACATGTTTTCCTGTGATGCAGTCGTTCAACTGTTACCACGTTTTGGATTTCTCTTGCTGCACCCTTTACTTCATAAGTCATTCTAAAAAACAAATTCATAATACATAAAAAAGCTCTTTCTGTCTACCCTTTTGTTTCACTGTATTCTTTAAGTTCGTTCTGTTCGATGAATTTTTTCTCCCATAATCTGTGATTAAAGTTAACCGGTTATGATATTCTCGTGCAATAACTATTTCTCCTTGATCAAGAGAAAGGAAATCCTGATGAAGTGATCGATGTTGCCACTGCACCTGTGATTGATAAATCTTTTTTAAACAATAAATTGAATCGACAAAATTCTGAATTTTCTTATAAACTTTGCTTTTATATGTTCATTCTTTGAAAACAGTAGGTTTCGATTTACTGAGGTTGGTTTAGATTCTAGCCATTTAAGTTTTAAAACCTTCATTTCAAGGTTTAAAAATTTGAACTCCTGTCAATATTCAGAATCTTGTTATTAAAACATACAAGAGATTAATTGATGAGTAAGTGGAGTTTTCTCTTATAAAACAATTATGATTATATAAACCAAAGATTAGATTATCACACGATATACAATCCAATTCTGATTAATCCTGGTAGTTATGTAAGCAACTGATTAGTATCACTAAATGAATATATACGCTTAATTATGACAAACAATATATAGATCGTCTTGCTGAAACATCCTTGAACATTTACCACCCATTGTTTTTGAAGTACTGAAGAGAATTATGAAAGGAATGACATTTATAGGTTCTTGCTTCCTGAATTATTTCTATGCAAATCTGAGTAACGGATAAAATGAAAAAACTAATTCAAAGATAGTCATGACTTTAAGAAGATAAGTTAGGGATTGATTACACGGCAACAATTCTTATCAGTAGGATAATATTTGTAGTAAATTTGATAGTCTCTAAACGGTGAACAAAGCAACTTCTCTTTCAACTAATTAACGAATGTATTGTAATCTGTCACCTGCCCTTTCATATTAACCAGTTATAATTAACTCGTGGGATTGAATGATTAGCTTGACTCATGACTTCCTCTAAATCCATTCCGTTAGTTTGCATAATTATTCAAATATTTTCTTAATGTTATAATCCCAGCAATATTTGGCACTGAAACAAAGTCATATTGTTTAAATTTTTCTTGTATTTCCTATCCAATGTCAATTTGATTAGTGCCATATAAAAGGATGTGCTAATTATTTGATTATTAAATAATGTTATAAAATTCATTCATTCAGCTAAGGAATTTGCAAACAAATACAAAATGCTTCAAAAGTGTCGATTTTTATGGGCAAATGGCACGCAATCCGGCATTGTTTATATACAAGACTATCACAATGTTTTCATTGAACGCATTTTTCATTCTCAAATTCTTGTTCTCATACTTTTTGGTTTTTTTAAAATAAATTATTGATTTATCTGATTTACATCGATTCTTTGATCAAAAATTAGATAATATTCAACATGTGAATAGCTGAGCAATTAGAATGCAACCAGTTAATGAAGTATTTGGGTTCTATTTTTTGTCTGAATTTTCCAAACTAATAAATATCAGTAAGTCAGTGCAGAAATGCTGACTTCATATTTTTTTGGATTAGTTCAAATTATTCATTTAATCTTCTTTCAACTGTTTTTAATTAGATGGCAAAAAGTATTTTAAAACACAATTTGAAAATTTTTAAAGTACTTTCTTGCAGTAGATGCACGTAGATGAATACTTCGTAAAAATGACAAATTGAAACTGAGAAAGAAATTTCTTTTTTGAATGTTTTTCTATTTCAGTGATGAATTTACTTCCTCGCACAGATTTTAGTCACTGCACTATCAATGATTTTATCATTCAATATCAATGATTTTTTAATATCATTCAATAATAAAATCATTGATTACTTGTATTTGGAACTGTCTGTTTAGCATTTTTTAAGTTCGTGATGGCTGTACAAACAACTTTCATATCAGGCATGAAATTCGCAAAATTCGAAAGCTTAGCAGATCTCTTGAATTTACTTAAATTTTCCAAGTCATTGACATCATAAGTAGTGCAAAAAGGAAAAAAAAAAACATTGTAGGGTTGGCCAACAAAAAGTTCTCACACTAACGATCGAATTTAGAGTTAACGCAAATTCATCAAGTAACAGGCAAATATTTTCTAATCATCATTTCTTGCCATCTCTATTTACAATGCCTTTCGTGAATTTGACAAATTTTGGAAAATTCCTAAACATTTATCAATTTTCAATTATTCCAAAAAACTTGTCATCACAAATATCATTAATTAAGTGAAATATCGAAGACGAATAGATATGATCAAGAGTGGTTTGCGCGACTTAACAAAATAATAGTAGTTAGTTTCAGAATTGTAATTAACAGAGATCATTTCAGTTGTTTTATTCCAATAATGTTTTGTGGCGAACTAAAGCTAATTGGGCAAAGGAAATACAATAGCAATAAGCTTTATCAAAAAATTCCTCATTTATAGGTTGAAAAGTTAATCAATCAAATGGTAAATCAACTTTTCACTTTCAAGCTCTGTTCATTTTTTTAATGTAAATGTATTGAAGTTGAAATGTGTTTATTTTGTTAAAGTTAGTTGGCGTGAAGCGCAATAAAAGGAATAAAATCTCTTTACATAATATTCTAGCAATAGCATGAAATGAAGAAGAGAAAAAAAACTAATTGTAACGTACTATTCGTAATACCATCACAAAATTTTGTGTAGTTTTTTTTCCTATTACCTCTTTAATTCCTTCCTCTCGATTTCTTTTTGATTGCTGTTATCTTACATTCGATCTTTTCCATTTATTAGATTAATCTTTTATTTCTATTACAAAGATCTTGCGAAGTCTTTGTCAAGAAGCAAACGAATTAGTTCTTTTAAACAAAACATTAGAAAAAAATTTTCGTAGTTTTTAATTTGGGTCTAGCCAATTCCTTTAATTTGGAAGATAAACCGCTTTTAGCTTAATTTTGGTGGCAGCTTTAAATAATAATAATAATAATAATAATAATAATAATAATAATAATAATAATAATAATAATAATAATAATAATAATAATAATAATAATAATAGTAATAATAATAATAATGACAATAATAATAAAACTTCCCAAATTGGTATTGTTTATTCATGAATATTTCCAGCTTTCTTCTCTTTTGAAAACAAGTTGAATGAATTTGAAAAAGCTGAACATGAGATTTTGATTTAGCGAGACAAACTAGCCGGTTTACTTACAAAGGCGCTAGCGTTTGTTAGTACATTTGTTCATTGCTTTATTTTACCACCCTTTGAATTTTCTGGAGTTTTCTCCTTAAAACTTCTAACAAATTAAAACTACAAATTTCGGGTTAAAAAAAACGGTTTTCAAAAGAAAGAAATCATTGTGAAATCAAAAAGTGTTATTGCCAAAATTTTTCCAACTTTGAATGACATATGTTTGTCAGGAAGTGAATAATAATTTTCACCTAACTGACTAGTTGTACTTTCGTAAAAAGGGAGAACCTCTGATTTGTCAAGAAAATGTTTATTCGATTTAACAAAAGTTTTATGGCTGAGCAAACCATGTCATTTATTAAAATATCTAGAAATGCATAAATAGATTGTTTCTACTTTTTGTTTATTCGGGAAGTAGCAAGGACACTGATAACCATTTTTTCTCAAATCTAATAGTCTCATTTTTAGAGTTTCCATCACTGGTAGAATACTTCACTTATCAGTGATAATGAAATGATGATCTAATGCAGAAGTAAACTTGACATGAGAAAGACGTGGAAATTTTGATTCATTTGCTTTACTATTTTAATTTCAAATAATAGTTCTTTCGGAATAGAATTATACAAAGTTCTTTTTTGGGTTAATTCTGCTGAAGTGTATTTCAAGACTGATTAGTGTTTATTGAAAAGAGTTAAATTACACTGTAGTTTTTTGGATAAAATGAGTTTTGAATCTTTTCTTATCAGATTCTTTCATAACGTCTAATCCGCTGATATCCCACATACCTGCTTTGTTACATCTTTTTTTTTTTTGCTTCATTCTTGGAATTAGCTCAGATTTTATGCCGCTCATAAATTTCTTTGCTTCCGAACATAAATAGCAAGTTTATCTTTGATCATAACTGGTTACAACCATGTTATTGAAGCAGTCGCTGCCGATCGATACGGGAAGATTAGCATAGCTCACACGTTGACGTGATTACATTCAACTCTAAAGTTCATCGTACCATTTGCGGAGAAAATCCGGAAGATCAAAGATGGAAGTTTTGATAAATTCCACATTCTACTAGTTTAAGCCATAATGGATGATCTTTGTTGTTCATCCGATCCAGTGTTTTATTACAAATCAAAAATTTCATTCTTTTTCAAAAAAATAATTGACCCAAGTTGATCGCTTTCTTTAAAATTTCTATAAAAGCTTCTCCATGAAATGCTAATCAGAAATTTCGGGAATGTTTATACCACAAGAAGTGTTTATCATAATACGAAATATGGTGCCCTTCACCAATCCATAAGTAAATAACCCTCTCTTGTCTATCAAATTCCAAACTCCTCAGAACCAACGATTTCTGGATATTACGAGGATTTCTGGACAGAATTTACTGTTCCATTTTGAAGAACAGAAATCTATGTATGTTCGTTTTCACATCTTTTTGCAGTTAATATTTCAACGATTTAATTAATATTTACATGAAATAAAACGAAAAAATAAACGATCAATTTCTAATTCGTTTCATTTTCTATACTTTTCATTAATTTAACGAAATTAATAGGAGCATTTCTATTCAACTTACCACTGATAATGTTTGCTTATTGCAGTTCGTTTAATAGAATCAAATGCGGTAAGTCACACGTGTGACTGCAATTATGGCCATTAAAGTTAGAAAATAGAGCCAAATGCATGTATAAACCGAAATGAAAACAAACTCGGATTTATTCATTTCAGATTCCCCAATACTTAACTGTTGTTCAAAGTGGGGAAATTCCTTCTTCTTCTTCTTTTTGTTAATCAATAATCACTTCAAATACCTGTTCTGTACGTAATGCATGTGAGCGTTCTTTTGCATATATGTATGTGTGTATGTATGTATGTGTGTACACATCGTTTATTGAAAAATGGTAACATATCATGAGCAATTAAATTAGTGTTTGTTAGATCGTTTAAATTTTTTTGGCTCTAAATTCCACTCTCTTTTCTCTTTTCCTACTGTCCATTTCCATCTCTAACTGTTAGCTTTATTTCCTTCCTTGCTTCTTTAAAAGCTTAATTGTGACTATGCTATGCAGTATATCCATCACAATGAAAATCTCTAACTAATTAATCATATCCTGGACAGTACTGACAGATGAGAATGAATGCCCAATCCCAATTACGTTCTGTTCGCCTCGCACTTAAGCGCAAATTTATGTCAACCTTTTCATTATCACCGAGGATGTTCTATCAGTCCTTAAACAAACTTCACATAAAAACTTTAAGAATGAAAATTACAGAAAATGATGAAAGAAAAACTTGGTTAATATTCAGTTTTAGAGTAATTTGTTACCATTGATTTTAAATGAGGGAGTACGAGCTGAACGCATCTGAACTGACATTCTCGCAATCTTACTAAGAGAGCAAAAAAATTAATTTAGAAAAGCGAACGCCTCAAAATAAAACCATATGTTTACATGAAAGACCGTGGATGCTATTCGGTGTACCCTTTCTGCTTGTTAGTGTCCTGTGCAATCGACAGATGTACCAAGTGTGACAACAGCACTCTTCCTATCATCTTGTTTACTAACATCTTTTGTGCTACAGAATCGGAATTTACTACTGGTTACTGCTGGTACTGCCTTAGGCAATTGCGCTTAACTGAATTTTGGATTCAGATGTTGTATAGTGCCGATATATGACTCAAAACGTTAGCAATAGATGGATGCCATAAAAATAACTTTTAGGATATTTTTTCAAAAAACTTGAATATCTCTTATGTACACTAATCACTAAAAAAAAAAAATTTCAAATAACGGATCTTCAATATTTGTCATTTTAATTATCGGATAAACCTTATTTGATATCATTCCTTGTTCTATTGCTATAGCTTTTATTATTCCAAATACATTATAAGAAAACATCACTTCCAAAAGAATGAAAAGTAGTTGATAGTTGACTTACATACACGTAATAAGTATTTGACTTACACACACGCTCACATACATACAATTGAATACTGGAACATTTGGACATACGCAAGCGTACGATCATACATACGTACATTTGCATATCAGGGAAAATCCAATCTTGCTTCGCTTTTAGGGACTAAGTGCATAATCTTTTGAGAGAAGAATTAGTTTTTTTTTTTTTTTTTTTTTTTGTAAATAAAAATTCATTTTCTCAATTTCACTTGGAAAAATAACGAAATATCCAAAAATATGTCATTTTTTTATTTATTCAATTTGATCAAAATAGTAATGGGAAAATTATTTATTTGGATTTTTTACTAGATGTTATCGTAGATCACACACACAAGTGAAAACTGATTTGGACTAAAAGGTATTATAGTTAATTGGTTATAACTTTCATAGCAAAGTTATTTTATGTTTCTATCCAAAACCAACCAATCAGCCCTAATCATTATCATAATATATTTTTGTTATTAATAATTCTTGTGGAACTGAAAATACGGAGTTTAAATACTCCATCGCTTTGATGACTGTCATTAATAATCTGGACATCTGGCTGTTTCACTCTTTTCAGACTTATCCTGATTATTTAAATCTCTCTTTTGATAAGAACTAATTAAAATATATATATTTAACTTGGAATTAAGCATAACTTTAGCACTTAAATGTATCAAATAGCTTTATATACATAACACGGTTAAATTGCTATTGATGAATAGCTTTGTGTTAAAATACTCTATGCAAAATCAAAGAATTTTAATGGATCTCTCCAACTATCGATCATTTTTTTTAATGTGCATTTTTCGTGGTTGTATACTTTCGGAATAGAATTCTGAAAAATGCTTGAACTGAAAATTTGGGTCATATCTGTCATCGGAGATTTGCTGATAGATAATATACTCTTCAGTAGAAAAGTGAGTAAGCTCATCATCATTTTTCTAGAAAGATTTAAAGACATTCTTTCTATTCTATACTTTCCCAAATGGACATTTTTCGTCGTCTTCTCCCGATCCCGTTCTACAAAATTGATATGCTGTACTTGATATGTTCTATTTATCAGTACCAGTAATGAAAGACTCTCCTGCTGGCAACTGTTCTTCCAATAGCATTTACTTTGCCAATTTTAGGCGTCTTGTATCTAGCTGCAATTAAATTTTTATGTTTTGTGCCGACCTCATTAAACGTTATTTATTTTATATTTTGTAGATTTTTTCATTCCGAACTTATACAAATAGCAAAGGCTGTAAAACAAAATATTTCCGTTTGGTAAGTCATTGAATATTCATTCGAAACTTCTCAAGCCTTACTTTTATTTAAATATTGCGTTTCTCGCTGAAAACTTCTAACATTTTGGTATGTAACTGTCACATATGTGAGAATTCAGGATTTATAATGACAAAAAGTGACAAAGAAATGTTTCGTTATTCTGGAAACGAGACGAAAGAACAGGATAGCATACAGCCGGACAACTCAATTCAAGTGAAATGCTACGAATCCGACAATTTTCAAACTTTTCAGAAAACTGCAAGTTTCAAAAATATTTTAACCAAACATTACGAGCTTTATCCGATATTTTTGCCTCAGTGTCATCTGCTTTTATTACGGCCAAATTGGTATCTTATTTTAAAACAAACTGATCTTACAATTCTTTCTCTCTTCTTTTTGATGCTTCTGCTTCAAAAAGGGCAGATGCGACATATTATCAAGCGTTTGAACTGTCAGTGGTTTGCATAATTCCTTGGTGTAACTGCTTGCAGGCTGAAGTGAAATTTACCGATGAATCTGATGAAAGATTCAAATAGAATTCTGACATCCATTTTAATTCTATATAAAAACCCTACTATCCATTTGTGAAAAGTTTTTTACATAATTTACAGGTAGACGATTTATTGTTAGCAGCAAGTGTTGCAGCGACCATTTTCAATGTTTTAGTAATTTTCTGTGCTATAAAATTATTTCGGCGAAGTGGCGACACGATGCATTTATTCATTATCAGTATGAGTATCGGTGATTTATTACTTACAGGTGACTGATTCGGTTTTACTAAGAATGATTAAGTGTGTAGCGATAGTAACATTTGAGCAGTGTATTGAATTAGAAATCTGAAACCAAAATTCGAAAATTAGTCCAAATCTGAGAATTAAACTTAAGTTAAAGTTTTGCCATCACACCACTTCAGTGCTGATATTTTAGCAACAATACATTCGAACAGTTAGACGGAAATTCGATGAAAATCAACTGCTATCTGAAAATTAACTTCGTAGTGAAGGGAATGAAATGATCCGTTCAAAAAGAATAAAAAATTGAAATATTTTCAATAACCGTCTTTACAGCCATTATCGTTTTAACTAGACAACAATGTGTGCAGTGGTAAATTTAATGAAATTGTAAGCCCAACATAAAAGATGTAAGATTTTAAAACACAGTGCCAATAACTGAAGTAAAATTTAACTTTCAGTATTTTGTCATCCAAATGAATTCTTAATTCGCAAGCATGAATTCCTGCGACATGCACGCTTATGTGCAATAACTCATTTCTGCAATTGGTTAGGCTTGGCAGTATCAGGTCTATCACTAACAATGCTTAACATTGATAAACTCATTTATTTCCAATGGCCGCTAAGCTACGACCGTGCAATGTCGAAAAAAAGAGCTTCCATTTTATGTGTTTTCATTTGGAGTATTTCAGTAGGGCAAGTTTCACTTTTTTTAGAAATTTTCGAAAAACCAATTTCCTCTATGATTTTTGGAAAATTTTAGTTCCTGTAAAAATAACCCTATCCTCATCTCAAAAATATTTTCAGTTAATTATTTCGAAAAATAAGTGAGTCCTTCACTTAATAATTTGTAACCATAATAAGCTGTTTTAAATTCTGTAAAAGTAGAAGCACGCAATTTCTTCCAAGCAATTATTTATAACACAGCAATACATTATGATATTAAATGATTAGATAAACTTCATCGTACGATGAAAAAAAGAGCTTCCGTTTTATCATAAATGGCATTTCAGATATGTGACGTGGGTTTGGGTGTTCAATGTTGTTTACATTGGCAAAAACTGCAATTTGCAAGTAAGTATCTACAAAATTCATTATTTTCTAAATTTTTTTAAAACGAATTCTTGTCCTGACGAAGTCGTGCTAGCAGTTTAAAATTTTGAATACATCGTATTTTTCACATATAACGTCATCGTATTTTCACATAAAACGAAGCCTTCAAAGCCTAAAATTATATCATCCGCCAATGTTCGAATTGTTACGTTGATCAAGCTCCATAACCGTACATTTAACATGAAACATTTGATAAATATGTATTTCATAGCTACCATTTCGTTACCAATCGAAAGTCTATCTATCCTCGGTATTTTAATTTGACTTATAATGTTTCAAAAATTATCTTGAAATTAGTTCAACGTTCGGTTTTTTGTCAAAGTAAATAAATAAAAGCAGCAGAAAATAAGGATTTATAAGTAATCAAATGTGTTTTTACCAGATGACCAGTGATCAAATGTATTTTTACGACATGTTTATGGTAACCTATTGCGTATTGCCAGTGACTTCATCCCTAATTGTTAGTGGTTATTTATATCAACTTACTCGTGAAAAACGCCATAATGGAGCTTCTGTTGGACAGTCCCAAAAGTTTAAGAATAAAGTTAGTTCATTCACACCACAGTGCTTATTTTTCTACTTAAAAATGCGTCGTTTCAATGTTAACTGTCTAATGATTTAAATCGATTCTTAAGTATATGAAGTCTTTTGAATCTTAACATTGCGCATTTTTCAACTTAAAAAAGCATTAATTTTAATTACTGCACATAACTATATGTTTACTTCATTTTGCTCTTTAGAAAAAAAAAATAAAAAAATAAAAGAAGCTGACCCCGATATTTGATCTGCTTTTTTTCACAATAATAGTTGTCTGAGATTCAAGCCACAGACGTTCAAAGCTTTTGGCCTGTCGTCCATCTCTCTGGGTTTCATCAGTGCCCATTTCCTCTCCAGAATCGCGATCAGCACTTCTTTCGGTTATTTTTGAAAAACTAAACAAAACAAAGCAGTAAAACAGGTGCCCTCTTCTGTTGAAACAAAGATGTTACGTGCAGATGAAATCACTGGTGTTTATTTTCGCCACAACAGCATGGACATCATTCAGTTTATTACCGTATCGCATTTTCAACATCTGCCGAATGCACCTGTTCGAATGGAATACTTTAGACTGCGACACACAATCCAAAATGAATTGGCTTGCTTATGTATTGCTTTACCTGCTTTTCTTGAATCCGGTTAGCTCTTCCTTCACTAGTGAAATGAACAGTAGAGTCATCAGAAAGTGTGAGTATAACTCCTATTAATGGAATATCAATCGAATTCTCCCGTTTTGTTAAATCACTCAATCTTCTTTCGCACTTTTTCAGATAATCAATCCCTTGATAACCGCACTAATATATGCACCGTACCGAGTAACATTGAAGCGATTTTTATTCAGCATTCCTGATAGAAATCATCCCTTATATAGCTGTCGTGATAACCACACTGATTTAAGGTATTTCGTTACAGAATTCGTTTACCAAATAATGAACCAATATATTGGATCAAATTATTAGTTGATACTAGCTTAGTAAGCACTTTAATTTACTCCAATTAATGAATCAATTTTTTCAGGTTTATGTCGTCTGAAAACTTTTAATCACAAGTCAATTACCAAGTTTTTCATTACATACACTACCGCTTTACAGCTATACATGGGTTAGTAACAGACGATCTCGAGGATGTCGTGAGTCGGAGATAACTTTGGGTCGTGAAATGGTGAATTTGAATCTAAAAGCGGAGATTGAAAAATACGTCAATACCAATAGCGAAAGTTCATAGACTCCATGTATCGCAGAATGTGAGAAGGGAGAAAATGACGTGAGGATTGACGTCTGCACAATATGATCTAATAACAACAGCACTGCGATTTTGTACTAAGTAAAGCACTAGAAAATTTAAAAATCAACCATAGGCGTTAATAAACATAATAACTAACGTGAAGTTTCTCACCGATATGAAACAAAGCCTTAAAGAGCAATGTTTATGTTGCAGATTGCACTCATTTCAGAATCAGTAATTCATAATCGCCTTTTCTTGAAAATGTGAAACTGTCATGCTCTCCAAAGTATGATTACTTCATCTTTCCTCCCTCTCTTCATTTTATAGCATTAGAAGTAAAACTGACTTTTCACTCTTAAAACGAATTTCAAATAAGTTTCAGGTTACATCAGATAGCGGATATGTATCATTATTTGCAGTATTCACAGCAATGATCATTTACATTAAATACCAGTAAAATTTGCCATGTTTGTACGTAAATGCTACGCCAGCACGGGTTAACGAAGCGGACCAATTGTACCGTCGATTGTATATTATATTTCCTTTGTTCGTTTATTTCCGCATTCTACTACGTGATAAACTATGCACGCTTGTCCACTTACTCATTTCTCATGTGTATCCCCTCTGACAAAAACACCAGATATGAGAATTTTGAAAAGCACTATGAAATGAGATTAGGAGGTAAGGAAGGGAAGAGAATAGATATTAACATTAATTTCAAGAGACGCATTTGACATTCCTTTTGCAGCACATCGAAAACGATGCATATCCTTCCTACACAATATTTTGAAGTTAAGCAAAGAACGGACGATAACAGACATGAAAAAAGACATATTTACGGAGTTTAGACTGCCTACTATGATACCTAGTACTGTCAGTAAATAGGCTGAAGGTAAAAAACAATCGACAACAACGGGGATTTACTTATCCAAGTAGAGTATTAAACGACGTGAATCACAAAAAACGACGAAGAAATTCAACGGGTGGAGAAATACAATGGCAAGCACAATATTCTGGCAATAAATGACGATGTACAAGCAAACGACAGTTACGACACTCAACGACAATTCAAGGATCAAGAAGAAAAGGAGAAAACAACAACAGTCAGCTCGGCTAGTTCTACTGATAGTACAACCGAAGCGAAGGGAAGAAACGTGACAAAATTATAATTTAAGCAGGGAACAATTATATAAAAGGAATCGTCTTTTATTAAATAAAGGTTGAAATATTCTTTCTTTTCTACAAAATTTTAATTATTGCTGCCGAAGGTACTTTAGGTAACCATAGAATAAGGAGGGGATTGTATATAGTGTATATAGGATTTTATAGTTAATAAAGAACAAAGGAGGTCGTTAACAAAGGAGTCATCCTAACAAGCAACGAAGCGAAGGGAAAAGCATAATGAGATAATAGATGTACAAAGGAAACGATGTGGATATTAAACCAGAACAAAGAAGGGTTGTCAGCGATATAAGCCGAGCAATTTCTCGATACGGATGTTGCATGGGATCGACGAGTTGAGGGATGGTGGTGTTAGGGCGCGCTTAGATCGCGTTAGAGGAAAACGGTTAGGAGGACGCGTAAGAAGGATTAGTTCTTAGGACACCAATAGGACAACAACGGGGTTTAATTACCCAAGTTTGAGGTAAAAGCTTTGATAATGCTTAGAAACTATTTTGAAACGAAGAGAAACGATTAATCAAATTTATGGACCAAAGAATCCAGACCATGCAAAAACAACGTGCAACAGAAGAATTCAATTCAATCAACCAAGAGGAACATCAGTAATACCGGCAATACAATTTCAAAAGGAAACCACAAATCAAAACATCAATTCTAGCAAAAGATCAAGACCTTGTGTATTTTGCAATCGAGATCACTGGGACAACGAATGCCGAAAATATACAACTTCGGAAGAACGCTTTGCAAGATTAAACGCTCTAAGAGCCTGCTTAAATTATAATTTTATCACGTTCCTTTGCTTCGGTTGTACTATCAGTAGAACTGGTCAAGCTGACTGTCGTTGTTTTCTTCCCCTTTTCTTCTTGATCCTTGAATTGTCGTTGAGTGTCGTAACTGTCGTTTGCTTGTACATCGTCATTTATTGCTAGAATATTGTGCTTGCCATTGTATTTCTCCATCCGTCGAATTTCTTTGTCGTTTTTCGTAATTCACGTTGTTTAATACTCTACTTGGATAAGTAAATTTCCGTTGTTATCGTCGATTGTTTTTTACCTTCGGCCTATTTGCCGACAAATACTTCGAACTTTCCTGATCGATCGTGAAGTTGGAAGGATAGTTTTCATGCCGACCAAATCAATAGTGATACATTGGGATGGAGGAGTCCGGTGTCAAGGAACGTGAGTACCCCGGTGTCAGTCTGAAAATATGGGTAGTTCTGGTGAGGTTGGCGTTTGGTGTGGTTTTCGGGCAATGTGCTGTTGGGGGAGGAGATAGTCGCTTGGTAGGCAAACTGAGAAGTGAGAATGGCAAAGAAGTCAGGCAGTAAGGTTTGCTGAGCAAAGTTGGCAAGATCCTATACAAGCGGGGACTTAGTTTTTTCTTTTTTTTTTTTTTTTTTGAACTTTTAAAAGGTCGGAAATTTACTTGATTTCTCGAGAAATAGCATTTGGGCTGTTTTTTTAACTCGTTTTTTGAAGTTGAAACTGTTCCCGTCTTGTAGGACTTGTTTATCAAAGATTCCGGTCTTTTTTTCTGAAAAAGGATTTCTGGTTATAGTTACGGGAGTGATTTCTGATAGCTCATAGCGCTTTCACAATGATCCGAAAAAGATGTGTTTTATGGAAATACATTTCGCCAGCTGTATTTTCTGAGATGGGATTCCATTCAACTGATGGATGTAGATATTTATGGAATTTACGAAAAGTAGGTTCTTCTCGATCGCAGTGTACGCTAATCGACAATGTCTTTGTGAGATTTCGGAGTGACTATTTTAGGTTTTAAAATATTTCCTTGTGCTTCTTTCTCTTCCAACTTCTCTCTGCTTTTTATTTTACCACTTCAAAATTCATTTCGATTTTGAAGATGATTTTTTAAATTCTTGACATATTCTTGTATTATTCTCTTCTCTCAATTTAGAATTTAAACGAATTTCCGGTTTACCCAATTCATGAATTAAAATTCCGTAATAAAACTCATCTTTAAGCTTCAAATTATAAGAGGATTGTAATTCGCTTTGTATATAAACCACCTGTTTTTCAGACACCTATCAGGTGGTGTTCCAATGAACCAGTTTTCAAAGTTCGTAAAAGGATTCAGTGGGATAAGTCATTTGAACAGCAAACATGCACCGAAGTAGAAACATCTTCTACCGTTCAAACAGTTAGGATTTTTTTTTTTTCATTCTTATCTTGAGTGGTAATAATGGTTTTTTTTTTGAAATTAATTTCCTATAACATTTTTCGTATGAACAGAGACGGTACATTTTCACTGTATTGTTACGACAGTCTTTAGGAAAATTATTCCTGCAGGAAACATTGTATATAATTGTGCTTTAACTACAAGTGATCATTTCTAGTAACAGTAGTATGTTTGATTTTGGAATAATTATATTTAAGTTATTCTCAGATACCGTTTTGTGCTGAATGGGAATACTTAACGGTTTATGTAGTATACCCTATATGTATTGCAGGAGGATCAATCAGAAATTTTGGTCGATTTCAATAACAGAGAGCCAAAGACTCTTGCTGAAGCAACTGTGTTAAACCAGTTATACATCAGAAAAATTCGCGAAACGTTGCAGCAGCTTGATCAGAGAACACAGCATGAAAATTTTTTCAAAAAAATCAGTGAAAAATGGAATTTAAAGCTGGAACTCAGGAAGGCACGATTAATGCGACCTCAAGACCAAGTTACATATACGAAAGAAATACTGACAGTAATTTTTATTTGCTGTATTTAAATTTCTTGCTGCATCTAGAGAAAATAAAAAGTTTTCATGTTTGGAAATTGACAAATATAGTTATACCTAATTTCTTTTTTTCACTGTGAAACTGGATGTATCAGTTAAAGAATACATTTCTCGCAAAAAAAAAAAAAAAAAAATAGAGAAAAGAAATTTGTCTCTTTTCTAAAACTTGGACAATTTTCAAAGTGAAAGACCAACTTTTAGAAGAGGTTATTTCACCTTCAACATTGTTCCCAACATGTTTCTGTCGACTTACATAATTGTGGAAATCTATACAGACCTTAAAAATTTTTTTTTTATTTCTTTGTTTTTTATTTTTTACATTAGTAGGTAGTCTACTGAAAGTTTTAGAATTTGGACCGTTCCGCTGCTCAGCTCTATTTTGATTGCGCTAATCGATTTCCATATTTGAAGCTCTGCACTGGCAAGTTTGTTTATTCATTTTTAAATTCACTTTGTAGAATCTGTTGTTTTTTTCTTTTTTTTTTACCTAAGTGTTGCTATTTTTCCATCAAAGTTGGAATTAGCAAATACTATCTTAGTTAATAAATGTCGTTTTCATCTAAATTACTTGTTTTGTTACAGCGCTTTGCTTACCAGACTATCTATCGACGTGGTACAAGCTCACCCTGATGCATACTTGGTTAGTCCATTTTTTTGCCCAATCTTTGTATCACTGAACTTTTATTTGCGTGTTTTTCATAGTTTATATCCGTGTAGTTTCTTCTCCTGTTCAATCCATCGTTTTTTTTTTTTTTTTCAAGTTTTTTGAGGTAGTGATTGTTTACAGGATGCTGCTTGTTCGCTTACAATCTGTTTTAGAAGCAGCAGCTTTTATTAGACTCAGAAACAGTGTTATCGAAATTATGTTTGGTGACGTTGATAAACGTCTAAAAATTGTCTCGGTATTTTTTCGTGGTTATTAGTAAATAGAGCCTCATGCAACGTAGCATTTCTTTGATTTTCACTCTGCTGAAACCTTCGAGTAATCGTCATAAGTTTTTCAGGAAGAATTGCACGAAATGTTATACCATAAAAGTGACAAATGTCGTATGGCCGGTTTGTACTTACAAACATTTCTCGAGTATGATGAGGTCAATGCATTATTTTTCTATATTCACAATTTTGACTTTGATTATCCTGCGATTTGTCGGTTTTTCTGTTTTTATATAATGCTTCAGCGATTATTCAGGGATTTCTGTCCGATGACACTACATTAGCTGGAGCGTTATGGCGTAATCTTTATATGCAGCGATCTGTAGATCCAATTCATCTCAATCGAGCAGTGTATTATGTGCGTGGAACGGTTTGTTTCAATTCTAGATAAAAACAAATATTATTATAATGAAACCTACACAAGATTATTTTTGAACACTAAAATTATCTAAGATGAAATTATGAAAGGGAGGAGTCCAGAATACAGACTTTGATGAATACCGTCTATAATTATTTGTAGATTTTGCTAATTGCAGATGACGTACTTGGACAGTCTCAGCTTGGAGAAGATCCTTTTACAAGGTATCAAGAATTGGAAAACTGCACTTCCAAGTAAAGAAATCAACGATAAAAATGCTTTTGAAGTAGCTGAGAATGTAGCTTATTCATTAATGAAGCAAAAATATAAGCATGTCTAAAATAAATTTCCCGGTGTATCGTGCGTTCATCTATTAATGAAAAAAAATAATTGGCAAAGCAAGTTCATATAGGTTTAAGCTACTTTTTTGAAGTTACTCCATCATAAATAATCTAAAGTAGAATTGAATTAGGTATCCATTTAGTACATTCCTCGCCTTCCATACATTTTCTTTTAAATTCCTGTTCCATTTTTGCTACGAAAACAAGTGTATTTACATTTTTAAGTCTTCACTGTTTCTATGACGAGCGTTGATATCGTAGATAATTCCTGAAGATATAAACAGCAAAATGGATGTAGAGATTTCGTACAAGATAGTGTAGAGATTGCGTACAAATCTGAAGAACAAGTTTCTAGACTTCTCAACTTGCAAGAAAAAAGGAAAATGGAGACTTATTTTTTTTTCTTATTTACTTGAATAATGAGTGAAGGAATACCCAATAAAGTTAACATAAATATTCGCAATTCTTACCTATGCTGGTGGAGAGTTTCTTTTTTCTTTTGGCTTCCCAAACTTTTTGTTTTCTCTCGGTTATTTTTATGTTTTTATGTGTTCGTAAAGCCTTGAAAAGTGAAACTGCATTCCTGTGGTTTTCGCTCCATCGTTGTAGTTTCATTCGATTCATTTCTGCATTTAAGAATTTCTCGCTTGGATGAAGTATGAAGGAATCACTTAATAATGAAGCAATTGGATTTTGAAATTAAGGGAGAGCAAATGCTGGAGAGAAGCAGTTGGCAAGGATTGAGACAAAATAGCGTTAAATTAATCTTTTGATCAGCCCGACTGTTGACTATGCTTGTTAATACTTCCAGTTCTTAGTGGAGAGACGGTATCTTATTACTACAGATCAAGGAATCTGATTTCGTGTGCCAGCTGTTGGTTGGGTTGATTGCTTCTTTTTTGCTCCGTTAATAACTTACTAATTCCACTCTTCCCATTATCACGCGAGAATGCTCGTGAAAAATCCTGATACTGGTGGTGTTGATCTTTTTTTAATTAACTTCACCGAAAAATGAGAATCCTTTGCCAATCAACTCTTTGTAATTGTTCCTTTACTTGTTCGATTGCGATGTGAATATGAATAATATAAATATGTTGAACTTTAAATGAACTGTTGTGACAAACAATGTGTAAGTTTGGGTTTTGAAATAATGATTGGAGATTGATATGTTTAACATATGCGCTGGCATCTTCCATTCTTTCGTTGTATTTTTCAGTCCTTTTCATGCCACTAGAATTGTGCATTATTGGTAAAGATGAGATGAATGTTTAAAATTTTCAGCCATTTTCCCTCGCTTCAGCGCTTCGAGTAGTGAAACGCCAGCGAAGCAAATATCGCCATACGTCGTTTCGATTTCAGCATAGCGAACAAATTTCGCCTATGTCTTCGATTGCTTCATCCTCCGTGTCTCATATCCCTATGAACGCTTTTCTATGTTTGATGTCTTTTTGTATGAAACAAATAGCCGAGCGTCTTTACTGGGATTATTTTCTTTTCAACTGTTGTTATACTTATGGTCATAATGGGAGGAATTAAAGGAGGATTCTGTCAGCACTTGTCTCCTAAAGACATCTGGTGCTTATCATTTGCTAATAATGTGTAAAGCATTTATTAACAACGTAAGCGTTTGTAAGCTTTCTGAATGAACCTACTTCAGATTCTCTTGCTTTCTAGTTTTTGTATTACGTCTCAAGTATTAAAAAATCAATCAGTAAAGCTCTCCTTTAGCATATATATTACCTTCCGGCGCGAGAAGCTAACGAAATGTCCACAGAAAGTGGTTATTTACAAAGTTGTATATAACACTCATCCAGACTATATCCTTCTACTGCAGTAAATGATAAAAAAAAAAAAGGAAAAACGAAAACGCTTAGTCGAACCATAAGTGAAGAATACTTTTATCTTAAAATATCTTTTCCTGTTTAATTCCTTAAGTAATCTCCGTCTGCATCTCACTTCTGTTTGACCTTATTTCATTAGTGTTTCTCAGCATTGGTTAATTATTTATGGATAATGCTGGAATTTATTTTTTGAGCTTGTTTCAGTGGAATTTTAGCAGGGGGGCCGTTTAAAGTCTTGTTCAGGATTTAAAATCATGATTTTGAATTTTTTTAAGTTGAAAGCGACATTTTAAAGCCAATTTTAAATCCAGTCTTATGTCTTAATTACTGATGCCAATGAAAAAGTGAAAAAGGCAAAGCAGAAGGAATGGAACTGCCAACTTCATGCGAAGCATTAGTTGCTTCAATTTTCTGTTTTAAACTTCAACAACATAGTTTTTTCCTGCATAATTATTACAGAGAAGTAATTATTACACTTTGGCTGCAAAGGCAATCTTTTGTGCACGAAATTAAGTTCGCTGTATAAATGTTCAAAAGTACTTTCAGCTAACTTCCAAACCGAAATTTTAAACTCTCCATATTTTATATTTTATTTGCTTATGACTAATTTATAATATTTGCGCTTGGAAAATCATAGAAATTGGGAAAGCTGCTGTGTTAGGAGGATAAGAAAGCTGAAAGATTTCCAGAAATGGATTTATGATTATTATTTAAGAATTTCATGTCAAATTCGTAGATATCAGGGACAGCAAATAGGAAGCCATCATTTTATGATGCGCTGGAATATATTGTCTCATGCATACTAAGTTTCTTCCCAAATTTGAACACTTTAGTGTTTGTTCACTTCAATTTTTCACATTCTTAGTTAACTACCGGAACCGGAAATACTTATTACATCGGAATTAATTTCATTCCGAGTTCATAATAAAATTTGCAAGGGGAAATAAGGGAATCAATCAAAATTTTGACGGTGCTTGAACAACAAAAAAAAAATAATTTTGATAAAAAATTTTAAAACAGATGAAAATACTGTCGGGGAATGGAAATTTGTTGAAGCATCGATGGCTTAATGATTAAACATTTTATAGAGTATAAAAGAATACCTACCTAACCAATAATATTTGATGAGCCTAAGCAGAAATCCTAGTTACATATCTTTTCAACACTAAATTTTATCATGAATATTGACTACATGAAGAAAAAATTCTGCAGTCTTACAGCATTAAAATGATTGACAATATCCCGTAATGGAAAAAGGTTTATGATTTCACTGTTTAATTTTATATGAATTTTTGCTCGTTCCTTTTTCCCAGTAAATTGCTAACTAGCCTAAACATATGGATGTAATTTGCTAGATATGGCCATTTTTATACCTTAAAATTTAAAGCCGGGTAATTTCGAATCTAAGCAACAACAAACGAAAAAGAATATGAGCTATATAAATCTAACTATCATTATACTGTTCTTCAGATAGCTAGTTCGACTTCTTCCTAAATCTACCAAAATTATTAGCTTTTTGAATATTCCGATTGTTGACAAGTCTCAATATGAATGATCAGAAGGATTGTGTCGGAAAGATAGTACAACATGAATAACTGTGCTTTGATATTGAGGTTCGTGCAATCCTTTAAGATTTGCATTTAGAAATGCTTTAATTGTCAATATATTCATCAAAAAGCAATTTATATCTAAACAAGCGACAACTGAAAGAAGAACTTATAGGTTATAACTGCTGATGAACCCATCAACTATTTTATATTTAATGTTGAGGAATAATTTAAGATTAGCTTTTCAACCTGACTCGTGGTAAACGAAAGATAGCATCTAGAGTCCTGTTTTCCAAGTTTTCAGGATCAATTTAGCTGAAGAATGATGCCGACAAGTAAAAAATGATTCTCTTTTCGAGAGTTAAACGAGCTTGATTGGACCATTTTTTGCATCAGTTTATGAAATATATCAATGTAGCGAACAAATCATTTTCACATTACTCAATAAAAAAGAGTTTTTATCATGGATGAATAAAGCAGCCTCATTCTGACTATTTACTATTCCCCATCAAATAAGATTGAGTTCATTAATATGTAAACTAGGATTTAATTCATTAAGCTCGATTAAGCTGTGGGATGACTCAGATATTTTGAAGCTTATCCACATTTTTCCATTTTTACCATTACATTGGTGCAGTGGCAATAGTTATAAGTTCAGATGAGATGTCTTGAACATAGCATAGATATTCCTCGTTCGTTGTGATGAATAGTGTCTCTCTTTTAGCGTAAAATTCGAGTGCTTTGAAATATTTTGCTAACTTTAAATTCCCAACTGGACAAAATTTGTTTCAGCAATTTGTATTCATTAATGCGAAGAAATTGATTTTCTTTTGATTGTATCTGAAAATATATGGATTCAATTAATGTCTTTACTTTAATTCTATAGAGCATCCTGATCTATTTTAATCTTTGTTTAGTTTTCTGGAAATTCTGAATGAAATGAAACCTGAACATGCTTAAGATAAAACTTCTTCAGTGATGCAGCATAAAAGTTGGTTAGTTTTATAGAAACATTTCAACAGGAAACTTTCGATATTTTGTCATCAGGTACCAATGGTTATCATTAAATTGTTGTCATTACACTTCCAATATTTATTACTCATTATCATCGATACAAAATTCAATCGAATCCTTTTACGGCTTTTGTGGTTAGCATATGAAATACTTTTCTTTTTTGAATTTGTAACAAATTGAAATAGTTCAATCCTATAAATTATTTATTCTTATTCTTTTTTGCAAGTTAGCAGTGCATTTCGTGACTTGCAGACTGCCCTTGGATGCTGGCATAAAGCATTTATTTCTCGGAATATTGTGCATATTCTGATAACATTCATATTCATATTTCATTCATTCATTCATTCATTTCAGTGAAATATTCCAAAAAAGAAAATAAGACTTAGATTATATATTTTGGGAAATTCGATCATTTCATGTCATGAATAGAGCAATGCAGTTAATAATCCTCAATTGATTGTTTGAAACTGACAACAAAAAGCACAGGTTGTGAGTGAGTTTGTGACTGAAAAATAATTGGAGAAGATAGTAAGTCTATCTTTCAGTCTTTCAAAGTGCTTGAAATTGTCATCAAGTGAAGCAGATTCTTTCTGTTTTTTGTAATTGCTGCTTTCCACTTACTACTTGCAGTACTTCAATCACATCTGAAATGGAAGGTCTTAAGCAGTTTTAAGCAGCAGCAGCATCTTAGAAATATTAAATTCTTTTTATTGATGCTTTGAACAGTTCCATGGTTTTAAGAGAATTTTCAGCGATAATTTAATATTTCCTTTCATAAAGACATCTATCTATTTACGGCTGAAATAGCCAATAAGAAACTCATCACTCAGCAGATAGTGTAGAAATGCTATATCAAGAGATATTCTAAATATAAGTTCAGCAGAGAGATAAAATGAGGATAAAAACATTCATTAGCGATTGAATAGATGTATTTTAGTAACAGAAGAATTACTGATTATTCTCTGTAGAACTGCTAGTACTTGTTTAATTATTTTGACGAAAGTATATTCCAAATAAGTTTTCTTAACTCTAAATTTTGAAATAATCATTGGCGAAGTGCAGAAGTGTTGGTTGTATAGAATTCAGGTTATAATGCAGACTTATTATTTTGTTGTATATTTTTTTGGTAACATATCATATTATTTTCTGTTGTGGAAAGATGGCACAAATATTGTCACAAAAGTATGAAATCCAGGTTTCGAAAAAGGTTTTACAATATAATTAGCATTCTTTGAGCTTTCCAACCAGTACCATGTGCAGTTCATTAGACATTTCTTGTAATAGCCATTGTCGTATTTCAGTTTTTTGATATCAGATGAATTAAAGAAATGCTTTATTAAATACGTATCGATTAAATAATCTGGAAGTCTGCTAATTAATCTGTAGCGCTGTGAATAATTTCACACTGATTTGCTTTTTTTTCGCGAACGTGCCAGATGTCTCAAAGTTTTTGTAGTAAATTGCAGCCGAAAGTCCATTCATATTTTAATTTAATGTTGATGCTGCACTAATGAATAACAGAAAGCAAGCACAGATCCGACTTCAATTCAGGCGTCAAGGATCTATGAATAGTAAGTTACTTTGTTTTGATTTTGATGCTCTTTTATGTCTGCTGTTGTTTTCAAGATCATTTCGATTTTTTCGAGCAAGTTTCACTGTGATAGGAATAGTTTTAAATATCATAATTAGATCAGTTTTGGCTAAGTCAAAATCACATTGATGGGAAGAAGATAAGAAAGACCAGTATCAGCTCATCGTCAAATAACCTATTTTGTTTTTGTTGGAAAAAAGTAAACAAAGCAGAGATGTCAATGAGTGACTGTCCGCACATTCAGCAGGTCATTACGTTCAGGGTCAGGTCAAGCAGAAGAAAGCGCTTAGAGGTAGCGAGGACGTATTACTTACACGTTGCTTCTTTCTGCTGCAGGCAGCCACCCACTACCTGCAGAACAAGTCACACTGCTTAGGTTAGGAAGTGCTGCTTATGCTTACACTCGTCACTTTCAAAAACACATTCGGTGGTGTTTTTTCCTCGGTTTTCGGAAACAAAACTGCACACAGATGATAATATAGTAGACCTGTCTGTCTGTCTGCATATGTGCACACACTTATATTGCGAGTGACTTAGACTCAATGGATGAATCTTTTCAACAACCTGTTCACGAATATTTTCATTTTCTAAAACATCTCGTATCTTTTTTCATCTCTTCTCCTGCAAGTTTTATTTTTAATATATTTTAATGGAGCGTGGAAGTATAATATAGATAGAATTACTTGCTCACCTTACGTAGGTCATCATTCCTAACCCATACTTAGCCATCATTGCTAGAAACAGCCAGTTATGATCATTAGTTATATGTCACTGATTTCATATTTCAATTTTTCCTTTTTTTTGAGTGAACATTTTCTCATCTTCTATTTATTTATATTTTCTCATCACTTACTTTTTTTTAGAGTTCGGAAAAGAGTTTGAATTTGGCTGTTTGATAAGGTTAATTTGAGGACGTTTATGTTGTAACACGCAACAGATATTATAATCTAGCTGTATCATAATTAACATAAAATATGCTTCATACAGTTTTCTCATGACAGAATTGAAACCACTTGAATGATGTGAATTACTACCTGATAATAACTATTATTTAGCTTCAGGTTGTGGTAGTGCAGTGCAAGTTAGAAAGATCAGATCCCTTATTGACAGGTCACATTGTATGACTTCTAGCTCATTTGTTCATCTTCTTTTATCATCAACAATCTACACAAATATCTCATTCTCATTGGAAAAATCACCGATTGCGCTGCTGAGAAATCCAATAGGAAACAGGTGTTTTTGTAATAATGGGTAAACATTTTTGATGTGTTCGTCACTCTCACTTCCGTGAAAAGAATTTTTCTAAAAATTACAAAAGTCTTAAAAGACTACTTTTTGACATAACTTTTTGAACTTAAAGAATTTTCGTCTAAATTAAGACTGCGATGATTTTCATTTTCTGGAGGAAATGATCACTATCTAATTTAGGCACTTAATAAGACCCAGTGAATTCGTCAAACAGATTTTACTTAGTACTAAATTTGTCGTAGTAAGTTTCACTAAATACCTAAATTAATTCAATATACAATTCAGCCTTCCAGTTACTATTTTTATGAGAGAAGTATGCGGTAACGTTCTTCTGCTTAAATTTATCTTTCGATGTAAAAAGCAACATAGGTAAATCATTTTGAATTTCAAATGTTCGAGTGAAGCAGAAATTTCCAGTGAATGGCACAGGATATGTTGCGCCGATGGCGGTTATGGTTGCGCCTAGCAGGGTAGACTACAGTGTAACAAAAGGTGGTCTAAGGCTTTGGACTGTCCTGTTGGTGTTCGTTATTCTTTGCTCCAGCTTTTACACCTTGTTTTCCACGATGGAATTAGCAGAAGTGGCATTCGGTATTGATTTAAGTAATGAACTCTACTTTGCATGACGTTAAATGCTTAGATGTATTCAAAGTGTATCAGAAACAGTGAAACTTTGACCACAAGTGATTACAAACATCATTTTTCCCTTCATTGTTTCTCTTCTGATCTTTTTAGCAAATATGACTGAGCATATTTTTAAAGCCGTAAACAAGTCAAGAAACACTTTTTACCAGTTTATTACTGTAGAAGACTAAGTCTTTCCAACAATTATTGTACGAATACATTGTTATATTAGAATAACAAAATTCATTTGTAGAAATCGACGGTGATGAGAACTTCGATTATGATGGTGACATTGATAATGATGCAGATGAGATGGCGATACATAATCGACGAGCCGAAAAAGATACCACTCCATCACGAGAGTACATATCACGATCTAGAATTTTTGAAGAAAATCGAAAAGCTCATAAACCAGTCCAAGATGTCCCAGACTCAAGTATTTCTTCTCAGCTATATAGTTTTCATGATATTTACACGCAACATAACACATTAAAACTTAATATTCAAGATTTAACTTCTAATTTTTGGTGTTTCCAACTGAAATAATTCACAGCTGGTGCTTTTTTAATTAAATTAAACATTATATTGGAGTTAAGTCGATTCGTATGCAGAATTTTACATTGTTGCGTGTGATTAATCTTGTCTGTCCAACAGCTCCGAACAAATGAATTCAAAATTTACAGTTATCGTTTTGTAGCTGACGATGATAAATTAGACGAAGAAGAAGAAACCCGTCTGGCAGATCTTCAAGCCAGAGCTGAACGAAAAAGCAATAAACCACTGCATGAAGCAGTTCAGAATGTTAATCGTGATTACAGTGACAATGCTACTGGCGATAACGACGATAGCGATGACAATGATGTTGATAATAAATAATTGATCTCTTCCCACTACTATTTTTGCATGATAGCTAATATATTATGTTTTAAATGAATAAGTAGTTAAGTTTTAATCAATGATTCAGATGTTTCAGGTATTTGAACGAACATCAGATAGGTATGTGAAGGAGGAAGATAAAACAAGCGACAAACAAGATGAAGAACAGGACATGCCAAAAGGAACCAAGGTATCAAAGCACCTTAACTACTTTATTTTTGACAATCTTAACTCATTCATGTGATCATTAAAGGCATACTGATCATTGAGTATACATATTTCACTAGGCCCGTCATAAACGCATCAAAATTGTGGATGATGAAGAGGAGGAAGAAAGAAAGATGACTGAGAAAGTGAAGAAAGAGAAGGAAATGAAAGAAAGAGAGGAACTGAAAGAAGAAGGAACAGACGGGAGAGAAATTCAAATCAAAGATAATGTGGAACGTGAAGTATGGAAAGTTGAAGTAAGTTTTGTTGGGAGATTTATGAACGGGACAGTTGTTAGTCAGCAAGTAAGCTGACGGAGATGTCGGCTTTAGTTTTCTAAAAGTTTCTCTGTTGAATGTATTGAATTGCAGGAAGAAGAGAGCTTAGTGGAAACTGAAGAGGAAGAGAATAAAGATAAGTATGATGTCGAGAAGTTGGGACTTAAGTCAAGAAGAAAAATTCCATCTTCTAGTGTGGAAAAACTGAAGCGTGTAATTTATATTTTACTTCCTACCAATAAAAAACGGAAAAATTCTAGCAAGAATATTTTATATAATTGGATCATTTTAAGTCCTAATTTCTCGATTTTACAAGTGTAATTTTTAGTTAATTTAAAACCATGTCAACTCTAAGCTCCTTCGTTCAAAATTATATTTTTTTAGGGATGTAAGGGCAAAAATTGTTTGCCTGAGTACGATCGTCTGCCACGAATGTCACTTTTAAAACAAATACCTGTATGTTTTATTTGAATATTATCTTACATTTCACATTTTAAACAAATTATTTGAAATAAGACACATCTGAAGGAGAGAGTGAAGTATTTTTATTTTGATCTAAAATGCTTGTTCTAAAAGCCTTGAAACTTGCTCATCTTCAATTTTCAGCTATTTTGTAAATCGTACATTTGAGAAGTGGATAAGCTGTAAATACCATAAGTTTTCTGGGTTCTCATTTTTAAAACTGTTTTTTAGGTTTCTATGTCAAGTCGTAACAAGCAACCATCACCGGCTGGTTTCAAACTAACTAAAGATGTTGAGGAAAAAGAAGAAATGAATGATATAGATGAAGAAGAAAAAAAAGAAATTGATGATGCAAGCATTCATGATTTAGCTGCTGTTAAAAAAGAGAAGTTTGTTTATTTTCCTGATCCTTTTTTCAATTTCTTGATTACCATTTTCTGGTTAATTTCGAAGTGTATGAAAGTTTTTTTCGTTGATGACTAAAAAAAAGCTTTATAATGTTAATTAAAAGTAATGATCTGGCAAGACGTAGTATCTCTTGTTATACCTAAAGTTCAACTTAGATGTTAATAATAATAATGCTTAAAATCATGTCTTTGACAAAAAACTGAATTAAAATGCAGTTACAAAGAGATAACAATATGATAGCAGTTTTTTGACAAAAATATTGAACGATGTATATTTTATAAAATCATTCATTTTCCACTCAGTAATTTATAACAACCTATAATTGTGGTTGTATTGTAAAATAGTTACCAGTTTAGTAAATGCTCTTTTAAAAAACCTGTTTTTGCTTATATGGTTATAAAATGCTTGGCACTCTTCTAAAATGCTCATTTCAGTGTAATGAAAAATGAACTGGGCTGTCTTTTACTTAGACAAAATAATTTTCGGTTATCACCGCTGCTATTGATAAAATTCTTTTGTAATGTTCTTCATCTAATCATCAGTGATCCAATTTATCGTAGGGTGAATGACAGAACCGTTTACAAACGCCATGCTATAACAAATCGCGATGATCACAAACATCGAATCCAGTTGGATCGCGCAGATTATCTCGTTGAAAAGGTAAGCAAAAAATATAAGGTTAAATGAAAGTAAAATATAAGTTAATCACTACAGAAAATTTGCTATGCTCTAAAAGAAACTGTATAACATAAATTATATTTGTTCAAGTCTATCAATCCTTTTTCTTCTCCTTGAATTCAGTTTTAATTCCAAAAATAATATAGCTATTTAGAAAAGTCACTTTCTTAGGAAGTATTTCTTTCTGGTATGTATTAAGGTTATAAAGAGATTTCCAAATTAATTATCAAATTAACTGATCGATATCATCAATATCGCTACTTTTTCTTTAGTAGCTCAATTATGCAGTGATTCTGACTATATATGAATTGTTCGGATCATCTGTTGCCTTTTTCGGATCATTTGTTGTTCGTCGAACAAATTTAAGATTATCCTCTCAGTTTGCTTAGATGTTCCGGAAATATGTCTCACCACTACGGTGCTGTAATCGTCCCTTGAATCAGCCAGGATCTAGATGAGGTCAAATTTAGTCTGTTTAGTTTCTTTTCTCTTTGTACTGAATGCATGTTTTTATTAAGCTTGAATTCTATGCATGACCTTAATATACATATTTCTGTTATTCGTTTCGAATTGTAGTTATTTTGTGATGCAAAAAGCTCTTCTCGGTGTCAGCAAATTGCTCATCTTCTCTTTTACATTGACAGCTGCCGTTATTTTGTGGTTTGATTCGAACTGGTAAAGATGCTGTGTATAAGAGGTTTGGTCCAAACCTTTTAATGACAAAATATGCTTTTTACTTAATTATTTTTAAATATAAAAAAGATTTTCTCATCAACTGCTTCAATAATTAGGTGTTCTTTAATTATTTATTATTGAAAGATATGTATGTTTGAGTATGAATTGATTTTAGACATTAATCATTTCTTATCTCTGTTTAGAGTTATTTAAAAAGTCCCTACGATTGAAAATTCATTATTGTTAACCGATCACTATATCATTTTTGCATTTTCTTTTTTTTTTTTTTTAATAACCATTTTGCATTCTTCTTTTTAATGATTTCTGTTTTGTTTTCCAAATTCTTTTGAATATTTTTATCCATTCTCTTATATATATATATTCATTTATTTATTTAATTACGTCTTATTTATATTTATAAATATACATTTTTTGTTCTTTGCAATAAAACTCGCAGCTATGATTGTCGTTTATTCGAGGAAGTACTCTTTGATACTGTTAACCTTAACACTGCCACCAAACTTAACAGAACTTCCAAGGGAAATGATTGGAAGTAAAGGATTAAACCTGATCAATTAATTCACTTGCTCTTACAATCATTTGCTTATTTCCCTCCGATATACTTTACTAACAATGGTGCTCTAACATGTTTTTGAAATGAACTAAGCTTTATTTGTAAATGTTATATGGGATAAAGGCGAGAAATGTGAAACATAAAAGAGATAAGCATTCTCGTTGTTTTTGAAAATTTCTAAGCATCTTATCATTCTTAAGATTTTCTAGTTTTTGCTTAACAGTTTTAGTTCCATTTCGACTAGTTTAAATCAAATACTTTTAGTTTCAAACTGCTGACGATGTATAACTATCTTCAACAGGTCTAAGTTGTGAATTATTGCTTCTTTCGAGTTTAACTTAAGTTATTAATTTTTCATACCGCTAATGTCAGAATTTTCCACGCTTGTTTATTATTGTTTTCATAACTTGGTTGAACGAGGCACCTAGAAATGTGCAAATATAAGATATTTCGGAACATCGAATTGAATTATAGACTACGCTCATGAAAGAAGAATTGAATTCACAAAATTTAGGGAGAATATAACTAATTCATAAATTTAGAAGAGAAATCTTGTTTAGAGTCACACTTTAGAGGAAATAAAAATTCATGTGCAGTAGCATTTTCAGCATGATTACCATTCCTCAATCGTCATTTTCGAGACTGTTTTACGGGCTAATCCAGACAGTCCCCGAGCGCATTTCGGTATTGCTCGAGCGAATGACATCAGAAGCGAAATTGAATCAGATCACACATTCCTAGATATAGCAATCAGCGAGTATCAAAAAGTATTAGACATTGACAGTACACCGGATGCACTGTTCAAGTAAATTTTATGTTTTGTGTAAAGCCACATGTTGTTAATTCTGATTCAGGTCTCGAGATACTTGAAATTTGTTCGGAGTTGTTTAAATATAAGTTAGAAAGAAGTGGGATAGGAAAGAAAGAAATATCCGTTTATAGTGTGACAGGTAACTCTTTTGAAAAGAAACTTTCAAAAATTTAGATCGTTCTCTGATTGATCGGTATCCAGATGATTTACAACTGCACATATTTTTTAGATCAAAAATATATCGCCGTTTTTTTATGATTATTTGAAACTTATAACGTTTTTGTAAACAACTTATAATTATGACTAAGTTGTTTGATTTATAAGCGTTAATTGACAATATCCCTATTCTTGATGTTTTCCAGTCAAGCGGCATATCGTTTAATCGATCGGGCCAGGTTTCGTGGTTTATTGCATCGTGTGTTACAAGCACAGCGTTCTCTGATTGATCGATATCCGGATGATTTACAACTGCACAATAACCAAGGATTAACGTTTCTAATGATGGGACGTGAAGATGATGCACGGAGAGTATTTGAAAATGCAAGTTGATCACTGTCTTTTCCTTCAGATCTGTATTATAACTGCATGAACATCGATGAATCGAATTTGTAGGTTTTGAAAATCTCACCAACCAATGGTATTGCTCAGGCATATTTTGGGTATATTTTGAAATTGAGCGGAGATTTGGAGAATGGAGTTCTATACATGCGCAAAGGTCTGCGTACTGTTCGTGAAGTAATTGCTGATCCGAGGTATTCTTTTCCTGTTCACTTATTAAATTATTATTTTGTTAATCTGGCATTAACTGTTTGTTCCTAAACTATTACACCGGCTGGGATTAATTCATGTTTTTTAGAAGAGCATTCTGTCCTCTCATTTTGTCTCTGAAATTTGAAATATTTGGTCACATTTCTCAGCATGTCGGTGGTAGGATTGCTAAAGTGCAGGACAGGAACAAGGGAAGAGTGCAGATTCTTTTTTTTTCCAGATTCGTATAATATTTTTTTGCGTTATTTGCAGATTTTATTATCATTTCGGTGAAGCTCTGACGCGACTGGGTAAAAGACAAGAGGTACGCGGCTTAAAAGATGGCACCCTTTTTTTCTTGTTTCTTTTCAACCAGCACCGAAGTCTCGTTAAATTTTTTTTTTTTATCACTAATGATGCTAAAAAATTTTCTAAACTTTTTTATTAGCGGTTTCTATGAGACAAATCAAGTAATCTTACTTTCGCCTTTTTCTTCTTTAATTCTATGATATTTTAAGGCTTATCGAGTGTATAGTATTGGAGCAAAAGTCGGTCTTTTCCCTTCTCCATATCAGAGATCTCTCTATAACGTCGAAGGTTTAACTGCCCGTCCTTGGTGGTCTATTGAACAAACTTTTTGTTCAAAACATCTGAAGGTAGTTTTTTTAGATTTGCTCACAAGGACATTTATGGTTTTTCAATATTTTTGCTAATATTAAGCTTGGACAGATTCTTTTTATGGTTTTTTTCTTTGAAAATTTTTTTAAATAGTATGGTTTTAGATACCATATTATGCTTAACAGTTAAAAATCAAGAGGTTATACGAGATTGATCTTTTAAAAGAGAAGTGGAATTTTATTTCTAGTACTATGAATAAATTATTGTGAAAACTATTTAAAATGAGTGAGTGATATTTACGAATATTTGGAACAAACATGAGAATAATATTCAATCGTCAGAAAATCGAAAGACAGTGGACAGTGATTAGGGAGGAAGCGGCGGCAATATTGAGCAGTCAGCCGTATTTATTCGAACCAGAACATGAAGAGTTAACTATAGATGGACAATGGTCAGCGTATTCCTTGTATAGCAGTAATTCATGGAATTCATCAAATTGTTTAAAAGCGCCAAAAACATGCAGTATTATGCGCATGTTCAAGGATTCATCCGATTGCTTAAAAAGCGAAGTGAGTGTTGAATTATTTGATTGCCCCCCTCAATCATCGATTAGATAAAACGGTAGAAATCAGAGAATGTTTTAATATTCTTTGTTGTTTTTTGAATAGGTACAGAAATTAATCTTCCTTTCCCATACAAACATTCTCTGACAGACCTTCCAGGCAGGAAGAAATCAAAGAGAAAAAAATAAGAAACTTGTAATTTTTAAATTTTATCACTTAAGTGAGAATCGTTGCTTTGAAGGTTTCTCCTTTACAGGTAAAGTTTTCACTTCTAGCAAGTGGCACACGAGTGTGGCCACATTGTGGGTTTTCCAATTATCGTCTGCAGGCACATCTAGGTCTTATAATTTCGTCCGGTATGTTTTGCCACAAGTTCAGTTTATTTTTCACAGCCTGACAAGTTATTTTTAAACCATAAATTTTATCTAAAGCTTTTGCAGAAGCTAGATTGCGTGTCGGACAGGAAGTGCGAGGTTGGAAAACGGGTCGTTTCCTTGTTTTCGATGATTCTTTTGAGCAGGAATTATGGTTCGAAGGTGCATCTGCAAATAAATATCGACTGATACTCAGAGTGGATCTGTGGCATCCTGAAGTGGATCCGGTTAGAAGGGTTGAATTTAGAAGTGTTTGAAAATTCGTCATTTATTGCATCTATTTTGTTTGTGTCTCAACAACAGAGCTGTGCTACTACCCATTCAGACATTCTACTGATTGTCTGAAACGTAGGTACTGCGGAATTGTTAAAAAATAAGAAAGATACTTCTCTCGTTTCCTCCACTTTTCACAATCTGATAAGTCATTTTTAAATCATGGAAAGTTCAAGTGTCTTTTGCAGAAACTAGATTGGTATGTTTAACTACATTTAAAAAGAGAATCTTTATAAGCATTCTCGAATTTTCTTTTCTAGTAATTTGGATGTTTTTCCTTAATGAAAGTGCCGAACAGATGTATTGCTTAACTCATTATGCCGATCGAATTATCTATATGACCAACATTCAAACCGTTCTCGATTCTTATCCATTGATAGTCCTCGGAATGTTCAACTGCTTCCAGCTGATAACGCTTTATGCGTGACAAGCGACGATTTTAGTTGTTACTGATATTATCATTTGATAATGTTCTTTTTATGTGTGCCAGTTTTGGAATTCAAATTCAAATAGTTTGTTCATCTCTTTCTTTGGCGATAGCATCAAGTACTGTAATTATCAGAATAAGTATATTTCTGATGCATTTGAAATCGAATTTAGTTTCTCAGTTCGAATCCTGTCGATTGTATTAATCTTATTTCTTACTATGCTGGGATTTCAAAGTGATTCGATTTGCTCAATGGACAAATCATTAACTGCTATTAATGTTTAAGTAATGTGTTTATTGTAGTTATGTATTTTACTGCTATGCTGTAGGGAGAAAAGTCAACGAGCTTTTCGGACGAAGTGAGTACAAACTCCACTAATGTTCTCTTTTAGACTTATCTGCTTCGAAAATTTTTGATTTGCACTGAACAAAGCACCATAGTATGACGTATTAAGATATAAAGTCTCGAATTTAACTGCGTTTCATCACTGGTATGGGACTAATCAGAAATGACACGAAATTAAATGCACAAAAATCAATTAAGATTCCGAATGCGCTCAATGTCGCACCAGCGAAATGTTACATTGTAAAGTCGATGTATTAAAGGTACCAACGCTAAGAGCATGCATGAAAGGATCATAGTTCAATAGCAAAAGGGTTGGCATTGCAGTTCCAGGCCTAGCAAGTGGAATTTCTCGGAAACAAATGAGGCCCAGAAATTCAGAGAAACTGACCTGAGGATGGATGTTTTTGTCCAGTTTTTTCTAACTTTCCAGAGTTTTATGCCACTTCTTTCATGGCAGGTTTAAGAATGGAATTAATGAAATTCAGGTGAAAGCGGCATTTCACACCACATGAATAGAGGGCTGTGAAGTTTTGCAAACAGTTTGATGAGATCTTCACGGGGAATCATTTCACGGATTTTAAACACAAAATGATCGATCATCACTGTTCTAAATATCTCTGAAAGAGTAGAAGTGCTCGAGTAGATAGTTATGGCATATTTATTTCCTTTCCATAAACATCAAATTTATTAATTGAAGAATCAAGAAATGATCAAGGGAAAGTTGAGGAAGATATTACCGAATCAGCAAAGGAACAATATAATTTTGAATTCCTTTTGACATAAAGTAGTAAGAAAATGCAGAAGGTAGGTAGTATTCACATAAATAAATGAATTAGAGAACAAAAAGCTACAGAAACTGGATAAGAATATAGTTAACAGCAACCTAGTTATTTTTGTTCTCAAGGCATTTAGAGTAAAATAATCTCTCGACAGGTTAATCTTCTGTACGATCAGCGTGATCGAACACCTCAATTCTTCCTTAGTTCATAAACACTTGAATGAAAAACAAGGGGAATTTCCTATCTGCGACATGGCTTCCAGTCAATTATTTGAACGGATAAAGATGGATTCACGGGCAACCATGAAATGGAAACTCTGATTCATCTTATAAGCTTTAGATTAAATATATATATGTGGAGAATTAAACTAGGATCCTTTTTGTCATTGCAACATTCTCGCTTTACTAACTTTCCCAAAAGATGAAAGAAAAAATTTAGGCGAAAGCTGAGCAAAATTTGGAGTCAAAATTAAATTTTAAAGAAACTGAAAAAAAAAAACCGCCAAATGGTTTTTTCAGACATTGAAGTATTCAATATAAATCGAAACGCATTCATAAATGGACTATCCAAAGCAGCTTAGCTTCAAAATCACAAAAGCAACAAAACTGTCTATAAAAAAGATAAGTAAACAGAATAAAAACACATACAGTATAAAAAATGTAGAATGAGTCATCATTAATTAATGGCCATAAAAGTTATTGCGATTACCAATCAAAAAAAAAAAAAAAAATTGGAAATTTCCTCCAAATTAAATTGTGAAATTAGAAAGTCTGGCATCTTAGCATACCTCCGAATATTTTTTCGAAATCATTATGGAAAGAACAGATGATGTAGATGGTGTATCATCCATATTCACGTGGACAAATGCAAAAAAATGCACAGAGACACACGTAGATACATGCATACATAAAAACAATACTTATAAAAAGATGCCCGGAACGCATTTAATAATTTGACTCAGCATCCGACTTATTGATAACTTCAAGATCACTATTATCATTACTCATAGTGGTCACTTCTTTATCAATACTGTCACTAATCTTTTCAAATTCTGATGTTTCCGGAGAAGTTTTACCAGAAGCCTCTGCAAAAGCTAGATGATGTTCAGGGCTACTTCCACTGCTTTCATTTGTTGATGCTTTCGATGTTTCTTCCGGGTCTGCTGCCATTTTATTCATAATTTGCTCTTTCTGCGCTGTTATTGCTTGCCGCAATTTCATACTGTCCAACAAACGTCGCAAAGGATGATACTCATCCTTTACTAGGTTCTGTATTGTGTCGAATTCCACAACCTAAGATGCCCAACAACTATAACTTTGATTTCAAACTTCATCAATTACAAGGAATTGGGAAAAACCTTTTCATTTCTTAAAAGTAACAGTTTTTTTCTTACTCATATTAATGGTAGATACGCAAAAATCAATTCAATATTTTATAAATAACTGGAAAAACCAATGTACTTATCTATTTTCTAAAAAAATTTATTTCAAGTTCCACTCAGTACTACAAAAAAAAAAACAAGATGACTTTTGGACATTATAAAAATTAATGAAAAACTTTCCAAATTTACTACTCTAAACTTTTGGCAATTAAATGGCTAACAACATTTTTTTTTTAACTTCACAACAGATAGACCGTTTTAAAATAAATATCTGTCTACCTTTCCTTGCTTCATATGAAGAATTTTGTCCAAGCCTAAAACATTTTCCAAACGATGAGCAATAATCATAACGGTACAGTCAGCAAATGCTTCACGCAAGCATTTTTGAATATGTCGGTCTGTTGCATTATCTAGGCTACCTGTTGCCTCGTCCAGTATCACGATTCGCACTCGCCTAGAATCGATTACTTGGAAATTTAAAAATTTTATCAAAAAAATTCCCGAGATAACAGACCTCAACAAAGCTCTTGCCATGCAGAATAGTTGCCGTTCACCAACTGATATATTACGACCACCTTCAGTAACAAGAGAATCTAGTTTCTGATCTAGAGAGGATACCTGAAATAGAACTGAAAATATTTTGGCCAAAATATGTACATTTTTTTTAGTGTAACATTGACATCGTATATAATAGTAAACAAAAGTTCAGAATTTTGAAACAATGTTAACGAAAAAGAAATCCCTGCTTTAGAAATCATACCATATCTTTCAAATAAGTTTTTTCGAGAGACATCCAAATTTGATCATCAGTAAATTCGCTATTTGGGTCAATATTAAATCGGATTGTACCAACAAAAAGCGTCGGGTCCTGTGGAATCACGGCCATAGCTCGTCGTAATCGATAAAGCCCCATACAAGCTGTGTTGATACCACCGATTTCAATACTACCCGATGTTAGTGGATACAACCGATAAAGGACATTACACAACGATGTTTTCCCTATATAATTTGTGAAATTAAGCAGAAGCCATTTATAAATGTTGCATTAACTTTGAACACTGTTCGAAAGTGTAAACAACTTTCATAAGGCAGCTTAGAATATGCTTAGCATCGTTAGCATCGATTATTAAGAAACTTTTCATTATATAAATTAAGTTAAGAAATTCTGGCAACATTTCACAGATAAACAAGCAAAAGAATTTATTCACTCATTGTTAATATGTTCACCTGATCCAGTGCGTCCGATAATTCCTATTTTTTCCTTTGGTTCAATCCTAAAACTGACACCATCCAGCGCTAGAGGTAAATCAGGACCATAGCGTATCCTGAAATATTAACTAGTTCGAATTTTGCAATAAGGGATTTATAATATTTAAAAAAGGAGAACACCTAAAATTACTTTTCGAAACGCCATTGTAACATTTTCACCATGATCTGTACGATCATAAATAATGAAATTAGAAGAAAACACGAAACAAAATTATGTAATAATAAAGTAAAAAACTTTAAAATAAAACATACGTGACTTCTCTGAAAACAATGGACCCTTCCACAGGACAACTGTTTGATGCAGAAGAATCACTCTTTCCATCATCTTCCGAATCGATATGCTAAAATAAAAATGAACGCTTACATCCTCATAATACAAATGTATGAAAATATGTGAATAAAAATGTAGATTAGTGCCTCACTCCAACTTTGCCAGTCAAATGTAATGATAAAAAAAAGTTAACAGAATTTTGTACAGTATTGAATTAACGGTATAAGATGTAAGATAAATTTCCCCCTCCCCCCCCCCCAAAAAAAAAAAAAAAAAATGAAAAAAAAATTAATTCGAAGCAAAGAAAGATGTGAGATTGTTTTCATGGAATATTTATATGCATTAGATAATTGTTACATGATTAATTTCAAGTAACTCCACAATAAGGTTCTACAATAAAACTTTGGCAAAATCATAAAAAATCAAACTGCATGAAAATACTAACATTGCTATAATAAGTAACCCGTTCAACGCATGTCATTTTTGCCTCCAGCTCTGTTTGTGTACGCACCGCAAATTGAAATATACCACTCATCTACAAATACCAAAGTTCCGAATTTTTAACTCCAAACTGCACTATAAAAACCAAATCTTGTTACTATTTCATATGAAGTTCAATTCAACCAAATACTAGATCTAATGATACTTTGAGGATCGGTTATCTATCTCAATTGTTTTGCAATGATTCTTTAAGATTACATCACGTGAAAAATTTTAGAGAACATCCAAAAACTGCCTGTAGCGCAAAAACAAGTGCCATTCCAGCATCTGTCGGTGCTATACTTCCAGTCAGCAAAACAATTAATAATGCCACAATGAATGTGATGGCGACAACAAGTAAATCCAACCACACAGCTAACCAACGCATTGCTGATTGATACATGAACATAGCTCCACTTTAAAAGAATTAAAAATTCAAATTTGCAAAGATTTACTCAATTTAAAGAAAATGAATAAAATATGAAGGGCTCGTTAAAGGTTAAAAATTTAAGATAAAATATCGAGATTAACATTCAATTATTCCAATTTCTGTTCAACAAAATAATCCAATCAGTTCAGATAATTCCGCACCTATTTAAGTCGAGTTTATTTTTCAAAGTTTCAATAAAATCATCGGTTTGACCGAGTGAATGAATGGTTTCAATGCCTTCCATACTTGCAGATATATGGTCAAACAATGGCGAACGTGATATATTTTCGAATCGTTTCAAACTGAAAAATGTCGAAATTAAAACTATTAAATGTTTGGATTCTCATTATAGCAAAAGTTCAGTGCATGTCCAAAGACTACAGTAACATCAAACGTTCACTGGTACTAACAATAGTTTTAAATCTTCTTTATCTTGAAATAACAGATAAAAATGCCAATTACCTTGTGATGCCAGCTCGAAAACATAATACAAAAATAGTAAAAATACAGAGCAAAAATATGCAGGGAAGTAAGAATGATGGGAAAACCCATGCGATCATAAACAGGTAGCCCATACATGTAAGTGAATTTTGAAGGAAAACTTCAGCTGTGAATGGCAACTTGACGTCAACTGGAATTTCATATATTCAGTGTATATTTTTTCCATTCAGTAAAGTTCAATTAGAACCACTTTCTTGGGAATGAATAAGGATCGGAGAAAAAATTAAATCTCTATTAATTAATGATAAAAGTTTCAAGTAATCACACCTCGCATATTTATAACACACGCACTCTCTCACTCCTCTAACACTTTACAAATTCATTTATTTGGTAAGTTGACTAAAGAATAAGTATTACTTTCCTTAGATTCTGGGAATCACTTTCAACTCTTATTCTCTGAAGTCATTTGACTAATATTTAAGAGCTATTAATGATTACTTCAACAAGCAAATTTATTATAAGCAGAAATGACAAACTTTCATCCATATCTTTCGAAAATCGATTTAAAATTCGCCCACTTGGTGTTGTATCGAAAAAACGAACGGTACCACGTATCACACTATCAAACATTCGATTGTGCAGCTGTGAAGCAGCATTTAACGATACCTGAACTTCCCGTTTGTAACTAATTCACACTTCGAAAATTAAAAGCAAAACTCGAAAAAATCGAAAGTATTAGACAAGTGAAAACAACTCACGTGAACAAAAATAAGGGCTTTCAGAAGGCCTGAAACGAACAAAATGATTACAGAAAATCCATAGACGGTTGCATAATAGCTGGTATATTCGCTTTCTGCTATGCTACTTAGTTCAACGTGGATTTCTCCACTAATATTCACAATCTGAAAACTGTGTCTCAAGACCGGTGTCACTTTAGTATTGTTCGATAAATTCCAATGCAAATTAACTTCAGATACCCACAAATACAATACGAGGAAAATAAGCTGGATTGTAGAGTTACCTGTTCGCTTTTACATTTCGAGGTCCCTTTTTAACAGTTTTAAAAACAAATACATCTTCTTAGAATCAACCTTTAAAAATATTAAAAAAATGATTTCGGAGATTACCTGTTGAGAATGTCCATATTTCAGCCATTGTGACAGCCAAGCAGTAGAAAATATTGAGGCTACTACATTACCAACAAATGCTAACAGTAATACCACCCAAATCCAACGGCCATCCGCTGCATCGATATACTGCCTAAGCTATATAAACTTATTTTCCAGAAATTCAAAAAGCCAAAACTTAACCTCTCCAGTGGAATTTTCATTTCAATTTCTAAGTTAACAATCTAAAATACAACATATCAAAATACGTCCAAAAGCGAAAAAAAAAATGAAGAGCATACTTGTAAACTGCCCAAGATACAGTTGACAAGCCGAAATTCTCTTCATCCATAACCAGTTGCCCTAAAAGCTGGCATTGTTTTCTTAAAATATAAATTCCAGAAAAGAACGCATTCACTGGCTTGTAGCAAATGTCGCGAAACTCGAAATAAGTCTTGCGAACCTCCGAATAACTTACAAAATATATCAAATAAAACTCTATTAATCCATAATATTAAAATTTGTCATAATTGAACATTACAAATGTAAAACTATTTCCAGTTACATCATGTAAGCAATCATTATTCCAACACTCATATTCCCATTGTAGTTGAGCTTATCCGTTTGTTTAGACATTTTCAACTGATAACAAAGGATATATGCATGTTAAAAACTACTCCTTCGTTCCAAATCATGATTGTAAATGTCGAAATATTGTACAGGTTTTCTAAGCTAATAGTGAGAAGTTACAATATTAAAACCCATCTCCTACTATATAAAGAGTAAAGATCATCTGATACCCCCTTACTCAATAATCTTGCACGTCAATGCCTACTATACAAGGATTTAAATCTTTTGTCTTCATCAGTTTTTTCAGTTTTTTTTTTCTTTTACCAGTAAGCTACAATTCGGCTACTCTTCCACACTCACAACTCATTTAAATCCATTAAATTTCTCATCAGTCCATGCATTTTCATCTCATTCGTATTGTTGCTATAGATTAATACCTATATATTGTGGTTACTAGCCGTTACAACTTTCATCCAACACATTCGTCTACATCAACCACAATAACAAACACAGAAGGCTCTTGAGCATACGAAAGTCCAATTCGACTCTAAACCACAAGTTATATTCAGACTGACCTCAAATTCCACGACAGCAAAAATTTCTTGAAGCTATCTAAAGCATGCCTTCTTTCCAAACACTATCAAAATTATTTTGCCCAGCGGATAAATTCAGACCAATTTTTTGTATGAAAGCATATTTAATATTCCCAATATATTTTCTGTCGAAAGTTTTCCTCAAATTATAAGGGAATATTTTGAATATCGTCACCGTCGGGTTTCGTAAGATTCACCATAGACGTATGTGTATGAAATTCGTCCGACATTTTTACATCCGCTTTCGCAAATTTATCGGCTGTGTCTGGTGAATCTATCTTCACAAAATCATCTCCGAAGGCACGTTGTTCCTCTGTAGTCTCCGAAAGCGACTTAATTTCATCTAAAAAATTACTTACAAAAAAGGTTTAAAAAGAAACTTTACTTTTAGTCTCAGAATTTTTAGAATTCAAGTAAGGGTAATAAACAAACCAGAATAAATGGATTGTTCGCAGTAAAGAGCATACGATTCACATTTCTCCAGCAGTTCATCATGAGTACCTACTGCTTTAATTTTTCCACCTTCCATGTAGCAAACTCTATCGCATTTCGATAACCGCTTAAATTTTAGTAGCTTCAAACTACTGGGAATCCATAAATCCATAATTATTATTGCAAAAAATTTCATAGATTGGAAAACCAAAGTCTAATTCCCTTTATTTTATGTTTTATGACATTTAGTTCCTTAGGCTTTTGCACACTAATTTCAACTAAAAAGAATTTTCAAGCTCCAATTTCTCATGGCTTTTCAATCGTGTGTTTCACTCATTAAAATTATTTTTTTTTAAATTATTTTTTCAATTATTTTTAAATTATTATATTAGTAAATTGTTTTAGTAACTTAAAATGAAAATCAAGTATGAATGTGAACACTCTGCACATCAAAATGTATAACTGCGCTGTAAAATGTGCTATTAAAAACCTGATTAATGCAGAAACTTCCAAGGAACTAGAAAGAAATAAGTAAACCAATCGACTGCAAAAATCTAAAAGCCACTTTAAAAGTAAAAAATTTAAAAATAACTTGGATGTCTGTAGTAACCAAAAGAACCGTCTTGTTTGCTAGCATTTCCTTGACTGCATGCTTGAAAATACGATCAGCAACTTGCCGATCTAGCGATGCAAATATGTCATCCAAAAGATAAACGCGACAATTTGCAAAAAGTGCCCTAGCCAGCGATATTCGAGCTTTTTGTCCACCTGATATTGTCACTCCTCGCTCCCCGATCTGCAAAATATGCAACAAAAAGGGAATTTAAATGAAGATAGCATTTTTGAATCATGAAGAAAAAAAACAACTAGAAATTTAACTTTCCAATTCATATATTTGTACATTTCAGTTCATTTATTCCAATATTTACCTCCGTTTGGTCACCCGTTTTCATTGTTTCCAAGTCTTTAGTTAGCTCACAAACCGTGATGGCCTTGTAATACCGACTTGTATTCATCGGTAATCCAAATAATATATTACTCTGAATTGTCTGATTCAAAATCCACGGCGTCTGTGTTATAAACGCTGCTTGCCCCGAAACATTTAATGAACCATCTTTTGGCGCCAACTTAAAAGAGAAATACGTGAAGATTCAAAACTGCATTTAACTGTCGTTGTTTTTTACAAAACAAAAAGACTTACGTGTCCAACAATTGCGGTAAGTAAAGCTGTTTTACCACTTCCCACCGGGCCACATATACCCAAGAGTTCTTTCTAAAAATTCAGATTAACTTTATGGAAATTAAAAAATTTGGACGAAAATTTATTTGGATTTTTATGCAATCAAAATTATTTGGATTCCCCTCGGATATAAGCATCACTCTTCTCTTTAGTTACCTTACTATGTCACTGAAAAAATTAGAATACAAAAAAAAAAAAAAGCATAACAAATTAAAACACTTCACTAAACAGCAATCAACAATATAAAAAGAGTAAAAATTTAATATTGCTTAAAAAATTGCTATCAAAACCCTTAATCCTAAGAATGAACTCGGAAACAACCATTAACATAACCCGTTGCCGTAATTCTATAGATATAAAATGCGTCCATGTCTTTACGGAATTATAAACTTCACATTATCCCTTCTTTTTTGATTAAAGATCTCCGACCCCTTCACGAGTAAGCAGATAGTTCTTTAGAAAATAAATGATAAGAAACAAATTATTATTTGACCTAAGAACTGGAGCATCAATTAAAAATAACCCTTCGCACATCCAGAGTAATGTTTTTCAATGCAGCTGCTGAATCACTACTGCTTTGCTCATTAGCGACAACAGGACTTCTTTCATTGGTTTCTTCCAGACTTGATGCTATTTCACTTGCCTGACCTTACCATATCCTTCATGATTAAATACTATAATTTTTCACCAAAAACTGCAGATCGAGACTATGACATCCGTGAGTCATAAGATTGAAGCACCGATACCATTAAATAACTTGGTGACTACTGGGAGAGACATGAAAATATGTATGAAAAATGTATAAGTAGATTATCAAATAAAAGTTACTTTTATTATCCCAAAAAAAAGTGGCATTTTTGAATTGAACCGCGATGTTTGTATCCTGACAAAATGGCATTTGTTGGTCATACTCTGGATAAAGCAATAACTCCTGTATTCTTTTCAATGAAGCAAATGCTTCTGCACAATAACGACTGCCGTAAGGAATCATCCGGAGAGCGAACATCATGATGAAGAATACTGTTATAGTGCTAAATGCCTTAAACAAGAATTTAGATGAAGGGTAGGGGTTCTTCAATTTTTTGAATGGATCTAGAATACGGAACCAATCTAAAATAGTGGAAATAAGTAAAAAATAGATGGAAATATATATATATATATATATATAAAAATTTAATTATTTTGGGAGGTTGCTGATTTCGGGGAGATTCGCTGGATGTAGATGTAAATATGTGGGATAACAGAGGAATATAATAGTTCGCTAGAGAAGAATTGAAATTGAACTCCCCTGATTCTTGGTAAAAACTATATATATATATATATGACAAAAAATTTAATTAAGAAAAAAATGTTTCTCGAAATGAACTTACATCAGCAGCTGCAAGATTTCCACCTGATAATATAAGTCCAAGAAAAGTGAAAACTGCTGCCACTACAGGTACCACAGAACCAAAAGCAATTGTGAGACTTTGTGCCAGCCCTGTTTTGCGCAAATCTATTTTTTCACTACGACGCATCTCTGAAGATATTTCGGTGTTAATAGAATAAGTGTATATAGATTAGTATAAAAAATTAACCATACGTCATTTGGCATTACAGCGAAAAGTTTCGCCACGAAACTCTTCGAAACAATACAATTACCCATTCCTAATTCGTTTAAATTCCAAAATAACTTCTGCGCAATAAAAACCAACCCTTTATTGTATTAGTGAATGACTCTTCCCAAGCATTCATTTTTATAAGCCGAATGCAACGAATTATTTCACCCAATAAATTAATCTGAAAATTTGTAATATAAAAGTCCATTTCATAAGCACAAATAAATTTCTAAGTGAAATTTTTAATTTCTTTAAATGACAAACTCTTCATTGTGGCGTTTTGCAGCGTATCACGAGACACACCAAAGAGTAAGAAAATATTTAGCACCTCAAACTATATTACTTTCATCATATGGCAGCATATACCATAACACCAAACTGTTGTTACTATCCTCCATTTTCAGCAGTTAAGTTGATAGATTAGGTTTAACATTACATTCGAACTACACGATCAGATCAAATATAAAATACAAATAAAACCAATAAGTGAATGCTTTCTGATTTCCCGTTTCAAACATCTTCGTTTCCAGGTTACTCAATAACCCTGCTATATCGCATTTGTATAAAGTGCTTGGAAGCAAAATTTTACCCTTTTTTCAGTTTTCTGTATTGCTAAAGTTCGAAAGCGGACCAGAGTTTTGCCAAGTGCGAACTAGAAATCAAAACAGTAATATAACAAATTGCAGAATTCGGCACAAAAAAAAAATCTGTTTATCAACCATAAATAGAAGTATAAAGAACAGACCTAAAATTTTTGAAAACACCAACCTGTATAGCATCAAAAACAAGAAATATAAGTATCCCTAGCAATGACCACGGCCCAATAACGATCAGAAGATAGATTATACCAGCAAATAGCACCAAAGGTCCAACCAACACCAACGGTGCAAATGAAACTGCATCAAGTAAACGCTGTCCATCATTCGCAAAAATATTTACTACCTGGTAAAACACACTTCTTCACGAGAAAAATGAAGACAAACATAATGTAATAAAATCTTATAAACCTGAAATACAAATAAAAAGACAACCTCTAGAGAGCGATTCTAGATCATCCACCAAAAAAGGACTGAGTATGTGAGACACAAATCAAAGGATGAAATGGCCTCCTACCATCAAATAATATTTATTAAAGATGTGAATCTTTGAAGGTCTTTATAAAATTAGGATTACTGGAGATATGGATTATGACAAACCTCTGCTCCAGTTTTCGTTCTTAGTGAGCGCACATTAATCAATTTTTTGTACAGTAAAGCCAGTAAGGCTCCACGAACTCTGATACCTGTTCGATAGCTTACAGCCCATGTAGCTCCATACGAAAGTACACGTACTGTTTCGACCTGTAAAGTATAAATTTACTACATTTTGGGAAAATGAATACTGAAAATAAATACTAGAACTACGTCGATATAATCTGACAGCTTGCAATTAAAACTACTGCAAACTTATATTTTCAGTTTTGTCCTCTCATTCTTTATATATAGCTCGAAATTATAAAAAATTCTACTTACTATGAGAATCGCAAAAGCCAAAAAAATGCCAAAACCAAGATTGGGATACATATTAAAAAGGGGTGGTTGTTCAGCAAATGATATCAATCCTTTCACAAAACACATTGGACCAATGAAGCCAAAAAACAGGCAAAATAAAAAGATGAGACAAGCAACACAAATTCTCGTTTTAATAAAGAGACACACAACTCGAAAAAGGGATGGTTTGTTAGGTCGCTGCAGAAGTTCTTGCTTCCACAAATATTCTAACCTTAAAATGGTTGATTAATGTTAATTCATTTTGTTCAAATTTAAATTTGAAGAAATCGTCCGTCATTTATGATGCTTTTGAAAGTAAAAGTTCGATTCCAAAGAGTCGGTACCAAAACTGACAGGAACCATCTGATAAAAAAAAAAGTAAAAAAGTGAAAAATAAACAAAAGAAAAGGAAACCTTGCCAAATTAACACTAGATGCATCATAAATGCTGCAAGTCCACACTTGGTCGTGATTTAAACGACCTTTAAAGGCTGCCCACAAATATGGAAATATCCAGCTGAAGGTTATAAACGAAAATAAACCCGATTCATCAACTTTACTTGCTCTTGAATGCTCGTGTCTGTAAATAACTTGTCTGCACGAATTCTGCACGAAATTACATTGCTCATAATAATATCAATAAAACTATAGGAAAAAACTCGAACTTTAATAATAGTAAAAAAATAGGACCATAAACTGTTCAAATATTTTTATTTTATTTTCTTACCTCACTTTTTTATTATATCATTTGGAAGTGCTATGATGAGTAGTTAGCCTAGATGCTAGAGGAAACTTACTTATGAAAAGGGCGTAAAGGTATCATATTTTTTAGACTGGAAGTATAACGTGCAAATGTTTTTGGTTCACGACATCCCCTTATATATCGAATTTTAGCGCTACTTGGTGTATCTTCGCCTCTGAAATTGCAAAAGTAGAGAGTTGTTCAATTATAGTATAAGCATTTCACTTCAATTCTCCCAAGTTAACTCATTTCTGTTTGCACAGAAGCTACCATCTCATGCACTGAATACTCCTCCATACTCCCCTATGCTACTATTATCTGTCCTAAACTTTGTCTTCGCTATAAATGGTGTAACCGCTCCCAGTAGCGTATCACGTCCTCAGTCATATTTCCAAAACATTCTAATGACAGAAAATATTTTGCAAAATAAACACAACGTCAAATCGATAAATTATTTCCTTGTTTTGAAAACAAAAAGGCAAGCTAAATTGTACTTCGATAGGATTTGGAGAGACTGCATCATATAATTCGTATATTGCTATATAACTACATATTTCTTTTTTACCGGTATGTTTTATTGGTTCTACGAGACTAGATTTGTTTTTTGAAATTAGCTGTAATTTAAATACCTTTTCCCAAATATTTGTCGCCTCAAATATGGAAGAGCCAAAAGAAATTTGAAACAACATAAAATGAAGTTTCTTCATCCAAAATGAAAAACTTATACCCACAAAATTGAAAAAACTTCACTTCCAACTAAGTCTTGAAATAGCTATAATTCACGTAAGAAGAATAAGATACTGAGGAAAATGAACTAAAAAGAAAATGAGAATAAAATAATGTAATACTAACTTGAGCACTCGCCCCGGGTACACTTCATCATATTGATTCTCTCCCTCATCTTCTGATGCCCTTTGTAAAGCTACATCCAGATCCATCTAGTGCTGAAATTATTACTGGATATGACGGCTAAAACAATGAAATTATTGGATCATATTGGAAAGCTTCGATATGAAAGCGAAAGTTATTTTTGGATCTATATTAGAAAGTTGTCCCAGTCTTTCTAAGAGTGCTAAAACGAACAGGGAGAAAAAGATGATCGGTTTAAAAATCTAGAAAAGCATGAAACATAGAATATAAGGGAGGAGTGAATCATCATTGCTAGAAAAGTTCTTAAAATATTGAACAGACAATGAACGAAGCCAAATTAAGGACAGCACATTATCCACCCGATTCTTAAATTCTATTTCAGGTCAGAACACTCCCTGCCTTATTTTTAGACTAATCATATGACTGACATCAAGGCACTGAATACTGATGACAACAGTTTTACTCTCCCTATTCTTCCCTCTTTTTCCTCTCGCGTGCATTTCGCACTTTTTCCATTCCCTTCCTAGTATACTTTCCCCTCACTTTGCGAACTGGAAAAACCACCCTCTATCTCTCAGTTCTTGCTTTTCGTTTTCCTTGCCACTGCTGACTTTATGGTAGCTTATTTCTCTGTCGCCCGTTAAATGCTCGAGATTTAGCTTGCGGGAAGAGGAAGTTCTTCCCGAGGAAGTTGATACTCATCGCTCACGCTGTAGAAACAGAATCTGATTCGAAATTAATGAAAAGAACATAAAGCATGAAGGAAAAAACTGATCGAGACTTCTGGGTGATACTTTTGAACGCGATATTCAAGACATACTTGTAACAAATGAAACGCGTGTGACACTCATGCATGCACGTATGTATGCACCAGTAGGCAGTGCTCTTTCAAAACTCACTCAATCTTTGCTCTTATTCACTTGTCAAAAAATGGACGTTTTCAATTATATAGTAATAAGCAATTTAATCAATGATAAGTGTTAAACAAATGATAACAGAGTCAGTCTTCTCGTTGAATCCAAAACAGGAAAAGAAGCAATAAATTGATCAATTAATCACACGTATGTATATAAATAGTCATTAATAATAATCCTATGTATTGGGAACCTGATTAGCTTGCTTTACACAAAATGTAACTACTTAAGTAATGCCAGAACTATAACACTGATTCGCTTTAAAATAAAGAAATATCTTTACTAAAACCCAATTTGATGATTTCATCACGATTTCTTGAGACATGCGATGAACAACGTTTCGGAAGCTAGAAACTTCAAACCTAGAAAACATCACATAGCCAGGCAAGGCTGAGTCATCCTACAGTCGATTTAAAAAGAAATAAGATATTTAAAGGAGATGTTTAAATCCATATATAAGCATCTTTTTCAAAGCTATTACTTAACTGCGTCCCTCATCCTCTTTTGACTATTGGTGTGCCTGCGCATCATTGCACGATGACGTGATAGATGCTTGAAGCAAAGTTTTTGTTCAGTAATAACAAGAGATATGATATCCTTTAGAAAAGACATTACATTTTACACGAAACAATAAGTTAGAACTTAACAAAATTATATTGCTGAAACTAAAATACGATACAATCTGCATGTTAATCGAAGCATTATCGATTTTTTGGATCCTTAAATATTCTTTACCAATTTACTAATAATTTATGTTTTTTTGAGAACTATCCTTCCTTTACTGGAAACAATTAAAATTTTATTCAGCATTTCTGAGTACTTTTCTGCTCTTGCTCTACTGAATGAACAGAACGAGTGACATGAAATATGAGGGATTTGAGTGCAGTATAGAAAGTATAACAGAAACAAGGACTGGAAAGGAAAGCAATACAGAGAATGAGGAAAAGGAGAATAAGTAGGAACTCATAAAAATGCAGCTTTGATAACTGGACTTACCACTTAAAAGCTTAAATGGAGACAATAATTTCTTCGCTTATATTTTTGCGATTTAAACAGATCAAACGATTACACTGAAACTAAAAATTTCTATGTTTCACTGTCTACAAAAGATGCAGTACCTAAGCAAACAGAAAAATACATATTTTTGTCATTTTGGTTACTTTACTTGTAGTTTTTTGCCTTCTCGATATATTTAAAATCAATTTCAGAAACTCGTTTTTGAAATTCTTTTCTGAAAGGATTTAGAACCATATTTAAATATAAGTATTTTCACTCTTCTTCACTAATATGGTGACTTCGAAATCTCATAGCTGATTTCTGGAGTACTTAAAAAAGTAATTGATTTTCAGTCACAAACTTTTTATATACTTTTATCTGCCTTTCTAGCCAAAGGAATGCCACCCACGTCTGATAGGAATTTTCACAGTTCTTATCATCCTTTTCCCAATAAATTAGGGGTCTACATTACACAAGAATAGAGTGCTGACAAAAATGTTTAAGCTTGATTTCTCAGAGGCACTTGAAGAAGTTTTGATCTTTATATACTCGTGTTGCAATAATAAATGAGGTTACTTAGATGGAAGAAATGGTTCATACCTCGGACTTAGTTTCTAGTTACCTGCACACAATACAAATAATGATAAACAAAGGATTAAGATCTTAATATAAGAGATGTGTTGGAGATATGAAAATAATGCCGTAGAGACGAAAGATTTAGACAGTTTCTTCAAGCAAATGTATGGATAAAACATTCTTACTCTTAAGAGGTATAAACAGTGAATAATGAGGAAGATACAAGATCAGTTGTTGAAGTTATAGAATGTAACATCACATTTAAAAGAGAAAAGATCTAAAATGTTCCCAAGTTACAAGTTGGTTCAAAACTTAGATAACTGAGGAGCATTAAGAATTATGTAAGGCCGTTCTAATGAAAAGAAACTCTTACCTTACTCAGAAGAATAGCAACCAGGAATCAAAAAACTGAAGAAGACAGTTTACTTCCACTCTCTATACTTCCCCCTTCTTTTGCATATGACACAATGGAAAGTGACGTAAACGGCTCACTAGGAAGATGAACAACACGAGATGGTTGGTGTACAACCAATCTTTGACTTGCTTCCATTCCTTATGAAAAAGGACTGAAAGGAAGTATAATAATGTTTCTGGCTAATCCTGTCTCCCAAAATGACCATTTGTTCTTTACGTCAAATCAGCATGCTACAGGTTCTCTCGAAATAATTTAACAGCAATGATGGAAGACATCATGATGACACCAACTCTGTGATACATGAAATTTGTTATTATGATACATGATAATGCATATACAATATGTAATCAGTCAAAGTGAAATTTCTGAAAGACATTTCTGTCGTGGAAGATTTCAAAATTTAATTATTATTTTGGGAGATGTTGATTTCGAGGAGACTGTTGCATGTAAATATATGGTAACAGAGGAATACAGTAATTAGCAGAAGCAATAGTACAATAACTTAATAGAGAAGAATTGAAGTTGAACTCTCCTGGCTCTTGGTAAAAACACACAATACTTCCTTTCCCTGAACAGGACTGTCCTCCTCATATAGCAAGCAATACGCGTAAACAAAATATGTGATTTACAATAAGAGGTTGATCTGCCGAAAGAATAACCGGTCTAACAAAGAGCTGTTGACCTGGTTTACAAGCAATTCTATTTACTAGTTGACAAACCGCAAAGGACATCAGCTAAGCAAAAGTTGTTAACTTCATAGATTCAAAGATAATTTACAATTAGTGGCGACACAAACATGAGGTCAACTAGATGAGGAGTGATACCGTGTAAACAATATATAAAAGATTTACATAGAGTATAAGCATCATTTGCAAGATTTCATGGGACATATTTCTTACTCATATTCTCAATTCTCATATAATATTTTAGAGTTTCGCGATATTAAAATCTGCGATAACTTCTAATTGGAGGAAGATATCTTGAAACGTTCACAAAAAGTTTTGCTAAGTAAAAAATACTCACTCACTTACTGATTTGGAAGAACAACATTTTCTAATGCCTATCTATAACTCTACAGAGCTTACTGGATAAAATGATGCTTATCACATTTAAAACCACTTTCTCTATTCAGCAGTAATTAACAGCAAACAAAATTTCGTGTCAAGTTAGGGAGTCCAAAATACCAAAAGTCTAACTAATGCACAGACTAAGAATAGCATAAAAAACTAGCAGTATAAGTTTCCTTCAAGAAACAATATACATCGTAAGCATCACCTAGAACTGTAATATTGTCACAGTGACTACAGTCTTGTTCATAAACTATCGCAATAAAAGAAGCTGAATTCGAATGTGCGACTGCAGCAAAAATGACAAGGTTATTTAGATTATAATGCCGTCAAAATATTCTTGGACTATTAAGCGACGAATGATACGATAAGTCGCATACTGCTCGCCAATCTCATTATTACTGGCAGATTTCACGTTATAGGATTAGTCATTAGTTCAGAGATATAAAAGTCTTAAAACCTAAAATATTTCGACAATAATGAAAAGGTACTGACTTTAAGTTGTTATTCTCACCAAAAATAACTGATCTGAAGCAAATATAAGCAACCGAAAAATTCATAATTCGCACACAGATATCGCTTACTGCTGTTAATCAAATATTTTGAAAACTCTCCTGAACACATTAACAAGTTCTGTCTAGCAATCCATTTAAAAAGTGCTGCTTGGGAAAAGAAAATAGGGATAGCAGTTATAAGTGGAACGTATAAGCTGTTAAAAAGGAGATGGGCAACTGCTCGGAGCAATTCGATATTTTCACTTGGGATTGCGATTATAAAGCAATAAAAGAAAGAAGAAGGATGGTGTAGTCTTTTGCGGAAAAATGCACACAGCAACCAATGTCTCATGCCTCATAGCTAATATGCTTGAAGACATGGACATGTCCTTTGCAAATTATGCAGCTGCGCACTTTCACTCATATATAATATAGGTATTAATCGATAACTACGTTTATTGTGGCAACTTCCAGCTTTATTGTGCTGACTGAATTTTGCAGTTCGGCTGAAACGTCAACTTTTGTATCAACTTTGTATTTACTTTTGTGTACTTTAAACTGAAGATAAATGGATCCTGCACTGTGTGGTGATACTCTCGTGCTTTTTGGTATTAGTAGTAAATGATAACATCAACAAATTCATTATGTCTATCGGCAGCTATCTGCATAAAACTCTTTAAATAAGTCGAGGTTGCTAATGGTTCATTTATTTTGAATATCTTTTGCTTGTTAGCACTTAATTGTGGATACTGATTTTGCAACAGATTAGGCCGTCTTAAAAGTGCCTAATGAAATAAGTATTAAGTAGGTATATCAACAACAGTTTGTACAGTTTTAATGTTTTCATTAACCTAAGCGTTGGAATTATTATCAAAAAAGAAAAAATGTTGAAGTATATTTGCATTAAATTCTGAACGGTCCACGACAGCAAATTATAATTTCAGATAAGTTTTGATTAATAAATATCTTTACTTTGATGCCGTCAAATCAGCTACATTTTATTAAGCTTGTTAAGAATGTTCTTATAAAACGTTCTCAATTACGCGCCTCTAATCTCGCTGGTAAACTACATTTTTGAACGGTAACTACATTTTCTGATAAACAAATTCATTATTTACCCATAGACTAGTATGTTTTCTTTTCTTCAAAAAACAGATTTGATTCAGCAATTAACGTAATGGGAAGCTGGACAGAGTGTTTGATCAAAGTAAAAGAAGTCAACTGCTAAACAAATTGTATAATTTTGAATAATAAAGTCATAAAATGAGAAGTAATGGAAAAGTTGATGGCAATGCTTATACGGTATAAAAGTGAGATAGATTGGCTAACTGATAAAGCAGTAAAAACATGATTCCGTATGATCTCAACAAACTGATAAGAACTGCAAGCTGGAGAAGAGAACGCATTGAGTCTAATGTAAACGAATGGCTGATGAACATTCCTTCGCAATTTTCGTTAGCAAGAATTGTAAAATGCTCTCTACACAATTAGCTGATAAAATATTTGCACCAATGAATAAATAAAATCACCTGATAACAGATAAACAAACTTTTATCTATTAAAATAAAATCCGTATATAATGCTGGAACTGAGCAATTTTGCTGCATTTATTTCCCTGTTAATATTCACCAGAAGACTAAACTCTTCAGAAATTTTCATTACTAGAAAATGGCCATAAATATATAAGAATAAAATGTGTAAATACATTGATGTATTAAGGTGCATAGAATGGTATACATAGAATGGTATATATTTAAAAATTCAAAGGAAAAAAAATAGTGTAGGAGTTGGCTACTGAGAACATAAGTTCAAGAGCTTTCTTATGCTTAAGTGAATGTTACTAATTTAAATAACTTATACATAACTTTAAATAACTTTTATAACTTTAGCTGCGAATCATTTATAGTCCAATGAACCATTTCCACGTGATTCTATAATGCTTCCGGAATGAAAATAAGTGAAACAATGAACCTAAAAGAAACTATAAACATGAGTGAAAAGAACAGTACCAGACACTCTATTAAATGACGCAGCTGATAAACGGAAAAACAATAAATGGAATAAAGAAATGATATTGGACAGAGATTTGGGTTGAAAAGGAAAGGAAATGATAAGGAGTGAGAGAAATAGAGTGCTCAAGATGACTGCTAATAATCCATTTATAGTTTTAATATCCAGAAAGTTAACTCGATGCCTTATACCTTAAAATGACTACATCGGCTTCTCCACACCTGTTACAGTCCTCCCTCAACATTCCTCTTTCAGCTACGATTCGTAGCGCTGAAAAACAGTGTGTTATGGTGGCAGAGACATTATGCAACTTGGTTTTATAATTGTGTTAGTAATCGGTGCGAAGAGCACTTTCGGCAGTTAAATCTCATTTGTAGTGACTATAGAGGGGACTTGCAGATTAAGTCATCTTTTCCTTTTTTAATGTTCTGCACAGCCGAACAAATCTGTCCATCATTTTTATTGTCCTTTGCAGCTGTTAAGTCTCATAATTGTTACAGTGATACAAATAGTTTCCGTGAATTTGGAAAATGAAATAAGAGCCGGTTGGATCCGTTGGCTTAGTATTTTTAAACTGCGGTGAGTTCCAGATGAACAATGTCGCTGGAAAGAGGGATAGAAGACTTGAAAGCTTTGAACGAAGAAAAGAATGTGGATGATTCCGATTCCGAGGTTATTTTTTTTTTTTCATAATTTTAATTGTTCTGGAATATGCGTTATTGTTATTGTCTATCTTAAGCTAGGTAAATTTCGCATGCTGTCCTGCTTTCTCAATGATTTATTGTTTTAGAGTAATTTGGTTCCATTGTTCACAGAAGATGAAAAAAATGAAAGTAATGTTTGTCGTGCTGGATCGGTTAACGTTCTACATTTTCAGAATTCTGCTGAAGCAACACTGTATAATTTCAGGTTAATATGATATCGATTTGTCTTCAATGATCAAACTATTTTTAGTTATAAATTGATCACTTAATATTATTCTGTTGATGTAGAATGAATTCGCTGTGAGTGGTATAATTTTAAATTCAATGTGGTTTGATGAGACTCTTTTTCTCTTAATGTTTAGGAAGGAATGGAAGTCAGAATTAGATTCTCGATTGAAGGAATCGAGTTCGATGTCAATGGAAAGCAGGAAAGAACAATCGTTGCACGATGCTGTAACTTTGTTTATTTGATATGTAAAGATATTATAAGTATGATATAGACAGCATAGCTTCAGAAATACCTTGGCAGGTGCGATTGCTAAGTGTTTTTTATATTCATTTAGTGACTGACGATATTAATATTCAGTCAAGTGTGGACAGGGCAATGTATGCTGTAAATTATTTCCTTCCTTTAAAATTGACTGGATCTCATATTTTCTTTGAAATTAATGATTCATCAAAAAGTATTTAGACAAATAACAAAGTAATAAACGGTTTGAGGCAACAAAGTTGTTCTTGGAAGGTGTAGACTGCGAGAGACGAGGCGATATGTGGGAAGCAGTCCAAAGGTACATGGGCGCTGTACGTATGGTTCCCGATATTGAATCGAAATTGTACAAAGATCGTAGTTTATCGGTATTATAAATTTTTTCTAGCACTGAGTGTTACCAGTTTCTTTTTATATTTTTTTTTCTTGTTTTATTTTTATGAATATAATCATCTCGTTACTATTGTGAATGATTTCAGAACTCAATAGGGTCCAGTGATTGCCAGCGTTCTCGTTCAAGATCTCATTATGGTTTTCATGATTTAGAAAAGATTCTGCATAAACGACTGGTTGACGGGGGGAGATTTTTCGAACCAGAATTTCCGGGTAATGGTTTTAGTGAATACTTCCTTTTATGTTTTGAATTTTCATTATCTGGTCTGAAAAAAGTTCGATAGGAACGAAGGATAGTCGTTAGTGACATCTGGACGAATTCCACAAATATTCTGTCAGGAAGATAGTTTAAAATTTTGCTCTGTAAAATAATGGAAAATTTATTCCATCTTTTCATAATTTGTCGAAATTTCTCTTGATAGTGTTGTATGACATTATTTAGATTGGTAAGACTTCCCTAATTGCACAAAATTTTAGCGAGATTTGTCATTTAAAATTTTACAAATGCGGTTTTATAGAATATACATAATCTTATTAGAAGTCGATGAAAGTAAATGACACTGCAGATGAACCTTGTCCAATTGCGCTTTTACCTGTGGAATTACTTTCCATACTGATACGGTACGTTGTCGGGAGCGAGCTTGACGTGTATTGTCTAGAATTGCTGTCGATGACTTCAGCTGGATTTTATCTTCTTGCGCGGTATTTTTTTGTTATATAAATGATTAATTTAAATTTAGGCTATCCCAAATTTGTTAGCTCGCGAACATAGGTACCACTGCTTAACAGATGATCTGATGAATAGTTACTGTTATGGCATTTATTGTTGTAAAAAAAAACCCGCTGTGTTTAGTGATATGCGGGTTCTGTGAAATTAATTTACTTTGTTCGGCACCACTATAAGAAATTATTGTGTAAAACCTGATATAAAGTTGTTGTTATATGTCTACTTTTAAATAAAGTTAGTAGTTATCCATTTCCTCTTCTTGTAAACTTATCTTTTTCAAATTCTGTCTCCTTTACGAATAACGTTTTTTAGTGACAGAGAACTGTGGCATGCAATATGTCGTCTAACTTTTGGCACGAAGTATTTTAACTCGGTTTCATGCACCACATCATTGAGTTGGCGTCAGATGTATATAACATATCCACATCCTTATCTGCACGGAGTTTATATTGGGAAAATGACATATCTTCGCAATGGAGAAGCATCTTTTCAAGTATTTCTACTCTGTACATCCTAATAAATTCCTGTTCATTTTTTTCATCGCTCGTTTTTCATTTTTTGTTCTTGCTCATATTATTTTTATGGTTGAATTTGTTGAAATCCTTTAACAGGAATTCTCTTGGTACTTTTTTAGGATCAGTTTTACAGACCGTGGCATATAGTCATCTATTATCGGATGATGAGATTTTTTGCAGATGGTTCGTTATGTTTTCTTTTTGCTTTTACAGTGAAATTGCAAACCTATCAATGTAATATACTTTTTTCAAGCTTTTTATTGTTAGGATCGTTGCTCATATGAAATTGAAATACGCAGTTAAGGATAAAATACTTCTTTCCGAATTTAGGTACAGTTATTATGGTTATCACATCTGAAGTGCCAGCACAAGTTGTGGGACTTTTGAAATCAAAAACCCCTCGCTTAGCTGGAGTTCTTTTTGGTCATTACTGGATGGTGAGTCAAGATCGATTAGCAGCACAGGTATCATTTCCTAAGCTTTATGGATAAATTTTCTGTTTTTATTCATTTAAATTTTTGGACTGGTGGTTGGTGTCAGTTTGTTGTAGGAGACAGCGGTTTATATTTTTTCTGTAACAGAAAAAATTTAGTTTCATCGTCACAATGAAAAATCACTTCAGCGGACGCTACGTATCCACAAATCGCTTCACCCGTTCTTGCCCTATGAAGTAAGTCCAATTTTTATTTTAAAAGATGCATTTTTCTTGTATTTCAGTAACTGCCTATGTCATTCTTGCAGATATTAGATCAGAAATTCGAAATGGAATTACATTTTGGAGATGGAATGAAGCGACGAGCTCACTGTGTGCTACAAATTTTTGAATATAATTGTACAGTAACCTATTTGGATGGTAAAGTGTCTTACAGTTGTCTAGATACAACTGATCATCAGGCATGTCCGCCATTGTTTTTCAGTCGGGTAAGGAGCTACGCTGTTCCTGATGGTTGCGACGAAATTTTAGTTTGAAGGAAATAGTTTATTTGAAATGTTTATTCCGGTTCTGTTATTTTAAATTATTTGATGAGTGATGTTAGGAACATATTAGCAGCATATTTAATATGGTGAAGTTATAACATTTATTAGAAGGGATTATATCCGTAACAGTGAGTAAAATGCATTGCTTATTAATAGCGTCAACCTATAAATGTTAATACCATGATAGCCAACTTAAGTTTTTTTTACCATATAGTTTCGCTAATTTTGAATGTTGGGGACATATCTTCACTTTGAATTTAGTGTTTATAAACCAACTCATCTCTTTCTTGGAAATAAGGGTCAGAAAATTTACTGTTTCATGAAAAGTTTCGTACTTCATGTGAAGTGTGTGATTGCTTAAACATCATAATTTTTATAGCTGTTGAAATAGTATGCCATTTTGTTAAGAATTTGATACCAATATTTTTGCCAAAATTTTCATTATTGCTTTCATCCATTGGTTCTTGATTTGTCATTGATGGGATGCAAGTAAAGAAGAATCTAGGATTTTTTCCACAAGTCGCTCTTCCAATTTTCGATATTTAAATGGTAATAAGTACTTGTCTTGAAAAAAAGGAAACTTAAAAAAATGACTGAAGATCAGTTTCACAAAAAAAAATTTTTTTTTCTTCATTTCGAATATCATAGAGATTCATCTACTAAACTGCACTTCAATTACTTCTGCAAGCAGACGACAATTGTATACTCTCATGCTCTTTTCCACTCGCAGAATCGGTTATCCGCATGAAACTTTTATTCTACCATAATAAGATCGGAATAGTGAAGGTAAGTTTACAAGTTTTCCTTTGATTCTTGAAGAAAAAAACTACACGCTTAATATTTCTTTATCCAGGAATGAAATGGTTGTTATCTTGATATTTTATTCAATTCTTCCAATGATTGCAAGCAAAGGTGATTAAGAGATTTCACTGATTTTATTTGGACTGCTTGTTGAAGATTTGGAGGTCCCAGAAGTCCTCGAGTTCTCAACAACTGAACCCAAAAATTGGGAAATGAGTACTTCAGCTTAAGAAAATACGAGGTTAAAAACTAGGCTCGATTAATGTTGCGGGGATGTGAAACCTGTCAACAACTGGTGAAGTCGAAAGCTTAGTAATAGCCTTGGGAGAAATTTCCATTTCCTTGGTCCTGGGATAAGCCTACCATATATATATATATGTATATATATATATATATATTTACCTGTCTAAAACAGGAGTGATAATAGTCATAAACCAACTGACAATTTCCCATGAAGTATAAAACTTGATACTGAAACAAAGGGGGACTGTAACGGAAAATTATCTACAGCACAACGATTGAAATCGAATTGTGAATATTTGCATTGTAATTAAAAGGGAGGAGAATTTAGCTAAGTGACTTATCATATTGTACACGTAACATCTATTTGATAATTTGTGTAATGAAACATGGAGTACGAAGTATTTGCAACACAAATTTTATTATTCAAGAATATTAATTATAAATTATTTGGAGGTCCGCGATTTCGAATTTCGCGAAAGTAATATGGGTGCATTGTGTAACATTGCGTTAACATAGCAATGTTTTGGAAATGTTTTCTGTATGTGAAGGGTAGTGAAGAACGCGACACTGCAAAGTGCTTTATGCAAAACGATAGTTGTCAAATGTATGATACAAAAAACATGATAGTTAGATATATTACTAATGTGAAGTCTACATCCAATTATGCGTTTCGTTCTTCATAACTACCAAATATCACGGGAAACATTTGTTTCAAAGCATCTACTGTGTGTAATGGCAAACACTGTACGAAATTTCCTTCGGCATAACCAAGTAATAAGCCTGTAAAAAAAAGTTGAAGAACAAATAGAAAACAAAGGCAAGCAGCTTCCGTCGAAAGAAATACTTTTGACTTTAAAGTTTGTCAAGATTAAATCAAGACTGTGAAATACCATATGAGTTAGCAAAACAAAACTCAAAAGAGAATGTTTTATTTTTGCATTATTTGGAGTAACATGAAGATATTGTAAAAACAAAAAAGAAAGAAATAACACGAACCAATCATAACATCGCTAACATAGTGTCGACCAATAAAAATTCGTGAAGCTCCCAATAAAAGTGGAAATAACTTCACAAAGAGAGCAATAAACTGTGGAAGCGAACAAAAAAAGGTCAAACTAAAACGAGAAAACAAACGCTTCGCTGGCTAGTCTAGTGCAAAAATTACCGAAGTGGCAATGCAAAGATTTTGCCTACTATTCAATATATTCAAAATTCAAATCCGTTACCATAAAACCGACAGCATCGCACCACGAGAGGAATGACCAGAAGGGAATGAAAACTTGTCGACCAAAGGTGCCTCATAGAGCTAGAATGCTTTATTAATAAACAAGGAAAGAAAGTCAACGATTATTTGACGGAGTATTCTAGCACATCTGATTCGCGACAAAGCGTTTCATGAATCCAAAAAATTTGAAGGCTTCAAATTCTACTTCGGAGAGTGTCAGAACAGTTACTGTTTAACTAAATAGCAAAAAATTCGAAAGTGAAAATTCTCAATGACGTAGAAGACTAAAATTTTTTCTTACATTGATTTGAGGGAGTTGGTGTTAACATTCTCGTATAATAATAAGATGTATAATAAGATTCGAAACCGTCGTATACCTGATCTTTAATATTGAAAGGTGGTCGAGATCTCCTTGCTATTCCTTTGATAATCCCAACAATTATCAAATCAGCACACAGACCTTAAAAAAATTACTAAGTGTTTCAGATTCCCACTTTTCGAAAAAAGGGAATGAAGGAAGTGTTCAGGTATCTCGGAAAAATATTGCCTGAAAAATTAAAGTACTTACCAAATATTAATACAGCTAATTCATATCTCATATTCAACAAAAAGTTGTATCTCATAGATACCAGGAATATAAATGAACTGAAAACAATATCATTGTAATGACCGACTCATTGGAAATAATTTAAAAATGCTGAAGCATCCGAAAGTGTTGCAAATTAAATTAAAAAATTATTTTATGAAATTTACGAGAACTATGGTGCATGAATTCTTCTAGGTTGTTCGGAACAACTTATTAATTAATAGAAACAATTTTCATTTAATAGCTAACTTAATAATTAATAGTTTTGAAAGTTGAAACAAAAATATGAAGATGAAATACCTAAAAATTAGCCACAAAGCACCATGCATTGACCACTCCATACATAAAAAGATGAAGCGCAGATTACTTTGCGAATCAATACCACTATTCAATACCATGAACGAGGTGATTTCGTGATCCCAAATCCACAACTGTGTTTGAACTAGAACTAATTGGAAGTCATATTCAAAACAGAATCCTCTGATCAAACAAAATGTTTACAATGAATTATATTAATTTATTGAACTAATATTGCCATTTGGAGTGCAGACTTTACTGTACCTTAAGCTGCTGCAACACAATAATTGTTCCCTTCGATATTTATTAACAGACTTGAATTCCTTCCTCCTTTCCCCTGTCACTTTTACTTGATCCCATTCACTCTCTACACTTTATTCAGTTTTACCATAAATTCCTTACTACCAACTTTCCATTAATTAAACAATTTATTTCTGATGTCATAAGTACCATAATACCATAGTGACATCAGTAGTATCTTGAATATAATACAGTACTTCTAGCATGCTATGAAATGTAAAAACTCACCGTCCACCATGTTCACCATCTGATCAAACCATCTCCACAACTGCCCTTGAATGCTCCGATATTAATCAAGAACACCAATCATCGCTTGACATTCGTTGCCTCCCTGTTGACTCATATAAGATGTTTGAATATGACTGTTATACCAAATATGTATTATGGTATTAAAGAGTATCACAAAATGTATTAGGAGCACAATTCCAATAATTAGTTAATGTCCTTTATGTCTCTATACTTACGAATGCTGCCATGTACAAGATGAAGGAACAAACAGTCACATCAATGAAAATAAAAAAAGAAAACTTTGCTTCAGATTTAACTTCATGATGATTTGTTTCTCTAAAAAAAGTAGTCTTGACTAGGTGTGAAACTGACTTTTTTAAAAAGATAAACAGCAGAGCTATACGTATGTATAAGAAACTAGCAACTGACAAGCGTTGCACCAAATTTCATTTATTTTCGTTTAAACAGTACTATGTACACACACATACATAACCAATTCTCCATTGGGATTGATAACAAATGTTCTGAAATCAAAACGCCTTAAACAATTACAAAAACTCATCAAAGACTTAAAGTCACCCCCTCCACGGCTAATGATTTATTGAAAAAAAAATCTGTCAACAACCAAAGAGCATTCTCGAGATGTAGTTGATATTTTACAAGATCAATTCGACAAAGGAATTCAGTCTTTTTTAGAATGCTTCTTCAGATGTTTTTCTTTTATAAATGCAGCCATTGGATCATCAGCGTGAATTTTCGTTAATTTATAAGCTTCCATTTCAACAGGTGTTGGAGTACTTATGTCATAAATGGAATGATAGCGCCGTTTTCGATCACCCTAAAAATTTATATTTTCCTGTCTAATTTTCCTGATGTTATGTTTTCTTGACTACCAACTTTAACAGCCCCATTGAAGCACCGCCTAATCAGTATTCACCCGACTTACTCTGTGTTAAACATTTTCTCATGTAAGAGAAGATAGTGAGGAAAATCACTTAAAATAACTTTTTTAACAGAAGTGGAAAAATACCAGCTGTAAACTTTCTTCGGCATCTTCCCATTCCTTATTGATCTTTTTAATTGCATGTTCAAGTTCTTTCTTCCTTTTCTTCTCATCATCTGATGGAAATTCATCCAAACTTTTCTTTATTTTCGAAGCTTTTTTATTCTTCTCCCTCCGCTCTTTTTGTCGCCTTCTCTTTTCCCTCTTTTTTTCACGTCTTCTGTCGTCACGCTTAACTAAACGCCAAATATAATTTTTTTAATAGCTTTATAAAACCTTCAAGGATCATTAATGATAAAAGACCGAAATTAAACACTGAGATCAGTGTTTGTGTTGATGTTTAGCAGTAAAAAAATATACAAGATGCTAAAGTACCTTTCTCAAGTTCATATTGCCGTTCTTCTTCCCATTTTTTTTCGTCTTCAGCATTCTTCTTGGAGTCAAATGTATCCGACGATGATTCGCCATCAGCAGAGGAATTTCCTTCCTCTTCTAGCTCCTTTCCCGATGTTACACCTGCAAAATTAAACCGTTTATAAGATACTTGACAAATTTGAAAATTGGCCAAACTTATTGGCTTTAATAACTAATCAAATAGTACTGGTAGTTTCTTGTTTGACACTTGGATCGGTATTTGGGAGCACGTTTTGCGGCAAAATGACTCCTTCCAGAGTTGCTGCATTTCTATCTTTACCAACTTCGCCAAGGCAGTATGAATTTTTTATGAAAGAATGACAGCAAGCAAAACCCCACTGTCCAGATTTCCAGTAAGATCCCCAAACAGATTTGTGGTTATTCAAGTATCTAAACACAAAAGCACATTATCACCACTGGCCGACTGATCAATTTACTCTTGTTCTTTATATGTTTATCAAAGATAACGGTTAGAATCTTATACATTATACAAATATATATCTCATGTTTTTTTAATCATATGATTTCTTAACAGAATAAGAAAAAAATAATCTTACCTATCCTCCTCATAACGGCTTAATATCCCTCGTCGTTCCTCACCTTTTACTAATTTTCCTTTTCTGTTATACTCCACATAATTCTCCGTTTGCGCTAACAACAATTCCTTCGGTGGTGCATGTAAATACTCCTAAAAATATTTTCAATATTTTGACCACCGTTCTTTGCTCATTTCCACTCTTCTGTCCGTAAATTACGAAGTGAATTTCAAGGGCAAATAAAAGATGTAGAATGTCACTAAAAATTTGATTACTAATAGAGATAATGTCTGAAGAGAACTAAAACTGAAAAAAATGAAAAATAAGCTCAAGCTACAAATAACTTTGGCACAGTATAAACGCTAAAAAATTAGTGCTGACTTACTTCTCCACCATACTTTTCCAATAATTTGCTTTTGTGCTCCTCTTTCGCACTTAATTTTTGTTGTTCAAACTCTTTTTTCATTGCTTCCAGCTTTGTAGGCTCAGCTAATGCATGAACATCAATTCCTGCAATAGAGAAGCACGCAGCATAGAAACATTAAATTAATGAAAGCAGCTGAAAAGTGCCTAATCGGATTAATAAAAAGTAATAAGTCATTTTTAAATTCTGATCAACAGCGAACATTAACACTTGTACTTACTTATTAACAAAAGTGACTTAATCAAATTAATTTAAACTTTTCTGTCATGAATTTCTTGTGCATGCTGCATTAATTATAATCGATGATTAATGTTGTAATTAATCATGACCGGAAAGAAACATAGAGCCTAAATGAAATCTGAACATTATAATACTCAGTGCTGTATGCTTCCTTACCTATCACACAACATCTCAGTCCTCACGTTGTTTTGAAATAACAGTTCCGTTTAATGGAATACTAAATATGGGAAAGAAAAATAAGCGTAAGTTCAATTCTACTCTAAATTATTTTCATATAAGAACTAGATATATCCTACTATACAGGTTTTGACTTAAAATTACTTTTTCTAATTATAAGAATAAAATAGAAGCATTAACCTTTACAACGAGCCTGCCATGCGAACACCTGTGCTTCATTAGCCTGTACTACTTCTCCTGTATAACGTATGAAATTCTCACCAGCAAATTTAGCTGCTTCTTTCTCTTTTCCAGGTACATTCTGCAAAAATAATTTTAATAAAACCAAAAAGTGTAATCCTAAAAAAAAAAAAAAAAAAAACGATGTTTTGAACAAGACTTCTTACTGCAAATGGGTTCTCTCTCATCGAACGCGACTTCGGATCATAATAAGGCCCATTTGGATCCAAATTATAGAGGTATTTTGCAGTATCTTCTCTGAAATTACTACTCTAATAACCTCTTAAAAAAAAAAGATCACATAACATTACCTGAAATCTTTACTTCTATACCTGATACGAAGATTCCTCACAGTAATTCGCGTACGCGAATCCATATCCACTGTTACACCTGCCATATCAGCATCATCGGCATACATATCTTCATCTGCAGGCTCTTCTGCTATATGATGGTTGCCTTCTCCAGTTTCCAATTCTTCTTTCAAAAGTTCTCCTTTCATCTAAAACAAACAAAACCAATCAGAAATACAGGCTAACGATGGTATAAGATTTTAAGTTCAAAGTTTAAATACTTGAAGAAAACCGAAATTACCTTCTCCTCCCTCAGAAGCTTCCTTGTTTGCTCCAGTTTCTCATGTTCTTCAACAACTTGCTTGTATGTCTGCGGGTCATATCCATTCCATCGATCTCGTTTCGCATCCCAGCCAAGTGTTAATTTCGGCTTTAATTATAGTTTTATATAAAATAATTGTACTACATGCTGAGAAAAACGAATAATTGTGAGAAAAAGGAAAAAAATTTAATTTGTCAAAGAAATTTGGCTTATCAAATTTCGACTATATCTTTTTCCACTGTATAGCATGATCTACAACTCTCCCATAATCTAAATCTCTTAAACCACAGTTTCGATATATTGAAGAATCTTTCAAACCCAAGCGATTTGCACGCGATTTATTTTGCATAATTAAAACAGTTGGGAGGAAAACCTGGACGTATTCGTCTGGAGCAATATCCTGATTTGTCCATATGGCACCTATTTTACGAGGTCTCTCTAAACAGTCTTTCTTTCGATGCGTCATAGCACCGCAGTTTTCACAGGCACCCTAAATTTATAATTTTTCAAGAACATGTAAGTACTATGAAAATTCAAAGATAAAAAACAAGTTTTGGACTTAGTACAAATTTAGACAGACCTTTCGGAATTTCGTAGCTCTTTCATTTGTTGTACCTCTTTTATACCAATCATCGATCGATGACCACTTAATCTGTCTTTCTTCATGCGGTCTTTGATGCTTAAATTGGGTATTTTCTAGAGAATTAAGTAAAGCTGCAACATGCAGCCGGAAAAACGAACGTCATCTTTTGTTACTCGCAGTTTGCTCCTTGACCTTTCGCAAAAACATGACTAGTAATATTTTGTCCTTGAGTTTTAAGCATGCATCATGATGGTAAAATTGGATCTTTAAATTAACCTGTAGAGTAGGTCCATCAGCAGGCACATACCATGGATGCTTTGCAATGAATTCTGGAATATGCGGGTTGATATCACGCCCTGTTACAACATCCACTGTTGCTGGAGCTATACCCAACTTTTGCTCCTCTTCCAAATCCTTCGAAAGACTTTTCATTTCAGTTTAAGATTAAAAACTTCACGATCACTTGTTTATACCGCATTTTCATAATTTTCAAAAAAAAATTTTTTTAAGTGATAAGGATCCAGTACCTTCTGCTTCCTGTATTCATCCTTACTTTTCCGTCCTTCCTGCACATCGCCTATCCCAATTTCTTGCCGGAGCAGTTTCGATACAGGAATTTCTGAACCACTTGATGTCATTCTTTTTTTCTTCTGAAACAATACATTTATTGTTGTCAAAAAATCGCACTGTATTGTTTCGTACAGTATAGTTAAATTGAACTTCCCAACAGAAGACCAGTCCAGAATACTTCTAATAAAGCTTCCCGAAAAAACCAGCCCCACTTAACTCTCCCCCAGAAACATTCCACATAACTATCAAAGCATCTACAACGGGAAGAAACCAACCGTGAAATACCATAAGGCAACTGCAAAACTGCTTGGTCAATGAATGCTGGTATCACGCAAGTAAGTTTTTATCTCTTAAGTCTGATTAAAAGTAGTGTTGTAGGTACGGCGTTGTCTTTGAGCAGTCCTTCAATAGTTTGTCTATAATCACTTCTCAGCATGCGGCACGAACGAACTGCGCGATGCAGTAGTGCTTGTATGTTGGCTATAGTATTTCATCGTATATGCGACATGATCGAACAGTATGAAGTTCCATGCTCTTTCGCTATACATTCCTGTATTGATAACACAGGAGTTTATGCTATATGGTCATTTTAGTTAGGTTATTAAAGTTTAATTCGTACTTTCTAGCTCAAAGAATTCCTTACGATTTACAATACACTGACAGATTCGTGTTTTCGGGCGTGCATCCGAGAATTCAACCATCATCAGCTAATTGAATCCGAAGCGGAATGTATCAACAAATGTAGTTTTTTTTTATTCATATCTCCAACTTAGGAATATGCTTGATTATTTGAAGCGCATGCGAATTGAATGGGCTGTACATCTAAATTAGAAAACGGTCCTGTAGAATCCACACATTTGTCTGGTCATGCATCCACTTATCTAAATGTTTAAATTCTATGCACTGCAGAGTTTATCAGAAGCGTTGGTTACGGTTAAAGTATTTGTCGCTGACAGAACTTTCTAAAACTTCCAAGATGCCGTATTTGAGTTTTAATATAAGTATTAGGTATTAAACATTAAATATTATATTAACATCGCATATCTTTGTTTCATTATGTTTTTTTTTTTCTCAGAACTTCTTGGACGTGTATTGCGTGTAATTTCTTTTTCTTCCAAAACCGTGCCATAATATTGTTTAAGTGGAGTTTCATAGAAAATCAGATAGTAAGTATTAAATTTTGTATTTTCGTTATGTTATTTGTGGTATTCCTGCATGCCATTGAAGATACCACTACTACTTTTAATTGAAAAACTTCAAGGACACTAAACATCCGTTCCCATTAAGTTTTTCAAAGATCAAAGTACCTGTTGTTGAAGGAATTTTTGGGACTTTTAAAACGCCATATTTGAGTGTTAATATAAAGCATTATATTTTTGCAGGCATTGATAAGCACATGCGGACAAGTCAACGTCTGATGCTGATATTTGCTGAACAAGCTCCAAATAAGTTATTTAAAAAGGACGAATCATCGAAATAACAGTTCCTGCTTCTTCGAGCTGTTTTGTTTTTTCCATTTTGCAGAAGTAAGTTATGAGTATCATATCAGAGCACGGTTTCCGTCAAGATGGTCGAAAGCCACATCAAATTCGGAATCTAAATTATAAACTGGGAGTCTATTCACAAGCTGATGGTTCAGCGTACCTTGAACAAGGCAACACTAAGGTTTTTTCATTGTTTCTTTTAATGCTGGTTGTTTAAGTTGCTATCCCAAACCATGCAATGCAGTGATATTTGAGGAAGTGAAAGTGGGACTACTCTAATTAGTTATTTTAAGATAAGAATTTTCCCTATTTATTTCTGCAGGTACACTCTATCGCGCTCACCAAAATAGATGCTAAACTTCTGTATACTTTTCATATATGTTTGAGCAGATGTGGTTTAGGTTCTTTGCGCAGTATATGGTCCTTACGAACCTAAACAACGAAGCCGTTTGTTAGAGGATCGTTGCATCATCAACTGTCAATATAGCATGGCCACATTCTCAACTAATGAGCGGAAGGTTTATTTTATTCTAATTGTATATCGAAGTTGAAAATAATTTATCGTTTATCTATTACATATTTTAAGAGAGTCAGTAAATATATGTGACTTCTCGCTTACAGTTGCGTGAAATTTATTGCTTTAGGAACGACCACGAGGAGATCGTCGGTCGCTAGAATTTGCTAGGTTAATGGAGAAAGCGTTCGAAGCAGCAATTCTGACAGAAAATTATCCACGATCTCAAATTGATGTTTTTTGCGAATTGTTGCAGGTACTGGTCTTATAGTGTTTACACTTGTGTTTCCATCGCTATCAACACTATCACTTACACCTAGCTCAACCAGTTGTTTATTTTAGGTCTTAACCGACTGTATTTGTTGTTTTAGTATGAGCAAAGATTTTGACACATGTGTCATACATGTATCGATAATACCTTCATATTGCCATTCCTATTTTGCATTGAGTATCTGGAAGGGATTTTTTTTTAGAGAAAAATTTTCTTTATATAAGTTTTTTCTTTCAGGAAATTCTGTATATTTTTCTTCAGAATAATATGTGTTATCTAAAACATTTGCTTTACGATATTTCTTTTGCGACTTTTTTTCTTTTTCAGGCGGATGGAAGTCATCTTGCTGCATGTGTCAATGTGGGAACGTTAGCACTTGCTGATGCAGGTGTGCCAATGCGTGGTCTGGTTGCGGCAGCATCATGTGCTTGTGCACCTGGTGGATTAGCGTGTGTAGATGTCAATTCGCGTGAAGAAATGGGTATTGTTCCTCGACTAACAGTGGCTACAATATCGGGACAAGATGCAGTTGTGCTGGCGGAGTTACAAAATAGGCTGCACAAGAATCATCTAATGGTGATACTGGGAAATGCTCGAAAAGCAACAGCTCATGTACACTCATGTCTCGAAGCTGCCGTATTGACTCATATTAAAGCTGCCATTGGTTTACCTTCCGATAGTGATGTGGAACGTGATAGCTAGCATTTGATGTGCTGACTAAATAGCAAAAATATCTCGTTTTAAAAACACTTCGTTTTATTGTTTTCAGAGAATTAGTATGAATTTCAAAGAAATATGGAATACTTTAATGGAATGATTTTGTTTTGTTTGGACAGGTTTTTTCAACTTATCGATATTAAATGTGTTTTTTGTTGGTTATTTATCAATGGACCATTTGTTTATGCCTTTTATTCGATTTTATTGGTTTAAAATTTCCTTAAGTGAAAAAGGATTTTTATTTGTGTATCTTTATTTCTATTACTGACTTCTTCCGGAAATATATTAAATTCATGAAACTTTGTTCTTTATGTCGCTTTATGTGAAATATTGAAGATCCATACGTATGGAAACCCTTTCCAACGAAATATGGAGTGTCCATTTAAATAGCTAAATTTATAGAACTTCAAATAAGATTCAGGTTTCTTTTCATTAGACTTTCATAAATAATAAGTTGCATGACAGAAATGTTTTAAATCATAAATTTTGCTATGTGGGCAGAGTTCTATATACATACTATAGCTAGAACCTTGTCATGTCTGTGCTGGTGATCAGAAAAAAGTGACCTGCGGTGTTACGTGCATATGTCTGCATATATTGCTTCAATGCTTAGGAATGCTTTAGTCCTCATTTTCATTCAACGATAATACTTTATTTCCATTTACTCTAAATATCCATAGTTGGAGTGAGTAATAATTTTTTCTTATTTCATTAGATTTGGAAATATCTTGAAGATTTTAGTAAGTGGTAAGGTTCAGCAAGAAAGATATGGATCATTTTTATGGCAGACTAGAGTATCGATACTGTTGTATTTCTCTGTAGCTTATTTAGCATGGTAATAAGTAGGATTTTGCAGATGTCGCTGGAAATTGCTGGGCCTTCTAATTTCAAGGAACTGGATATAGTCGCAACGGAGAGACGAGTTCCCGAGAACAAACTCATTGTACCTGGTGCTAAAGTTACTTCCAATCCCGATTTCATGAGGTCCTACTAGGATTAATGAAAATTATACAAAAAAGTTTTTTTTTTTTAAGTGGTAAAATAATAAAGTAAAGTGCATTTCTTCCTTAGTTTCTGGTTAATTAACATTGTGTAACTGATATGAAAAGAGTATTAGTGTGGGAGGGGAGATATTTTTCGGTAATTTGTAATGAACCAGGTTTCTTTGACGAATGTTTCTTTGTTACCAGATCCATCTGGTTGAATTTATAAAAGGTTTGCTGGTCCTCGTTTTTAAGGCTTTTTTTTGCTTCTATGCAGAAATATTTCAGGGGGCATGGGACATACATGCGCGATGATAACTTAATAGCATCAGTAGCTGGTACTGTTGAGCAAGTTAATAAACTTGTTTCAGTACGACCCCTGAAAAGCAGGTAAGCTGTTGCTCATAGTTTGCTAAGATTGTTTCTCACTGTGTTTCTATCAAGGCAGCTTAAGTTTTCATATATACTTTAGGTATTGTCTGTTATATAGTTTTTTGTGTTTTCCTTCATTTCTAGATATAACGGAGAAATCGGAGATGTAGTGATTGGGCGAGTCACGGAAGTACAACAGAAAAGATGGAAAGTTGAAACGAATTCCAGACTGAATTCGACGTTACTTCTTTCCAGCGTAAACTTGCCAGGTGGTGAGCTGGTACGGTTTTTCTAATTAGAATTATATATTAAAGTACTGGTTTAAAATGCAGTACTGCTTCTATTGAGTTCGTGTATTGTTTTCTCATTCACAATTTCTGCATTTATGAATTATTGAAGATAATGTGTTGTTAGTAGCTTTTTTTCAAATCTGATTGTAGAGGAGAAAATCGGTGGAAGATGAACGGATGATGCGTGAATACCTCAAAGAGGGTGACCTTATAAGTGTAATTTATTTTCTTTTTGCTTCTTTAATAGAATAATCTGGACTTAGTGTTTTTCTGTATCAAAAACTCTTTAGTTTTTCGTTCATTAATTTGAAATTATTAATTTTTTATCAACTAATTTTTGTTGGTATGATTTTCATTGCCAGGCTGAAGTACAAAAGGTGCACTCAGACGGACAGTTGTCGTTACACACGAGAAATTTGAGATATGGAAAGGTTCGTCTTTTTTTATTTTTCCAAAGTTTTTCAAAAGTGAGGTCTTATTCTCATGTTGGAGTTTTCTGTGAGTTGATTCCTCTAATGAAGACGTTTGGTCACATAGAGATGGTGCAACTGCGTTTCGAACGGATTGCATATGTATTTCGAAGACCCGTAGTGCTGGCTGTTGATGGCTGCGTTTTGTTTTTTCAAACGAGACTACTTTTTGGTTTTTAAAGTATTTTTTTAATATGCATAATTGTAGCAATGCTAAAAATTAAAACACTTCGGAAGCAGTTAATTGAAACAAATGCGTAAGTTTTGAAATGATGTTATAGTGATGCACTGATGTCTTACCCCATTTTCATATTTCACGCAGTATAATATCGCAAAGAATTTTATTTACGAAGTATTTTTATTATTCATGCTGCGCGTAATAATTTTTAGCTTTCGCAAGGGACTTTGGTAAAAATTTCTCCATATCTTGTCAAACGAAGAAAATCACATTTCCATACGTTGCCATATGGTGTTTCTGTAATTTTTGGATGTAACGGTTATATCTGGATAGCACCTGTAGCAAGTGAAGAGCAGAACATGACCGGAGGTTATTCTCAGAATTTGGAAGAGGTAACGTCAGGTTGTAGTCGTTTATTATATATCTCTAATTGATGGCCGTAACATAACCGTATTTTCATGCGTTTTTGGAAATATTTTAAGGTAATACCAATGAAAATCCGAACAGTTATTGCACGTGTGGCAAATTGTGTAAATATTCTTGCCATGCACCATATTCCACTCTACGATACAACAGTGGTGCTTGCTTATGACGCATCTCTCAACTCTGAGGTCCGTTTCTTAAATAGAAATAATTTAAATTGTATTTTCAATGAACAAACTGTAGCATTGTAGCATCCTTTTCTGTATATGTTTAGAAAACCACAAAAGAGCATATCTTTAGAGATATGCTCTTTTGTTCTCATCCCATTTTTATACATTGTCAGTATAATTTTACCGCAGCAAAATTTCTTGAGGATTAAACTGAAAGAATACATTTTTTTATTGTTTAAATGGCCAATCATCTCAATTAAAATTATTCATATATTCCGTTATTGAAAGTAACTAATTTTTTCTATTCAGATAAAAGACCTGTTGAAGCTGGAATCATCCGCAAACATAGCGACAGAAGTTGCGCTGCAGCTGGAAAAGAATTGTTGAAGAAGTGGGATGCTACTGAATGAGCCTCTTTTTACCTAACATTGGAGTATTCCTGTGGAGTTTCCATATTCACTAGAATTACTAAAGTTGGAAATCGGCTGCAAATATAGCAAAATAATTGTTTTGAATCAATATAAACGGTCTATTAACTTTATGCATTTTCATTCTGTCAATTCATTACTCTCAACTCAATTTTGCGATCGTTATTTTGAGATTTTTGATGAATATGTTTCTTGTTACTCACTTTTTTCTGGAAATGTCAACAAATAAATGATCTGACGTAGGAAATTGAATTGTTTTGAACAAATATAAGTAAGATGTTAACCTCCATATATCATTAATGGACAATGGTCTAGTCCTAACTGATTCGACCCAAAAGATTGCTTTTTATATACGATTCATTGCTACAAAGCGAAGTTTCATTTTTAGTTTTTTTTATAACAAGCATTTTGTAGTTCTGATAAATATTATGATATGCGGGGAATTGATTGCTTTGATAAAATTCAGATTTGAATTTGTCCAGCGGTGAGAAGAAATGCAGGCAAGTGATTTTGAGATCAGTGGAGGAAAGATGGTGCTTGTCGAAAACTTCACTGATTTAAATGGAAAATTAGGGTTCTACATGAGGAAGATTCTTAGGGAAGCAATAACTGCACGAAATGTTGCTAAAATTGCTCTTTCTGGTGAGCTTCAGCAATTTGCAATTCCCATAATTTTCAGTAACATTGCATTTTATGCCATACAACAGTGTTTCTTTCCAATTTTTGTAGAAGCGATGTTTTGTCTTCTCTGTTTAAACTTAAGATTTATTCGGAAATTAATTTCAAATACTTTAAGGCATTTTGGGCTTCATCTATAAGTGTTTTTAAGAATACCTGCCAATAAGACAATTGTTAGCATAGATAGAGATTTGACTTTGAGGCATCGAAAAGCATTTATACGATAATGTCAACTTCAGTTAGGCACTTCCAGTTTCGAGAACTTTTCTAGGTGGTTCGATGCCTGCCCTAATAGCACCGCTGCTGGCGAGATTGGAGGATATCGATTGGTCAAAAGTTCGGATATTTGCTGCAGATGAACGAATGGTTCCACTAAGTGATGCCGAGTCGAATACAGGAACTTACATGAAAATTCTGCCACCTAATATCAGCCAATCATTTGTGTATTATGGACCTGTCGACAACAGTATTGCTTTTTTCTATATATCTATAATTTGCTTTTATTTAGGCCGTGGTTTGAAGCCATAAGCCACGGAGACTACTATTGGTAAGAACTGTCATCAGCGAAACATTATTTCATTTTTTTTTTCTTTCGGTATTTAAAGTTTTCTCTATTCATTTGCGAATTTTACCTTATTAAGAAAGCCCTTACAGCAACAGAGTGTGCGAAAAACTATGAAGAACAGATACATCATTGTACAACAGAGACGGAAGAAGGCTGGCCTGTGTTCGATTTGCTGTTATTAGGTATTGGACCAGATGGTCATACATGTTCCTTGTTTCCTGGACATCCAGCACTAAGGGTAAAAATATAAAATTTTGTTTCGAATTCTCCGCTCATTTCTGGCTTAGTAGATATCATTAGTAACAGACAGATTAGCTGAGCAAGTTATTGACTGTAGATTATTGTATTAAGTCTAAAAACTCACGGATAAAATAGGTAAATGAACTGTTAACTATTCAAAGGGAATTGTTAATCTGTATCCTGCTTATATAGTTAGCTTTATTGTATAAAGGTCAAGCAAGAGCATCGAATAAATCGCCTTCACTGCCTCGAGCGCTTTACCATTTGTTGTAAATATAAGTGATTTAACAATGATATAAATTCAGGAAAATGTCAAATGGGTTGCAGAAGTCGAGGATTCCCCAAAACCACCACCAAGGCGTATAACTTTAACACTACCGGTTATTAATCATGGCCGATATGTGGCATTTATTTGTACTGGTAGAAGAAAAGGTGAATTAATACGGGTAAGTTATAGTAAGGAGGTGAAAAAGATTTATCAGTAATATATTGTAGTCTCACAATAATTATTTTTTTAACTCAGTTATTGATTAATGAAGTTGTTGTATTAAGATGGAAAACCTTATTTCATGTCTGTAAATGAACAGCCAATTTATTAGAAGGTTTTTCAAAAGTGCAGTAAGGTCTCAGCATTTTAATATAACTAATTTTCGTAAATAATAATTTTCGAATACGTTGCAGGAAATAGTTAATGGTCAAAATTCTAATTTTCCAGCAGCAATGGTGAAGCCGAAGTCAGGTAACATATCTTGGTTCATGGATAAGGAAGCATTTTCTGCTTGTGGTGGTTCTGCCAGTTGTCTGTGATATGTTATTTTTTTTTATTCAATTTGTGTCTTTATCGGTGAGACAATTGATGTTTTTTCTTTTTAAAGCAGGTACTAAGCAGTACGATATTTATGAAAGAATTCTTGCAAAGATTTATGCTTCTATTTTAATGCCGAAAATAATGTTTAATTCATCACTGATGATATTGATAATCTGTTTTTATTTTACTTTTCTCTACGAGATCATTTTATTTGAAAGTTTTATTTTTCTGCACTAACACACACAATTTCATTTAAAAAAAAAACTACTTTTCAGATTCCCTCAAAACAGGTCCCATCAAAAATTTTAGTTTTTTTCTTTCATATAATTTTTTCACGTTTTTCACTGAAAAAAATTATGAAGTCAGTATGAAAAGGATTCGAAAAATGAATTCTTAAAAAGCCACAAAAGGCACTTTTATTTGAGATTGTCATGTATTTTAAATGGTAATTCGCATATGCTTCCTTTTAACTGCGGGATCTGTGAGTACAGAGTATCAGTAATAAAGTATCTTATAGTCAAAGACGCAATGTATTTCTTTCTCGGTTTTCCACAGTCCAGAACGTTTCTTCAAAGGCAGCACTATACTGCAGAAAAGAAACGTTGCTGGAAAATACTGGCAACAATCGCAGTGATTAACTGATCATTCATATGAAATTAGGTCGTTGAACTACCTACTTATGGTCCACATTTTGAATTTTGAAATCTTATGACAGAAAAAATACATTTAGAAATTCCGTAGTTCGGACATCAAATTCAAAATATTTACCTCTAAGGCTGATTACTGTTTTATTTTATCGACTTTTGCTGATAAAAGCAGGTTTTCGGAAGGTAATGCAAATGTTCTAAAAATATCAAATAGAGCTTTGTCCTCTTGAATATCTATTGTTTTGTTATTTGCATTATTAGGTGCTTATAATACTGGAAGTAAGGCGTATTTTCTATATAAAGGTGGGCGAAGTAGCAATTAGAATAATCACCTGTGATAATTGACATATTAATAATGTAAGGATGAAATACAATAACATTGCAGTTGCAAATTTCAGTCAGTTATTTTTGTAAGATGGAAACAGCTAACTGTATACAGTTTGAAAAGATAATGAGGTAGATAGATAGCAAAATGATAGTAAATTGGACAGTGAAGTAAACAAGTAGAAGTAAACAAAGAAGTAAACGTAATGATATCTAATCTGAAATTGTTAACGTAACTGAAATAACCATAATTATCGTAAATTAAAGTTTTTTTTAAATCTTCATTAATGTTATAATTTGTACTGATTATAATGATTTCATTATCCAAATGTCTAATATTGCAATCGTGGTAAAGAGAATTAACAACTTAAGATTTTAATATACCAATCTATGATACATATTCTACAAGTTTAATTCTCTTCACTTTATCAGTTCTAAAATTTACTACCACTTTACTAGTACTATTATTCCTGCTGCATTGATGTCGTACATTATTTAAGATTCTTGTTTTTTATCAATCTAATCTCTTCTTCTCTTATCACTGTTGTGAACTATTAGTAAACACAAAGACTTGCAGTTGCTTAATTCCCTTTGTATTACATTTAGCTCTATTTCGAATTAAAAATAATCATGTTGTTGTTATATAACGATACTATTACTTATCACGTTAACATTAGACTTCAGAAGCGTTTGTTCTTTCATATCGAGGAAACTGTATCACAATTATTGTTTCCCATGCCTGATCAAAAGTGATAAGGCAGTTATAGTTATCTTTGAAAAAAGATATTTGTCCGTTTTCAAATATCTTCGTAATACCCATAAAAAACAATTTCTCTTCCTCAGATCACAAAATTGCTCTTCTGAAAGTTCAATTTTTTTTTATTGATGTTTTATTTACTTGCCTATACTGCATCAGTATAATTGCCAAAAGGTCTTCATTAGCAGTAGTTTCTCACAAAATAGTAATAAGTTAAGGTTTCGACCAAGTTTTTCAGTTAACAAGCAAGAAGCTAAATAGCAAAAGCAGTTAATTTTATTTACAGAGTGGAAAGTTTTTATAGTTTCGGTTGCCATTTTCGAAGTGACGAACTAAATATGACGGAAGACATTGCTTTCAAAGAGGAATATATAGTGACTGAGTCTACAACCTTGAAATCATGCAGATAGCATCGAGGTCAATGTTGCATTTTACACTGCAGATGCATATCATTACCTAGTGAGAGTGCTAACTTTTTTTCTTCATTACTTTATATCAGTATCATTAATTATTTCTGTTGATTTCATAAAATATGACCGACATATTTATTTAATTCTTTTTCATTCTCATTTCCTTCGCATTCAAATTTAAAAATTCTTTACTATGTCATATTTTTCTTCTCGTTATATTAGAATGCATATATATTCTGAAAGTCTCAAAACTTTAACGCATATCATTTATATACATATATATTCTGCAATTTTTGCAGAAACGAACTATCTATTATTTGGTGAAAGCCAACAGCTTTGCTAAATCTTTTTGTATCTTATTTAAGAATGAGGACTTACAAAACTTGATTCAGAAAATATTTCCGAAAGCAAAAGTTAATATAAATAGTGTATTGCTATTCTTCAAACTAATATAGTGTGCATTTCTTAGCTGTTTAATTAATATGACATTTCTGTTCTAAAAATGATTTGGTGAAAGAACGTCCATATTCTACTGTTTAGCTTCATGCATCTTTTTTTTTTTCCTTCATATCATGAAATTCATTAAAATTTATCATTTATCATAATAGCAAATGCTTGATCATTGGCTTTTTCGACACTGAAAATTTGATTGCTTCATCTTCTCTTAACGTTTCTTTCCAAACTGTCCACATTAATCCTAATCATAAATTGTGTTTTTTTTGGACAAATAGAAATTGAAATTGTGCAGTTTAATATAAAAGACATCGATAAATCAGCAAGTGCATTCATTTTAATAACTGAATTGTTTCAGTGGACCAAAAGAATTATATTTTATATTATCCGATTCTAACACATTATTTATCATTACAATATGCAATATTTCAACTACGTTTTCTGCACTAACTTCATTTCTAATTAAGATGTCTCTTAGCAAGAAAGATTTTGTGCATTCTGCAAGTTTCATGCTATTTGTCAATCATCTTAATTAGTTATTAACATAGTTTTACATTTACCAACATTGCATGGTGATGTTTAATTCTAAAGTTTCAATCGAGACTCCTCTAATAAAAGATATGATATCATGTTGCTGCTGTCAGTGAATCTGAAAAGGAGATACAGAGTAGGTTCTTGTATCAGAAAAGAAAAATTATAAATTGATGGAGCAACAACAACATGGCCTAATTTTCACTAGTACCAAGTGATACATATTCCTTCTTGTTCCTTTTTTGGTTTTTCTGCCACTGTACTGCTAGCTATTCGCTCTTCTTTCTCCTTCCTTTTTATTTCAGACCATTTTTATTATAAACTTTTTTAAAGAAATAGCTTTTAGGTTAGTGAGAAAAATATAGCAACACATCAGTGCCATTCCCTGTCAACACCAATTTCTATCCTCTTCCTTGTCGACATTTGTTGTTGCCGAGAATTACTGCGCTAATACCTTTCCCGGTTAGTTCTTTTCATGATTATCATTTTTGTTATAGCAAAATTCAACGTCGATTAATTAATTCATGGAAGTCGAATTATCATTAATTAAAATAAGATGATCTTACTCGTGATTGTTACAACTTGTTCGCTTAAATTATTAAATTATAAAAGTCTTAAATTACAAGACTAACTCTTCAGTTCTCCAAAGAATGAAAATGAAATATTCGGAGAGAAGAGAAAGAAAAAAAAAGTTATGCCATGAAAAATCAAAGGGAAGTCCATCACTATTAAAGATTTTAACCAGAGTATTTAGAGTCGTTCTGTAATCAATTAGTCATTTAAAAGCTCAAAAGTCTAGAAAAAATTTTATCTTAAAAGTACCTTAACTTCCTAAAATCTATTTTTTTTTCAAGAAAAAATAAGATTTCGGAAAATTTGGGAAAGGAAAAGTTGTCTTTTGTTATGAATAAACTTGAACGCAACTCTTTTTAATAATTGGTAAAGTTCTCTAAATTTTCCTTAGTGAAACTTTCAGAAGCGTTCAGTTTATTTCTCAAAAAACTTAATAGAGAAGTAAATTTTGATACCATCTGCTTTCTGTTTTTGATAATTTAACTTAACGGGTAGGAAGGATTTTTGCTTCATTAATTCCAGAAACGGCTTTTATTTCTTGTCCGTTATTAGCTGATTACTCGAAAAAAAAAAAAACAAAAAGAAAAAAAAAAAAAAAACGAGTTCTTTGAGGATTAAAACATTACCTTGTTAAAGTGCTTGCAAAGTTTTTCTGCACCACCAGCAGCGGAAATTTCATATTCAGGAAAGAAGTCATAGCTAAAGTGAGTGTCTTAATGACTTTGTTTTCTAAGGTCTTAACAATTCGCATCAATTTATTTTAGTGTTCCATCAATTTACTTCACTATAGGTATGGAATAATACAACTCATAAACCTGATCACCTATCGATTTGCTCAGTACTTTATTCTCCAAAATTTTGGAAAATTTAAACTAATTTTCCCAACTTATTAAATTGTCAAAGTAAAGCATTAGTGATGTACTCAGACAATGACAGGTTACTAATAAGATAAAAAGTAAAAAAATAGCTAACGAAGGCTTAGCGATGGATTTTTTTAGCAGAAGTATTCCCGAAGCTATGACGACGCTCAAAGAGTTTTGAAAGTTACAACTTTAGATGATAATATGTGCTGATTACTTGCTAGAAACGGACAAATCCAAACCTCCTTGTGATCATTCATTTTATAAGCTAGTGTAATAATTTATATGTTTAATCTTCTACGTTTCTCTGCTTCATGATCTTATCTAACCATCACTATCACTACCACTCCGTGATAAGATATTGTACAAGCACCTGCTGGAAGATGTGAAAATTTCTGATATTTCCAATTCTTTATTATTATTATCATTATTATTATTATTGTTATTATTATTAATCATTATTATTGTTCTTATTCATTATTATTATTAATTATTATTATGGAAAATTTTAGGAATCTACAAATTATTCGGCTCACCCCAGCTCGTGTCAAATCATCAATGTTTTACGATCACCTACGAACGTCCTTCAAAGGATAGTGGTTCAACGACGACAACGACAATCACAGTTACAACAACAGCATTTTCCAGACGTTCACTCTGATTTACAGAATTCAGTTTTTTTCCTGGACTCAGAAACCATGCATGAAAGGGTTAAAAGTTCTCAACTCAGATTAATCGTCAAAGTTCTGATCTGAAACAACCTAATTATTTCAACAGCACTAATTATTTCCATTATCTTTCTTAATTTGAACTACCATCTTTATTTCTCTCATTTTGCAGCAGCCTTTACTTACAGTTAGTAGTCGTCATATTTTAGACTCAACAGCTATTTGACTTAAATACCAATAACTTCTGAATTGGACTAGCTTTGATAGGACTCATTGATAAATCCTGAGCTCGTTGTGCCCCAGTATCCATTCTTCAACCTTTCTTTTCCCATTTTATATTTTCAATGTTTATCAGTTAATTTCTTAATATTGTCCTCGGCAATCAGCTTTAACCCTTGTTCGAATTAATCTCTTCCATCCCTTTGACATTTATTCAAAGTTCATATCAATGTTGCTGTGTACTTATTCATCGTTACGTATGTTAGGCTCTTAACCAACTAGTTTTCTTCAAACGATAGCAAAAATCTTCCTGTATAATAAATTTTCTTTTTCTCTTCTAATTAGTTAAGTAATTTTCCATGCCTTTTATTCACAAGTAGAAGTACATTATTGTTCAGTAGAATATTTTAAATCTCAATTCTCGAGCTGACCTCTTCTTTATCCTTTATTCTCTTTGGTTACTTCCTAACTCCAGTATTACTTCCGCTCTTTCCTATGTTCACGACATCAAATATTATTTTCAGCTGAAATGTCTTCAATCAACTATTGTTCCTTCGTGATCTCATTTGTCAATCATTCTCGAAGCTTTTAAACTAACAAATTACCTTAAAAATAGTGGTATTATGCCTTTCTCGTTGCTGTGAACGAAAAATGAATATAATTGCTTTGACAAATGAAATAAACGAAGGATGATTAGTTGTATTAGATTAAACTGATAATCTTTTAATTGTCCTTGGAATTAGGCTCTTACTATGAATTTATGAATTAATTTCCTGAGGAATAGCTATTTTAATAAGAAAGAAGTGTTGATTTAGAAATGCAAAACCATAAATAATATAAAATGCGAATTTCGAAGTTCAGTAATACATGATTTGAGCACTAATGAGAGGATTTTCAGTAATACATGATTTTAGCGCTGATGAGAGGATTTTCAGCACTTTATTGCAGTTTTTTTTTTTTAATTTTCAGTCCGACAAAATATCACCACGGTACAAAATGAAGTTAATTATGTGGTTTATGTTATTATTTATTCTGGTTGGCATGGTTCTTATTGTATTTATACTTACAATGTCAAAAAGTTAGCTTTACTTAGATTTCATTCACAGAATATTTTGATAAGTCGACTGATAGGTCAAACATTTTTGAGAACAGTAATGCTCAAGATTTTGTAAAAAAGTGTGAAAAAGACTCATTTAGATCTCGATATTATGCAATTTTTCATAATAAAGTCATATGTTTAACTACGTTTGATCAGATTTATTGACTGTAAACTATGAAATGGGCATTGGATTAAGGTTAACCTCGATTAGCGGTGCTTGATAATCGGTCGTTACACTGTATGAAGCAACGTTTGAGATTCTATCGATCTCTATGATGAAAATAGTAGGTCGGTAATATGAAACAGTACGGTGATTTGTAGTGCAAGCGGTCTCTTCAACATCGTTCCACGCATTGCGTCGCTTGGAGGGTCATTTCCTTGTGACAGAAGGACCGCTTCTAAAATTTGATGGAAAGTTATTACAAAAGAATACTGACCAGTTTATAATACATGCCAGCAAAATACAACGACAGGTCGGTTATGTGTAATTTCATTTATTGCTCAATTTCTTCACCTTTCTCTTAAATTAAACGACTGAATGAAGTTCATTCTTACTTCATTTCCACTTTTTTACGAACTGATTTGGAAAATGCGTGAGGCGCTTCATGTTTCTGTGAATTGCTACTATCGCTCTTTCTCGTTTCCCGTACTTTTTCTTTCCACATTATACAATGGACTGAAGTATATAAAGGAAAGCTTACTAAAGGGAATTTTTAGTTAAATCATATCTATCGACAAAGTGGTTGTAGACTAATATATGTTGGTGCTGAAGTGACAAAGTTCAGGTAAAGATGAATATTTTTAGCAATTTTCTCCATATTTAAAGCATTACATTGTTCAAAAACACTGTTGAAAGCTATTTTGAGAACAAACAATTCATCAAAACGTTTTACCTACAATCTAAAATTGATTTCGAGCTGATATATATAATATTAAAAAAATTGCATTAAGAATAATATGACTGATTAGACATGTTCTTATCAACGGGCTTTTAATTCTGGCTTCAAAGCATCTCTCGGAAGTCTGAAACAATTTTTTTCTGGTAGCTTAATTAATTTGCAGATTTGCTCAAACTGTAAAATAAAATCCCATTCAAACAATTTTGAATTGCAGATTCGTACCAACAGTACCAGCTCTCGACGTAACATTTATCCTGAAGATACGGTCTGACTTGAATATCGATGTCTTCAATTTCCTGTCAATATTAAGGAACTACGTGCGGGCACGTGGATTTGATGGAAATGCAATTGATGATAAAAGTATCAGCCTTGAAATTAAACGTTTTTGATGGAAACGCCCGTTATTTAATAGTTCTCATATTCGTCAAAAAATCTCCGTTCTTAGCTTATCAATTCAATTCTATAAGAAAGCAGCATATCTTCCCTAGGAACATTTTGAGGCATTGTGTTAAGGTCTGTTCTTGATAAGTGATCGGAGAGAAGAGCCCCTGTCTGTAAATAAATAGTCGATCTCTAGAATTCGAGATCAGATCTGGATTAAGATTGTAGTAGTGAGAATAAAAAAACAAAAAAAGAAAAATTATCCTACAGACGACGAAATAGGAATAATGAACTCTTTAAAGTGACAAAACTACTCCACTTTCCTATAGTATTGCGCTTTTTGAGTGACACTGCAAACCAGAACTTATCTCCTCATGCGTTACATCACCTTCAGAAATATTGCGTAGAAAATCAAAAAAGATATCCAGCTCAATAACTTTACTGACCGAACTTCAGGTCTGATTGAATATCTTTTCGAGCTTGCAAACAGTTCTACGTTCTTTACTCTATCACGACTAAAATTGCTGCTTTTTACTGCCTGCCTTCATTTCAAACATGCATGTATGACGCTTTTATTCAGTTAGCAGAATTTCAAACAATATTAAAATAAAAAATATAAGGACAAAAACACATAATAAGACTATCTGGGAGGAAGTGAACTGTTACATTAAATGCCATCGTAAGAAGTATTTTGAATAGCTTTCTGTGTTAGGATGACTAAAATAAATAATCTGAATGTGAACAGATGGTAACAGAATTTGGGAACAAAAGAAACTGTTTTGGGAGGAAAAAACAGCTAATACGTGGCCAGATTTGAATACTACCAGCTAATAGACTTGGAAATTATTCAGCTGCAGATTGCATTCATAAAGATCCATAGATAAATGTTGTAAAATCCGTTAAACATTAAAGGATTAATATCTTTCCTCCTCGTTAGACAAAAGCATTTTCCTTTGTAAGCAAATAAATCATTGGAAAAGCTAACGATTTAAGTGAAATTCCTCTCCAGAAAGATGGAACGAACACATCTGAGAGAAACAGCTTTTCATTTCAGCTAAAAAAGAGTTTATTTTGATAAACTAGAATTTAAGAACTTCATTCCTACATTCCTTTACCTTCTTTGCGGAATCCTCACCTGTACCATTGTTTTTTGGTAAATTCAAACTAACAACCAATAGAACTCGAACCATAATATGGTTCAAGACGTCGTAAGTATGCGGCATTAAAAATTGTGTAAATTACAAGTGAGCAAATTAAATTCAGTGAGTGAAGGAAAAGTAATCATTTGACTAGTTGTTTAAGTATCATCACTTTTACAAACAACAAGTAGAATATTCATAAAAAGACGTAGAAAATGTTAAATTCATTCACCCTATCAAGATAATAGGCATGTTCTATGTTTTGGAATTTGTAGATTAAAAACATATAACATGCAATAAACTCTCTACACATCTTATTGAGAGCAAGCCATTTCTCTCATGTGAGTCCTAATAGTGATTTCAGACTATAAGAAAAGAAAAACAGGATGGAATATAAGAAAACCAGAGAAGTTAATAACAAAAAAGACAAACAAATAGTTTTTCAATAAATACGAAAGAAACCCGTTCATTCTCAGAGAGCCATGCGGTAATTAGATTATGAAAACATCATAATGCTGAACTGAGGTGTAATTTGTAGGAATGCCTAATCTCATAAATTATCTCGAGGATGAACGCGAGATAAAGAAATAACTAATGAAACAGATCATTCACAATCATATACTATACATATTGTGAGAAAATACTTCACTTAACCATTCCGTGGAATATTTGTGTTTAGAAAGTTCTGATAAAATTACCGAGAAGATATGGAGGACTCGACTATAGGAATAAAACCAAAAATTCGAAAAATGATCATCACTAAACCATAAAAATTGCTTAATACATTTGCTATTTCTCATCGCATTCATGCAAGCAAAGTATTTATTCACTAATAAGAAAAGCGAACCTACATAACAGAACAGGACCATAAAACATCACTCAACTTAAATATATGAATACAATTTCAGTAAGTGTTAAATTATACCATAAACCAAATAAACAAAAAAGCGCTTAAAATGAAGAAGTTCCAAGTTTTACGTTGAGTCGAAAGGATAGTCACTCTGAATAGCTGCTTGGACTCGTAATCGAGCGAAATCTTCAAAAATGATATCTTCATCTTCGACCCTTGGCAAATCAAAGCTGAAATTAATATCCAAATTACAGTAATACAAAGTGGAGAAAAAAGCGGCATGTAATGGATAACGGATGCAATACTGGTATTAAATAATATATAGATTGTTTATGTAGTCGATAGATTAGTAGGTTTTAGAAAAATTTATACAAAAATCTCAAGAAGAAAAATTTATTCCCAAAAAGTCGAAAGTTGACACTATCGCTACATTAAATTGAACTAACGTATCAAGTTGTATAAGATCCACATTAAGTCCTTCATTGTTCAACGAACTTTTTGTCCTTTGCTGTTCCTAAAAAACCATAATTTTTCAAATTAGTGAAATTTAATATCTGAAAGTACTGACACAAAACCAAACCACTTTCCAAAGAATCAGAAAAGAGATTTGAATAGAAACAATAACTTACATGTCGTTCTTCAATGCTCTCCACAGGTTTCGGATGTGTTAATGTGAATGGCAATTCAGCAGTTAATTCACCTCCAAGAGGACCACTAATATTTAAACGTACTTTTACTTTATACTGTACAACAATTCCAAGGTTTTCTTTTGTTGCCTCTGATGATAAACTGCAAAAATTGCTCCGAAGATGACAATAAATAAAATTTTAAATTTAGGTCTTACATAAGTGAGTGCGTATAAAAAACACACCTAAATTTGAAAATGATATTTTTTACTGCTGCAAAAGTGAATTCTCAAAGAAGGCATTCCTTAGAAACAGTGAGAGATGAAACATCACTTACGTTGTCGATGAAGCCAAATTGGTATCTTCATGTTTTAATTGTCCATCCAGGGCAAGACCACGCTTGTCTTTGTTGTTCGAAAGTAATGGACATAAACTATAAACTTTGGATAATGTTGCCCCTGGTCCTACAGGAAAGCCCTCACTGAAAAAAGGTTTTATGAGTAGTGAAGAATGAATAAAAATGCAAGCACTAAACGTTATATTTGCTTTAGTAAAAAAGCAAAATCGAAGTTTAGTTAAATTTTTCATGTTTTTGTAAATCTCCATACTGATAACAAATCAAGTCTAAGAAATATCAAAATAAATTTGGAAAGTATTTTACTTTCAAAAATGATTTTTAACTGCATATAACCAAACAACAACCGCGCTTGTCTTATTTTACATTATTGCTTGTCGTATTTAAGAAAATAGAGCTACTGATCATAGAGATGATTAGTAGTTATACAGAGATGAATGATGATGATATGACATGTTTTTTGTTTAAGGTAATGCCAATTCGTATCAAAAACAACACTCACAACAAAAGCAGAAAGTTCGATAACAGCAAAAGATGGATAACTAACGTTGATTCAACCTTCGCAACTTCACATGTATATGATGCAGTAGTAAAAAGACAAATATCGGCAATCTGAGCGATGCAGGCTTTAATTTTTTTCACCGTTTTATTACTGTTGTTCTGGATGTGAACATTTACTGCTATTGACTCACCGTGGTAATACATCTATAAGATAACCTTCCGAAAAATGACTGCGTAATTAAAATAAGCCAGAAAAATTGGAAAAGGACAAGCATAATCTTTTTGCAAAGGTGGAATCAAGATTTACACCATTTTTTTCTAAGATTAATGGTCGATGTATTTTATATACATGTAAACCAGCACTGTCCGATAGTCATTTAATAAACATCTCACTAGTCTCCATTAATCTAAATATCTGTAATCCAAAAGCTCGGATTATATGGCGAATATTTTATTAAAAATATAAACTACCTCTTTATCCAGTGATGCTTCCAAATGCAATGAGCCTGAGCTCATCATGAACTCTTTGGTAACTTCGATAGTTGGCTGGGGACGATTCTCGTATGGTGCATAAGTTAATTTTCGTATAGCTAGACGCACACTATTACTGAAAAAAATAAGATCTTTTTTTTCTAATATACGTTAACTAACACTGGCAACATCATGAAATTGCTTTTTTTGAATCTAAAATAAAACTTGAAAGGAAAGAAATCCCGGTCACAACTAGTCGCATGGTTATTCTTGCTGCCCAATTATTTTGGAAAACAGCTATTTTAAAACCTTACTGCTTCTTTGGCTTATCAATACTGCTACCCTCAAGAGATTCTACAGTTGTTTTCAGCTCGAAATCAACACCGCATGGCTTCCCTGTATCACCCTGAGCAGGCTAAAAACATTATTTATATATTGCAATTGTAAAATTTATCGTTGAAAATATGAAAAATTTACAAACGTAGAAGTACCTACTTTATAAAAATGCAAATATAACTTGATTTTCTTACTCTATGAAATTTGACAGACCAATGAATATACAACATTTCTTAAAACTCTGATAAATTAAGAGATTAAGAAAGGAGTAAATCATTAAGGAACCTGCAAAGTAACACTTGATGCTGAATGCGTCGGAATCTGAAACCAAAATGGATATGCATTAGTCCCTAACTTCTTTTTCAACCTCTCTTGCAGTCGTGTAAGTGGTCGAAGATGTAAGATGTCCACTGGATATACCTTCAAAATACCGCTTTAACTTTTTATGTTATAACAGTTGAAGGAATAAATTCAATATTGTCACAATATACCATATAATGATATTAAAGTTTAGAATCAAAAAAAAAAAAAAAATGGAAGAAAAGCCAAAATAAAGAAACCAAATGAGCTTCTGAAAGCGGTATCCATGAAAAAACGAGTGCAACCTGAAAAGTTTGTGAAATCAAATCCTTTCTGAATGTTAAACCTAACACATCCAAATCTTCGCGACCATAACGAAATGCTGCCAGAAGGTAGGCAGTAATCTTCCTATTTTCTTTGATATAGTTTT